AAGACATATATATATAAAGATATATATATAAATTTTTTTTTTGAGCACTGGGTGTTATACATAAGGGATGAATCACTGGAATCTACTCCTGAAATCATTGTTGCACTATATGCTAACTAACTTGGATGTAAATTTTAAAAATTAATTAATTAAAAATAAATAAAACAATTTAAAAAGAACAAGAAAAAAAGTGTAATACTTTTTTAAAATCACTTTTCCCTGCTTCCTTACCATTGTGACTAAAGGATATAAGTTTACCAGGGATAGTGATTGCAGACGTCCCTAAAATGCCTGCATGCCAAACAGAAACAGTATTTAATATTACAAAGCCAAAATTTCCCTGTGCTTCCACTTGAAAATGTAGGCATCTTTGTCTATGACAGTAATTTTTCAGGCAGCTTTAGAGTCAATGCTGTTACCCAAGTAACGCAAGTTGTCCTCCCTGTAGGGGTCATGCTTGCCTTTGGTGTCCAGTCCAAGCTTCCATATTCAACTGCAGCAAGTGACAGTCTTTCATGGGATTTCCCAGCTTCATTTTTCCAAGAATGTCTGAGAAACTCACATTCCACAAATCCAGCCTGGTGATTGGTCCCCTCCATCTGCTTAACTCTTCCTGATTCTCCACATTTGTTGACAACTCTTAACCATTCGTAACTGCTTCTCTAGGTCTACACTGTCTCCCCTCCACGCTTGGACACTCAAACTCACCTTTTAAACTACTGGGTGACACATGGCAGACCTGGATTTCAGATTTGAAAAAATTCTATTGGAAAAACAGGAAGGGCAGAAAAAAGGAACTTGGAATGGTTTAAGAGCAGTGTTTCTCAAATGGAAAGTGTATTTGAATCACCTAGGGATCTTTTGAAATGCTGGGTCTAATTCAGTAAGCCTGGGGTGGGGCCTGAGAGGCTGCAGTTCTCACTAGCTCCCAGGTGATGCTCATGCTGTTGGCCCTTGGATCATGCTCTTTGTAGCAATGATTGGGGGACTTCACAGCTTCTAGGAGATTCGCTCTGGCTTTCTCTCCCACCACGGACGTTTGGGGGCAGCCCACCTACCCCACTGAGATTATCATTGGCCCTATCTGCCTTACATAGGAGAAACAGACTTCTTTTCCTTTTAACTTTTCTCTTTGCCAGTTCCCCCTTAATCCCTTAATTATTCCACGTCCCTGTACAGTAGTCCCACCTGTTCAAGGAGGATAGGTGCCAAGACCTCCAGTGGATGCCTAAAACCGCCAATAGTACCGAACCCTATACAGTTGACCCTGAACAACATGGGGGTTAGGGGCACTAAGCCCCAGCATAGTTGAAAATCCTCATATTGCTTTTGACTCCCCAGAACTTAATTACTAATTGCCTACTGTTGACCAATGAACAACTGATTAACACATATTTTGTATGTTATGTGTATTGTACTGTATTCTTACAATAAGGAAGCTAGAGAAAAGAAAATACTAAGAGAATCATAAGAGAAAATGCATTTTACAGTACTGCACTATAAAAAAATCTGCATATAAGTAAACCCATGCAATTCAAACCTGTGTTGTTCAGGGTCAACTGTATACACTGTTTTTTCGTATACATACATACATACATACCTATGGTAAAGTTTAATTTATAAATTAGGCACAGCAAGAGACCCTCAACAATAACTAATAGTAAAATAGGACAATTATAACAATATACTGTGATAAGTTATGTGAATGTGCTCTCTCTCAGAATATCTTGTACTGCACTCGCCCTTCTTGTGATGAAGTGAAATCATCAATGCCTACGTGAAGAGATGAAGTGAGGTGAATGATGTAGGTGTTGTGACATAGTATTAGGCTATTATTGACATGATGATTCCTCAGAAGGAGGATCATCTGGTTCCAAACTGCAGTTGGTTGTGAGTGACAAATCATGGAAAGTGAAATCACAGATGAGGGGGAATTACTTTAAGATCTTGCCTGCCTTCCTCTCTGCCCCCCACATAAAAGAAACACATTTTTACAATGTTATGCAGAGTTTAGCCCTTTGTGGTCTCACACTTTCTTTCTTTCCTTTTTTTCTTAATGTTTGTTTATTTTTGAGAGAGAGACAGAGCACAAGTTGGGGAGTGGCAGAGAGAGACACACACACACACACAGAATCTGATGCAGGCTCCAGGCTCTGAGCTGTCAGCATAGAGCCCGACATGGGCCTCAAACCCACAGCCCGTGAGATCATGACCTGAGCTGAAAGTCGGACACTTAACCGACTGAGCCACCCAGGCATCCCTCTCACACTCTATTCCAGAACAGAATCTGGACCTGACTTAGCAAAATCACCAAAAGTCCCAAAAAGAGGAATGATTTTCATACAGATTTGAGTTCTGAACCATTTATCCTGAATGGCAGTTTCCCCTCCACTACTAAACATTTAGAATATAACTTTATGTGTAACATATCAGAGCTAAAATATACTTAAAAGAGATCATCTGGTTAAACCTCAGATAAAGAAAGAGAGGTTCTAAAAGGCAAGGTACTTGACACAGATAGTGACCATTGGAGCTAGGACTAAATATCAAGTCTTGAGATAACCAGGCTCCTGGTTTTGTTTCTTATTATTGTTTTTTTTTAACCTGTTACTTTAATCAATATGGATTCACAGTGGCTCTAAATAAGCATGATATAAGCAATGTGATATAAGCAAATAAGCAGTTATAGAAGCAATGTGGCCCATGCTTATATCTAAATAACATCATCTCTTAAAAATCAAATAGAGGGGCGCCTGGGTGGCGCAGTCGGTTAAGCGTCAGACTTCAGCCAGGTCACGATCTCGCGGTCCGTGAGTTCGAGCCCCGCGTCAGGCTCTGGGCTGATGGCTCGGAGCCTGGAGCCTGTTTCCGATTCTGTGTCTCCCTCTCTCTCTGCCCCTCCCCCGTTCATGCTCTGTCTCTCTCTGTCCCAAAAATAAATAAAAAACGTTGAAAAAAAAATTAAAAAAAAAATCAAATAGAATTTTTTGAATTAAGGCTGAAAGACAAGATTATAAATAATGCTCTGATTTAATGTATAGCAATTAACCAATAATAAGAGATTAAAAAAATTAAGCTCTATTTATTTATTTTGAGAGAGAGTGTGAGCAGGGGAGGGACAGAGAGAGGGACAGAGAGAATACCAAGCAGGCCGTGCAGAGCCCGATGTGGGGCTTGAACTCATGAACTGTGAGATCATGACCTGAGCTGAAATCAAGAATTGGATGTTTAACCAGCTGAGCGACCCAGCACACCAACCAAAAATAAGAGATTTAATCGTGTTGGCTAGATATGGGGCATAACAGGGTAGGCTAAGTTATGCTAGGTAACACATTAACCCTGAAATCTCTGTGGCTTAATGCAAGAAAGATCATCTCTTGCTCATGCTGCATGCCCAGCATGGTTGGGTTGGGAGGAGTGGGGTTGACCCGCACTGCATTCAGGTACCAGGCTGATTACCCCATGTAACTCAGCCATCTGATATACACAACCTTCTCGGTCACCACTGTGGGGAAAGTGGGACTGGAACATCAGGACTGGGCTCCTCCTTACCTCAGCCTGCAGTAACACATGTTACATCTGCTCACATTGCATTGCCAATACTAGCTGCCTGCCCCCCGGGTAACTGCAAGGTTGCTGGGAAATATGGAAGAGAATAAGGTGAGCCCTCTAGTCCTGAGCACATAGGACATGAGGCGCAAACCACAGAGTTTTATTTACTAACCACTTATCTCCCATTAGTGATTTGTTTAAAAGACCAGCAGTCCCTAAGAGGACCTTTAAGCATAGTATTATTTACCTGTGGTTCTCATGTTTTCTCTTGACTTTCATATGCAAGAGAAAAAAATTTTTGATGTATGGTTTCCATCTTATTGTCAATTCACTCATTTCAAATAATAAGTAAATCAAATTACAAATCAAATAAGAATGAGTAACCAAAGCCTGGGTTTGAATTCAGGTTGTCTAGGTTTAAATCCTGAATGACCTCTCACTGGCTATGTGACTTGGGGAAATTACTTAACTTCTCTGTGCCTCATTTTCCTTATCCATAAATGGGTGTTCTAATGGTACCTACCCCAGTGACACATAAGAAGGAACTAGAACACTGATTAGATCAGTGTTTGATACATTATGAGGATTTAATGAACATCAGCTATTACTGTTATGTCTGCATAACTTTAAATTCTCTAATTTAATAAACTTTTACTGGGCACCAACAGTACACCAGAGATACTATGATAGTTGAGATCAATTAAATCCCTACATTCACAGAGTTTATAGGCAAGATAAACAAGGAGACATAAAATGGGTGAGTGCTATTTTAGGGGAAATAACTCAGTTACGCAGAACCTTTCTGAGTCTCTTTTCCTCATACTTGAAATGGGACCATATCTTCCTCACAGCACTGTTGTGCAAAGTAAATGAAATCGCATACATGTGACTTGAGGAACAGAAAAGCTAATGAGAGAAAGCCTCAATATGTGTGTTTGAGGGGGTGGGGAGGAGGTGCAGGGAGAGAGAGAATGTGATCAGCTTCTATGTGAACCATGAAAAAGGAAGCTTCAGCCTTGGGCAGCATTCCAATTTGTTCCACTCAGGATTCTCAAAATAGTATTAGAATGATTAACTTACTGTTCACTTGGGAATATGAGTTTTTTAATTAATTCTCATATGTTCCCTTTAAACTGCGCAAAGCAGACTGGTGACATTCTGAGTCATCTCAGGGACTTTTTTGCGACAGAGGCCTGAGTTTGGCCTGCAGGATTCATCCATATCCAGTTTTGGAGAGTTTATTTCCAAAAGTGTTTATAATTGCTTCTGTTTTCTACCCATTTTCCTAGGGGGAAGCTTTTACAAAAGGTGAAAAGGGAGATAGAGTAAGTAGATGTTTTATCACTATCTTGTGTTTTCTACTTCATCGATTTCTATCTCTCTGATTTCTGGTATGTTTACTGTGGAGTCTAATAGATTTGATAAAATAACCTCTCTGAGCATTTTACTTTTTCCTCTGTGATTTTTTACTCTTATTTTGATAAATGAGAAATTTTAAACCTTGTTAAGTTTTATCATTTGATGGCACCATTTGGCTTAGGTAGTGTATATTTTCTTTAACCATTACTATTTGTAATGGGACATGAATGTCTTGAAAGGTACACACTTAATATATCTAAAATATAAAATTAAAATATAAGATACAGTTTTTTTTCAAAAATTCTGTTAATGGTACAAATTAAATTTATCAAATGGGGTGATTATATCAAAAGGATCAATAATAAGTCATGAAAATAAGAAAAGCAAACTCATTACAGCCAATATTGTACTCTTTTATGTAACCTTAATTTTTTTGTTTTTTTTTCATTAAGTACATATACCCAATAGTAGAATCACCATGACATATAAACTTAAATTCCACTCTTTCTTTTCCTTCTTCATCTGAGGTTTTAATTCACTGAGATATAGGATGAGCTGGTGGCAAATCATAACAAAGTCAGCTAAGTAGAGAATGCAATGATTGCTAATGAGATATCATTGTAGAGTCAAAAGGGATACTGGGGAGAAAACTATTATAAAGAAGAAAGAAAATAGGAGTTATTATTTACTTGATATCAATAAGTATTTTAAATCATGTTTTAGAGTGGCCCCCTCCTTGACTTCATCATGCTGTCCATAATCTCCCCCTTTATTCTATGTTAATTAGTAGAAATGCAGATGAATTCAAGTATTAGAGATGCTCATCCCCATCTGAGTTTAAGCATTACATAAATGGTTGTTTTTTTGTTTTTTTGTTTTTTTTTTACAGGGAGAACCTGGGATAATGGGATCACAGGGAATAAAGGTAATCTCATAACCTTCTTTATGGCATCTCCAACCTAATGAGATTGTGAAGATTACATTAACCATTTCACTGTCCTTCCCACCCACATGTTTAGGGCGAACCTGGAGATCCTGGTGCCCCCGGTTTAATAGGAAGTCCAGGACTAAAGGTATATAAGAAATTACTGAGTTAAAGAGGAAATAATTTTGGAGTTATAGCCATTTCTGTACAAAACAAAGTGCTTTGGTGTGCCACTCATTTTCTTCACAAACGTTCTCAGAGATTTTATCATGTTGCCATGGTGATTTCCCCCCCTATTGGCTGCATTTATTACACACATAGTAATTGTGCTTTCTGGTTCACAGTAAGATTTTTAAACTCTTTTTCAAAGCATATTCACAATAGCATCCCTAAACCCTTTATGAGTAAATAATGTGAGCGAAACCTATGACCCTGAACTATATCCTTAAAATGAACAGGACTCAAGATTCAATTTCTAAGCCCAAATTATGCAGCTCTGAGATGCTTGAGTTCCCCATGTGGGATTCCGCAGGGGTGTCCCAAGAAAGACCAGCTGTTGGGAGGTGCAGGAGAGATGTGATGCGCTCCCACCAATGGGTGAGGGAGGTTATCATGGCCTCACTTGCTTGTGGGAAAAGACCCATTTAAATGAGAACATCTTCAAACTATCTTTGTCAACCCAAAGCACATTTCAGAATTATTCAGAGAAGGTAGGATGGTAGAAAGCCCGTCTTTCTACAGATGAAGTTCATACCATGTTTTATATATATTCAAGGACAATCTGTTTTTTAACAAAGTTGAACTACATATCACCTTTCTTTTAGGGTCAGCAAGGACCTGAAGGCTCTATGGGACCCAGAGGACCACCAGGAGATATTGTATGTATAGTAAATACAGGTCTCTTTGATATGTGGAAATTAAATCGATGTCTTAAAGAATGTCAGTATGTTTTCATGTGACTGAGTTGTACCACCTTTTCCAAAGACATGGGTCACATCTACTGCCAAGACTGATCAAACCTAGTGTCAGGGGTTATCAGGAAGGCTGCTAGCACCTTCATATATTCACATGAGATCCTTTTGAATATCATTAGCCTAATAAATCAGTCTTTGGAAGTCAGGTTAACTAAATCATCATTTTGGACATGCTTGTCAGAGGTGTACCAACAGTAGCGAAGACTGGAAACGTCAAAAGAAATAAGGAAAACCAAGAAAGAAAGAAAGCATTTTCATTATGCATGACTTTGGCTCAATTCTCTATCCAAAAAAAGGCACTTCCAAAGCTTCTGTTACTGTTTTATTGCAAGAGCCTCCAAAAAGAGCAAATCTTTTAGCAGAAAATATTTCTATAATGCCATTGGAAGATGGTCCTCAGGTTGCATTAGAACCTAATTCTAGTGGTCTCACTATTCTCTGTTTGTCTGTCTCTCTGTCTGTCTGTCTGTCTCTCTGTTGTCCTTTAAATGCATTTTTCTATCCATTCCCCCACTAAGCCTTTTGTTCCTTGGACAACCTCCCTAGCCTGGCCTTCTAACCACTTGGGAGCTAAGATTCACCATCAGTCCTCACTTGAGCATAACAACAGAAATGCTTGGCCAAAATTTCTTGGAAACTTATCTCTATGTAGCCACAATTCCAGCACTTTCTATGCAACTATTGGAATCTCTCCTTTTCCTATCATCTTGGGAACAGTCCCATGACCTCTTGCTCTATTCTCTATGCTTCTTGACTGCGCCTCCAGAGGTCTTTCTGTGCCTTTGTTCTGCTTGTACTTTGAACATTCAGTTTGTGGGCAAAGCTTTTTCTTGCGCCCCCCCCCCTCCCCAAGCCATTTAATGAACCAATATAGGTGTACCTCACGGAGAGATCTCATGAAAAGAATAAAATGTTGGTGGCACAGGTGGAGCCATAAGTGACCAAGAGTGAGATGAAGTGATAGTAATTGGAGCTAAGAAAGAGAATAAAATCAAAAGGGAAAGAGCCACTGTTGCCAAACATAATAAGGGTATATCTTCCTGTTTACTCCATTGTTGTTCTAAATAGTGCTGTGATGCTACCAACCACCATCCCTTCACCCTTTATTGGCGATAATATGAATGGGGCATTTGGTTCAATTCTCCCTTAGTTTCTTTTCCATTACCTCCAGGTTACTTCACTTGAAACAACAAACCACATATTTTCACCAATGTGTTTTCCTTTTTAACAGGCCAAAACCAACCCATCCTCTTATAGTTTACATGTTACAATTCTGTTCTCATGACAAAGACTCACAGATAGATATGTTCTCATAATAAGAAATATTCTAATTGTTCTTTCCCATTAATTCTGAATTTTCTAGGGATTGCCAGGAGAACATGGTATCCCAGGAAAGCAAGGCATTAAAGGAGAAAAGGTATACATTTTATGCATTGAGTAACTAGGTGGGAGGGAGAGACAGAGGATCAGAAGGGCACTGCGATTTGGGAGGTGGGGGTGGGTAGGTGCGGCAAAAGGATAAGACAAGGCTGCCAGGATTGTGCAAGGTACGTACAGACACATATTAATTGTTGAACCGTTACTGGAAAGGAACTTAAAGAAAACATGAAGATCATCTAAAGAACTTTCTGAGTAGATGCTCTTTTTGTGCATACATTTATACACACATATATTTATACATATGGCATGATACTGCTAAACTTGTAACATACCTCACCACAAAATCTAAGTGCACCTAAGATAATTAGAACAGTGCCTGACATGAATGAGGCCCTCCATAAATAGGGCTGAATGAGTGAATGAGTGAGAAAATGAAGTTTGGCTACAACTTGAAGCAATGAAAACTGCTGTCTCCATAGCTCCCACCGTGAACCTGAACAATGACATAAGAATCTTCTTTTCCTCAGGGAGATCCAGGTGGGATTATAGGCCCTCCTGGGCTTCCAGGTCCCAAAGGTGAGGCTGGTCCTCCAGGGAAAAGCCTGCCAGGGGAACCAGTAAGTAACAGCCCTTTTACTAATATTTCCCTTGAAAGTTCATTAATTACCCTTCATGTATTCCCAGGTTCAGATCACAAGTATAGGAATAAGTTGAGGTCTGCAGAAAACAAAATATTCATCTTGTTCTTTAGATAAGAGATCTAACTTCTTTGGAAATTTGATGCAAGCAAAGGGCTCTCTTCTGAGAAAATGCGCATACCCATTTTACATACATTTTTGAAAGATTCATAGGCCTCCCTGAATCTTCTGCATGAACTCTTTAGGGATCTATGGAGCCTAGTAAGATACACTAGCTTTAAATCATAAACCTTCCCAGGATGCTATGTTAAAACAGAAGAGCTGCCTGAAATTTTCTTTCCAGAGGCTCTGCAGGCATGGCCAATGATGGTCATATGCAGAAAATGTCCTTGTGGCCCAGGCTATTTCCAGGACATAACAAAAACTGAATAGCTGAAAAGTCTAAATAACCAATAAGCCTATTTCACATGCCTTTTTTTTCCTCCTCTTTGACTTTTTATATTAATTATTGATAATAAATAGTTCTCAGTATTAGATGCCTTCTTTTAAAGATAAAAACATCTTTTTTATTAAGTGTTAAATATTAATTCCAGTGTAGTTAACATACAGTGTTATATTAGTTTCAGGTGTATAATACAGTGATTCAGCAATTCCCTGTATTATTCAGTGCTCATCATGATTAAATGTACTCTTAATCTCCATCACCTGTTTCACCCATCCCCCACCCACCTCCCCTAAAAATGAAAACATCTTATTTGTTAAAGTAACTATACAAAAATCTATAACCTGGTGGAAATCTGTATTTCCTGTTCCTTATTCTTTTATAGAAAAGGGTTTATTCAAGAAAGATGAAGAACAACAAAACATTTTTGAGTTATAACTTCTAAGATGCTTTTAATGTTTTTAGAAAAAGAAATGTATTTATCTCCTTTTTTTTTATTGTAGGGATTAGATGGAAATCCTGGAGCACCTGGTCCACGTGGGCCAAAGGTATAAAAATATCATAGATTATTTCTAAAGAATTAAAAATAAAATACAGCCTGAAATTTTTTGTCCCCCGACCCTCGCACTCACAGAAGCCTCTCATTGCACAGGGTGAACGAGGACTCCCAGGTGTCCATGGTTCCCCAGGTGACAGAGGTCCCCCAGGGCTGGGAGTTCCTGGCCCAACAGTAAGTGAAATTCTATCAAGCTTTTGAAACCCTGTCCATTCCAACAGTAAAATAAAACCCAGTGACAAATTTGAATAAGAAGAGAAACATGAGGGGCGCCTGGGTGGCTCAGTCAGTTGGACATCCAACTTTGGTTTGGATCATGATCTCACGGTCTATGGGTTCGAGCCCTGCATCAGGCTCTGTGCTGTCAGTACAGAACTGGAGCCTGCTTCGGATTCCATGTCTCCCTCTCTTTCTGCCCCTCCCCCATCATTCTCTGTCTCTCTCAAAAAGAAAAATGAATAAACTTAAAAAAAAGAAGAAGAAGAAAAGAGTGAAATGGTCAGAAGAGGAAATGGAAGTAAGCACTAATCAGAGAGAGAGGATTAATGAGCACTGGGGTTAAGTCACTGAGCACAGAGAAGGTGCTTACTGTTTGCTGACCCACAGATGCTGATCTCACAGACACTGATTTTGGATTAGGAGCAGTTATTTAACCCTTTGTTCCTCTCTTCTCTATTTTAAAAAGTACAAATGAATGTGTGTAAGATTGTACACATGCCTAAGATAGGGTTTTGTATATTACTGTTTGTTTTTAATGAAAAAATAAAAAGTGAATATTTAAAGTGAATGGAGTGTGTATAAATGAGATGATGTCAAAAATCTCTTCAGTAATATCTTCAGGAAGAGATAATAGAAGGTGTTTATAATAGTGAACACAAAGAATGGGCAGCTTTTAGTGCCCATTTTTTTAATGCCCAGTTTTAGCTACAAGGACAGTGCCTGATAATAATGACCCCCATGTGCGTACTTGTTGACTAAATAGTAATAAGAGATAAAACTTTTTATTTACTATGAAAAAACATAAAAGATTTTGGAATGCGAAAAGTAGAAATAAACACTTATTCTAGTGACATTAATTTGGGAAATTGGCCTTTTAATGAAGTTATCACAAAAGCTAAAAGAAGGCATAAATAGTGAATGGTTATATTGTATGTGATCGATTTTGTAGGGCAAGAATATAAAAGACCACTGAGATGGAAGATTAAACAAAGTAAAAACACAGATCAGGAAACTATTAAGGGAGTGAAAGAGATTGAAGCAAAAAATAAAAAATATATTAATAACTAAGGTCACAATATAAATAGAAAGGGAACAAAAAGTAGCTTTGACTAAAGCTACATATACATATGAATTCATATACATATGAATATTTATTTTATAAAATAAGAAAAGAGGAGCACCAGGGTGGCTCAGTGGGTTAGCTGTGCAAGTCTTGATTTCAGCTCAGGTCATGACCTCATGGTTCATTCAATCTAGCCCCATGTCAGGCTCTGCACTGTCAGCATGGAGCCTGCTTGGGATTCTCTCTCCCCCTCTCTTTCTGCGTCTCCCCTGCTCACATGTGCTCTCTCTTTTCTCTGTCTCTCAAATAAATAAACATTTTATAAACAAATAAATAAGAAAGGAAATGTTGGTAGGCAGTTACTGAAGTCAACAGCTGAGAACCCAGCCCTTTACTTACTTAGGTCATCAGTTCCTCCTTCCTCAGTCTGTGGTTATGTAACAGGGATAGAGCTATCGTCATTAGGTTCACTGATAATTTCCCAGCCTCCTCTTTATTACCCCAAATTCCAATTTTCTAAAGTAGAAAAGAATAGCTGATTGATGCTTTACTTTCTACTGCTGTCACTGAACACTGATTCTGGCAATTTCTTCAAATAGGGAAATGACTCAAAGTAGAAAGTAGAAAGCAGAAAGGAAAGGAAGTCCTGAGCTCATTACTTTATCAGGAGTTTCTGAACAGCTAGAATTTGGGTGCATTGTGTGTTTGTGAAGGTGGAGGAACACATGATGGTACTGAGAGAGACAGATATCCCAGGCATCTGAGCAAAGCCATGCTCAGGTTCCAAGCAACAGACATCTGGTTAAGTGTTTACCTGCCATCCAAAGGTCTTAGCCATCATCACAGAGAGTTTTCAGTGTGCGCAAGTTGGCAAGCCCTGTTGTTCGACTAAGTAAGTTACAATACATAGCTCTTGATCCCACTTGCATAATTTATGGGTATTTCTGGAGGAATTCTGATAATTGGATCTGATTCTACTCAGGGCTCGCAAGGACCAGCTGGAGAGCCAGGTATTCAGGTAAGCCACTTAACCAAGTTATTTGGCACAGCAAATCCAGCTTGCTTACTTGGGGAAAATTACTGAAAAACTGTCCCCATAAGTAACTATTTTCCCCCATTTCCAGGGTCCTCGAGGTCTCCCTGGATTGCCGGGAACTCCAGGGACCCCAGGGAATGATGTAAGGACCATCTGTACCTCCTCCTACCCACCACCCATTTTACTCTGCACCCGTGCCACTGTGCAAGGATTTGAACACAATGATTCTGTTTTTCAGGGAGCTCCAGGGAGGGATGGAAAGCCAGGTCTGCCAGGCCCCCCAGGTGACCCGGTATGTCAACAGACTGTGCCTGATTTATGTATCTTTAATGCACCCAGAAGCCAAATAGCCTACCGAGCAACTTTTGCTGTCCAAACTAATTAGAATGCTCTGTAACTGCTTGGTGATTTTGTTTATCCCCATTATTTTGTAGAGGGGTGAAAATTCAAGCTGCATCAGCATTTTTGTGTGTGTGATGAATACTTATTTCCTAAGGATATAATTCAGCTCTACAATTTTGCCCCAGGCTGTGCCTTGGCACATAATGTCTCCATCCCATGGAAAATTGAGTTGAAATATATAGCCACAATTTCTATTCTTTCTAATGCCATTGACTAAATGAATTTCATTTTTCTAAATGAAAGTTTTCAGGTAAGTTACCTACAACAGGGTGAATATCCATTGATTCTGTGGCCTTAAAACACTGAAGTGATTAAATTACAAAAACTGGCTTGAGTAGGCTCTTGAAAAATGGGTTTAAGCACTAAATGTGTGTTCCAAAATTTTATTTCAGGATGAACCTTGCTTTGAGCAACAGTGAAATCCCTTTAAATAGCCTCAGAATCAGCAGTTATAATTTGAGAGGCCATATGGTACATGACATTGTATTAAGAGTTTTATATGATAAAATCCAAATCTGGCCTCTCGGTTCTAAGTCTCCCAAATCCTTCTCCCTCCCACACTGGCTGTGCCGTGAGTGCCTTTATAAGCTACGTGCAGAGGCATATTTTGGCCTTACTTTCACTTCACTGCTGAGTGAATCATGTGTGCATCATCCAGAATTCTTATAAAGTGTTACTTGGGTTTACAGTGCCTCTCTGAAAGGACATTTTAAGACACAAGGCCGGAACACTGCCCAAGTTCCTTCAGTGTCTCTCTTGCATATCACGTAAGCCACCTATTGGCTCTTTTGAACTTCAGTGAGAAAGAACTTTAAGGCAAATTCATTGTGTACTTTTCATATTTGTCAACAGCCTGATAATTTGCTTGGCAGAGTGGTGACTTCCGTTTAATAAATGATTTACCTTTATGTATTATTTAAAACCAAGACTATATTAGTGTTGGCATAAAAGTTGCCGTGTCATGAAAATATAAAATAGAGATGCAGAATCAGAACGACAACCTGGGTGTGTTCACATGTTCATAGCACAGGAGTAGTGAATATTTCTCAGATGCAGTTATGAGGTCTGCCGGTGTCCTATGAAATATAACGTGAAAGCCAACCATTCTGACAGTGAGCCTCTTAGAAACTCCATGACAAATCTCAACTGACATGACACTTGGAGAAGAAAACATCTGCATTGTATTATATGTTTGTATTGTATCATGTGCACGTATATGTATGAACACATACTGGGTTTTTTTTCTCCTTAACTGCAGATTGCACTTCCTCTCTTGGGAGACATCGGTGTCTTGCTCAAGGTATTCTGTTGCTATGTAAGAAATTATGTATTAACTTTTAGGAAAAATTAGGAAGGAAATCTTTGTCAGAACTGAGTTAATTGCTTAGCCTGAACTAAAATTCAATTTTTAAAAGGCAGAACATCTTTTAGATAGAAAAAGGAACACATATTTTTATGTATCTTGTGCCACTTTTACTAACCCCTCCATTCTCTTCTTCTTTACATCCCTGTCTGTTTGGGTATAAGGGGTGGGGGGGTGAAAGTGGTAGTTCTGAGTTGAGCTACATGGGAGGAACAGTGTCATCAACACCCTTGAGTAGACCATTCTCTCCTCTGGAGGGACAGCTTTCTCTTCATGGGTGTTTACCACCCCTGGCTCACTGCTGTGAAACCTGATCCTTCTCACTGGAGCTACCCTCACCCGTCCCAGGTTGAAAACCAGTGCTGCTCAATAAACAGCCAGCTCGCAAGGCTGTGCTTTGATGTCATGGGATTTTACAAAGTGAGCTGCAAAATTCCAAAGCCAACAATTGCCCTAACACCTGTTACTCTGTTAAGTAAAAACTATCTCTACCCATTATTCATCTCATAAGGGATAAATCTTGCTACCATTTTTTTCTTTAATACTACCCTGTATTTTATGTGTAACACAGATGAGAAAGAATGATAATGGGACACTTGTAAGGTTATGTATTTGCATATTTCTTCATGGTATGCTAAGATTGAGTGAACCCATATGAAAATCTGTTCCGCTTCACATTATACTCAAGCCTTATGTGTCCTACCTGTCTATATATGAACGTACAATGTATATGTACACACACACACACACACACACAAACACACACACTTATGCTATATGTGTATAAATGTGATTTATTTTATATTCCTACCATTTAGCCCAATGGTTTGTACAATGACTTACATAAATTTTATCAAATTACTAAATTTGTTAATTTATTAAATTAAATTAAATATCTATTGAATTAAATTCAAAGACTCAAGAATTCTAGTATAAGTGTTTGCTGGATATTAGTTTTGAGAATATATATATAAACATAAATATAAATATAAAAATATATTAGAGGAGATTTTTAAGACTTTCAGAAGTCAACAGTTTCTTTTAAGTCAAAAGAGAATATTTGGGGGGGATTTTAGGAAAATCTTATATAAGTTGAGCTAATTACATGGCAGGCAATACACTGCTTTACTTAAATCGTCTCACTTAATCTTCACAATAATCCTGTAAATTTAGGTTGTGCTAGTATCCCCGTTTTATATATTAGAAACTGAAGTTCTAAGTAGCTAAGTAGCTTCCTCAGAGTCACACAGCTAGAAAGTGCAACATGAACCCAGGAACACAGGTCCCCAGACATTATCTTAGGTTCTTCACAAGGACAGTAATGTTGAAAGTGGCAGGATTGTAAGAGTTATACCTAACCATCCCAGAATAGTTAGGATCAAGATGTACACACTTCAGCAGAAATGCATATCCTGACAGAATATGGGGTGGCTCATAGAATAGACAAAAAGACCGTGAGTAGACTCTGACAAGGAGAGCCAGGACTACACAAACACCTCAGAAGTGGACATAATTGATAGTTTCACCAGGGCAGCATCCCTTTAATGAGTGTGCTCCACCACTTTTCGAGCCCTAACATCATCTCCCTGAGTTTCTGAGTCCCAGGAAAGCTGATTGGTGAGAGGCAGGCAGGATACCTCCACTGACAGTCCCAACACACTGCATCCCATAGAAGAGGAAAGCGTGTTGTCCCCCAAATACAGGAAAGCGTGTTGTTTAGATTGGAGATTGGATCTATTAGGTCAACTTAATGTAATTTTAAAATCCGATCCTATTTCCCAACACATGAAGTCTCCCTCTCTGTTCAGAGTCTTTATGTAGCGAATGTGATCATCTGCTTTCTGTTTTCAAAAATACCCTTGATTAAAGTGTAGTAAAAAACTGACATAATTCCAGGCCCAAATGACATCCCTTCAAAGACCTTCCTCTGGGTTAATCTGTGTGTCAGTTCCTCTTTGAGTGAGATTGTACACTGGCTGATAATTGATGCATCTTTATTCTCTCTATACAAAAATCTAAAGACTTTTTTCAAGTTGAGCCACTTACATGGCAGGCAAATCATTTCCCTTGATTTACCATTCTGGCAATCCAAACCTAAAGAAAATGAGGTCAGGCCTGAGATATTATAAGTGGTGGATCTACAAATATATATGTATTTTTTTAATTCCTCTACCAATACATCAGCTGTGTGAAAAGATCCTAATGGCAAAATTAGTTTTGGGAGATATCACACACTCTGGCTCCTTGTTATATATACCAGCTCTGAGAAGGACCACCATGAAGAGAACTCTTTAATCCAGCTGTTTTTAGGGAAATTGCCTCAGAACCTTTTCAATAGCATACAGAATTAGCCTTCCAAGGAGCATATTTTTGGAAATCAGACTTGTTCTGATATTCACTGAGTCAAAAATATTGAACTCGAATATCCATGAGCTTTCTTGCCAATGGCAAGCTTCAGTTCCCTTTTCACATTTCAAGATTCTTCTCTTTGGTGAAAGGGATAGAAGAAAAGAGGCCTATATTGTCCTACCGTCTGTCAACTGTTAAAATTAAACTATGTCCTCCACTCACTGGTCCCCATTCTGTGCCTTTCCTGTTCATATTCTTATTCTAACAATTTAAAAATAAGCCTTTATAGGGCTTTTCGCAAACACTTTTTCTTTACAATGTGATAAGGAGTTTATCTTGTAGGCTCAGACACTTATATTCAAGTCTTTCCACATCAGCTAAAGGTTACAGAGGAGGCAATGGAAAGGTAATTCCACTTAGATTTCCTATCTGCACTTGGATTTGACATAGAAGTCAAGTCCAAGTCACTCAAGTAATTATTTCTCACATGAGTGCTTCCACTGACAAAATGTTGGCAAACTGTGTGTACGGTTCTCCAACTAATTTTGCTCTCAGAAAGAGAAATCCTTTCTTCACAGCTTTTTCTTTCTTTCTCTCTTTTTTAATGATTTATGCCATTGGCTGTATGAACTCTGTAATCTTGTTAGTTATTCTAAACTTTATTACTGCCTCTCGTTTTAGACATACAGTTACACAGTTGAAACAGTCTGTGTTTTTGACTTATGTGTCTTTTCCTTATATATTTGGAATCTTCCATTTCAGTATCATCATAGACATGCTTTACAAAGGTCACCAATGTCATCAACAGATATAATTGACTAGCTTCATAAGTAGTTTTTACCTCACGAAAAAATAGTCTTTCCAAATTGGATCAATTCTCTGAAAGTAGTGATATATCAGTTGCTCTATCATTCATCTCTGACAGAGATTCATATCTGATCAGATCTCTCTTTTATAGATTACTTTGCTGAATCTCTCAGTAACCTTATCTCTATACTCATTAGAACTTCTGTGGCAACTGCCAAGCCAGTGTCCCTGGGCTGAAAAGCCACAAAGGAGAAGAAATAGGCGCTGGTGAGCCTGGAAAGTATGATTCTATCACCCAGAAGGTAAGATGGCAGGCTGAACGTTGATGGGCCCTGTAGGTTACACATAGTACCTTCTCTCATTTCTCTACTGCTCTGTCCTCTAGGGTGATACAGGACCACGGGGTCCCCCAGGAATCCCAGGCAGAGAGGGACCAAAGGTAAGGCAGTTTCTCCTCTGCTTTCTGTGGTACCTCCAATTCAGTGTGAAAAATAAAACCGATTTAAAAATTTTTTTAATGTTTATTTTATTTATTTTTGGGAAAGAGAGCATGAGTGGGGAAGAGGCAGAGAGAGGGAGAGAGAATCCCAAGCAGCGTCCGCATAGAGCCAATGCGAGGCTCGAACTCACAAACCGTGAGATCATGACCTGAGCCAAAACCAAGAGGTTGGACGCTTAACCAACTGAGCCACCCAGGTGCCCCAACAAAACTCATTCTAAACACACTACTTTTTATGAAAGCTATTTTGGAAAAGTGGTGTAAAAGCCACGTGCAAAGTCATTTATTTGTTTCCTGACTCTGCCCAAATTACATGTCCCAAATGTACTAAGAAGAGATATTTTCATTGTTTTAAAAGATGACAGAATGATTCAGTATACTAGCTGAAGTTCTTGTCTTTTTAGGGAAGCAAAGGAGAGCGGGGCTACCCTGGGATACCTGGAGACAAAGGTGACGAGGTGAGACTCTTCTCTGATAATATAGTCCTGCTATCGATTCTCTTTATGTGACTCGGAGGAAGGACAGCAACTCTTCTATAGCTCATGTTTAATGTTAAATCAAATAAAAACAAAGATTAAGGTAGGTTATTTCAAATGTCAACACATTTTAAATAATAATACGTTGATGTATTGTCCAGTTGTATGTATTGTCCATTGATGTATTGTATGGTCTAGTTTTTGAGATAAGGAAATTAGAGCACAGAATTGACAGGTCAGTTACTATGTTTTTGTTTTCATGTAGCAGGTAGCAATTCCAGCTCTCTCAAGATAAAAGCAAGGAGAAGGAGGAAGGAGATTTACTGCATAGAATCCCAAGGTAGCTAGTAGAATTGAAGAAATAGTTGAAAAACCAGCCTAGGAAAAAAGGCAGCTCCAGAACTCAGCAGAACTTCCCTGGGACACTGCTGTAACATGATTCAACTTTAGTGACCTTGGTTTGTCTGTGTCTCTGCTCAACTTTTATACTCTTGGGAGGAAAAAAAAAAACTATCAAAAGGATCTGATTCAACTAGTTTAGACCAGCTGCCTACCCCCAGACGAAGGTTCAAAGTCAAATTAGTTTTGAGACGATGATATAATTTTCTGACTCTAAGCCATGGTGATGCTCAGGATATCATTCTTTTCCTGCATAATTTACCTTAACTCTTAGAAAAACCAATTAGGATGATGAATTGTTGTTAGTTTAAACAGTTTTGATGCTAATAATTCTTAATGAAAGTAAGTAAGCCATCTGGCATATATTAACCTTGATGTTAGTACTGAAAATCATAACGGTATAAAGTAGATCTATTTTTTGAGTCAGAGTTATATTTCACATTACAAATTATCACCATGTGTTATTGTTTTTAATATTGATTCTATTTTAGAAAACTGTGAGAATTGGCTTGCTTTTCTTCAAGTTAAAAATTAAAAAACAAAGAAATACAACATTTATTTTCATCCATAAATAAAGCAGTAAAGGCATTTTATTTTCAAAATAAGAGTTATTGGCTTTTGTTTCTTCATGCTTCACAGAAAGTTTCACTAATGTACAAGCCCTATCTCTGATTTTAATAGTCTAACAGCTTAATTTAACTGCCTAGCTCCAAGGAGTAGGCTTTAGAGGAATTGAGAAAGTAATAATAAAAAGATCAGGAAATAATTGGAATTCAGGTTTTTTATAAGTGACTCTAAGTTAAATTTATTAGAAGTTAGTTTTGATTAATTCTACACGATACCTTGCTCTTTTGGTAAACTGAAATCCATCGTTATTATCGTTCCATTATTTTAGTATGTTCTTTCTTTTTATATATATAGTTTTATGCACTTTAATAGCAAACTTACAGGAAGAGCACAGAATATAGACAACATTAAAAACATGTACTTGCATGTAGGACAACTCAGAAAAGCACAGGGAATGGATGGAATCTACTCTATGATAAAAATGCTACAAATACCTCCTAGTTGCCGTCAATAAGAAATGTACTTGTTTTTAAAAAATCCAAATGCTGGCATTGTCCAGAAAAATTTAACAGATTTATTTATAATTGTTATAAAGTTGAACTGCTAAAACGTGTTTACTGAAACATACTGACTTGCATTAATGCTTTATGTCCTTGCGTTTATATTAAAAATTCACACACAAATGAAAATGGAAAAACTGCCAATACCTGATTTCTGTCCCCTATTTTTTTCATTTGCAAGCATATATTTAGGTACCTTTTGATCCCAGAACTACCAGTGACAAGAAGACAATTTCTTTTTTGTAAAGAATGAAATGTTTTCCATCATAGTGGATACTTAAGCATGTTCTCCATGTACTAGCGGATGTCTTGTGGCATAACTGTTACACATTTGGTATGGATGGCACACAGGTTGGTGTCTTCAAAGAGACCCAGCACATAGGCCTCACTTGCTTCCTGCAAAGGACCAGTAGCTGCACTCTGGAAGCACAGAAAGGAAGTTTGTGGATCAGAAGTTCAGTGAACTTCTGATAGCATCTGCTTCTGGGAAGTGCCACAGTACCAGGCCTGTAATGATGAGGTTTCTTCACCCCTTCAGTAGAGGGTGCACTCTGACCAGCAGCTTTTGTAGCCCGTTGCTTCCTGGGTACTTTCCCGCCTGCTGTGGATTTGCAGGCAGTCTGCTTTATAGGAGCCCTGGTCCAGAGACCTCCTTACTTACCTCCCTTCTTTGGCTGGAGCTCGGCAAGCTGGAGGCAGCACTGGCCTTAGTGAGCAACTGCAGCTCAGTGGTAACTGCCTACTGTGTTCTTTCTTAAATATAGTAGACCCCCAATACCTGTGGGAATGTGTTTTAAGACCCCACCCCCTGTGGATGCCCAAAACTGCAGATAGTGCCAAACCCTATATATACTATGTTTTTTCCTATATACACATACACATGATAAAGTTTAACTTATAAATTAGGCACAGTAGGAGATTGATGATAATAACAAATATTAGAGTAATTATCACATACTCTAATCAAAGTTAGGTGAATGTAGTCTCTCCCTGTCTCTAAATATCTTTTTGTACTCTAATCCTTCTTGTGATGGTGTGAAATGACAAAATGCCTATGTGAGGAGATGAAGCAAGGTGAATGACGTAGGCATTCATTGTGACATAGTGTTAGGCTGCTGTTGATCTGACAATAAGTCAGAAGGAGGATCACGTGCATCCAGACAGTGGTTGACCGTGGGTAACTGAAACCATGGAAAGGCAAAGTACTGTGGATCTTATGGATTCTTTAACAGAGAGCACACAAAATTTTGCACAAGGCTCTTGTCATATGGAGAATTCCAGCAAGTTCAGAAGGAGATTATTTTCAGTTGTGTCTTCACTTCCCATGAATAGTAGGAATAAGCCTGAAATATCACACTAGCTCAGTTGAGCCTTTTGGAGGGGCTTTTCCTCCCAGACAGATGGGAAATAAAGAATATTGTCTTGTCTTCCACTTGAACTCAGATACTACCTGAAATTATAATTTATTGATTTATTTAGGTGAATGAAACTTTGACCAAGAATGTGTGCATCCCCAACTGGCCAGCAAACTATGCTATTTTAATATGTACATAACACCTAGTCTTACCAAATCTCAAATGTCTGTTCTGTTAGTGGAAAGATACAGAGGGATACCTCATCTCTTTGAGGACTTCAGTGTAATCTGTTTGGGAACTTAGAGAGAGGAGTTGCCTGTTTGCTCATTGCTCTGAGGAAAGTGACAGTATCCTCTACGTTTTTTGCAGATGTTTCACAACTAAAGTGGCAACTTATAAGACACTAATAGAACACGCTCACCTCTCATAGAGTGAATTCTTGCTTGGAATGCAGATTTTCCTACAATATTTCAGGATAATAATTGATAAATAGGCCATGAAAAATATTGTCAGCCATAAATTATAGCAATGGAAAAATAAATATTCTTGGTCACAACTAAGCTAGGACTTGCAAAATCAAAATCTCTGTTCAGAGAAGGAACTTAGCTCTAATGACCCTTGAATATCTATGCAATAAATTTTATTTTGGATTTTAGTTTGGCATTATATGCTAAATTGACTCTGCTACTCTTTAATATGTATTTGTCTTCTTTAATGACCATCTTGTCTTCTAAAATTATCTTATTGCCCTTTATGCATCCATAGTAACTTTTACCCTTACTACAAAATTTCAGCTTGTTCAGAGAAAGCTGCTGAGAATGATTTTTTTTTATTTATGGACTAAGGTTTATTTTAAAGTTTAATGTGGTCATCAAAGGTTAATGAGTCCCAAGCTTATAAATTAAACTACCTAAAGACTCACTCAGCATCTCTAGACTGATTCAGTAATGAGACTAAAAGTAGCAAAAAAAAAAAAAAAAAAAAAAAAAAAAAAAAAAAAAAAAGAATACATATGTACACCCATATCTTATACATGTACATATAGAGAGAATTTTATGGAAATGTGGGTATTTTGAGATAAAGCAATTTGTGGTATGGCATTTATAATCTCCAGACATTTAGAGGTGCCATTTCCAAAGGAAATTTGTTTCTGTTCAAATTTTATAAGCCCATAAATAAGTTAAGGGTGGGGAGTGAAAAGAACCAATACAACATGCCAGTGTGTTCCATCCACACATGTCTAACCATGCATGTGTGCATGTGGGTGTGTGCACGTGCGCACACACACACACACACACACGCAGCATTGCCAGTGAGGATGATATCATCCTGAAGAAAGAATATATCCACATTCTTTAACATAAGCGTACATAAGATTTTTCCTCAAACTCTTATTTCATGAGGAATTTCAGCATGTTCAAGGAGATTCTTTTCAATGTTTCTTCATGTCATATCACATGAAAAAACCTGAAGTAACAAATGACCCCATTTAGCATTAGATGGACAATCTGGCAGAACTTGGTCATTGATCGCACTGACACAAAAACCTTGACTCTATAGAACCTTGGTCCTGTAGAATCTCATAAATAAATATGCAGTAGTTTTTCCATGGTCAATCTAATATTTATAATGTGTATAAAAATGCATGTTTCATCACAGTTAAAGGTAAAAGAGCTTTGTTATAACAGTGAATGGCTTGGCAATGTAAAAAGATAACTCAGCAAAGAAAATTAAATCCTGAAAGTGTTATCATTCAACCTAGACCTTGATACATCATATGTTTATCTGAAATAACAAAAGGGTATTTAAAAGTATATATTTCTAATTATAGAAGTCACCTGAGTTTTATTATAGAAAATTTGTGAAATACATAAAAGCACTAAAAAAATAAAAGTTATCCCTATGTGTACTGCTCAGGGAGGGCTGTTGGTAATAGTAATATTATGATCTATAATCCCAAAGCTCAGAAACCTCTGAAAACCTTGGAAATGTTTCTGTAATTTTCAGGAAATTCTTTGGGCAGTCAAATATGACCTGAAATCATATGGAGCTGATCTATTTATCCTACTTGATAAAAATTTCATGTTTTGCTACAGACATATTTGTATGTTTATTAGAGGGTGCTGCCGCAGGTGCACTGGGAGTGTTTCATAATATCTAATGTTAGCACTGTGTTATTTTTTTTTTAATTTTTTTTCAACATTTATTTATTTTTGGGACAGAGAGAGACAGAGCATGAACGGGGGAGGGGCAGAGAGAGAGGGAGACACAGAATCGGAAACAGGCTCCAGGCTCTGAGCCATCAGCCCAGAGCCTGACGCGGGGCTCGAACTCACGGACCGCGAGATCGTGACCTGGCTGAAGTCGGACGCTTAACTGACTGCGCCACCCAGGCGCCCCTGCACTGTGTTATTTTTATTAAAAAATCAGAAAATTCAGAATTCTGAAACAAATATGACACCAAAGTTTCCAGATTAGGTATTTTGAACCTTCTAGCATTCTCATCTTTTGTGAAGTGCCTGGATAATTTTTTAATAATTTAAACGTTACTCTATGTAACATTTTGTAACTTTTATTTTCCTATGTTAGCCAGTAGTTTGATGAAACATGATTTTAATAGTTGCATATTATTTTATATTATTTTACATAGCTAATTTAACTAATATTTTGTTGTTGACACACTTGGTAAAAGAAAAAAATTTATTACAGAAGCTAACAGTTAACATTGCCAGCTCTTCTTCGAATATATAAATATATCAGTATCAGAAACCCTACTCAGTATCATTAGCATTATTCTACAACTCCGAGAAGGAGAAGGAGGGGATATTCATTCACTTTTATGCTTAAGCCGTTAAAGGGTTCTAAATTTAAATTCACTGATGAGCCAAATTTCTTCTTATAATGAACTGTTCAGCTAAACTAAATATTATATCATAAAACATATTCCATTTTTCCACTAGCTGAATGAAGCATTAGTGTAATCGTGTATTTCTTTGATGGGCATTCTGCCAATCTGAAATGTGTATGGCCATGCTTAGCAGTGCCAGAGTCTCAGTGATGCTATTGTTGATGGGGTGGTTCTGTGAGATCAGAAATGCTCTATGAATCACCAAACACATTAAATTAAGTTTGCTGCAGATTCCATGTCATGGCATTTTAGCTGGCCATCCTTACCCTTTGAAAGCAGGTATTTGTATCTATCATCTATATCATGTTTTCAGCCAACATAGATGTTTAATTTCAATAGTCAAAATATTTGATCAACTAAAATGCCTTGCTTCTAACTATGTAACAGATTTTATGATAGGAACTATTTCTTCTAGGGTCTTCAAGGAATTCCAGGCCTTCCAGGTGCTCCAGGCCCCACTGGACCCCCTGTAAGTATTCACTAAAGCTATTCCATTCACAGTTCCCATCCGCTGGGATGATGCAAGGTGAACTAGATTCCACGTTGCCTTTTGTTCTCTGTGTGTCTATGTAGATTATCCAGCTGTTGCCTAGAAAAATAGCATCCCATGTCTCAAGTTTTCATTTAGTATTACTTAAGGCTGCTCAGGTTCATAGAGATTTGTCATCAGAATTCTATGAGAGTAGAAGCAGTCTGTAATTAAGCTAGTCTATTTGAATAGAAGTTATATGTAAAAGAGCATTCTATTTTTTTATTTATAATTTTTCATCATTAACCTTTGTAAGAGATATTCAGATGTTTACACCCTTACTTTCTTAAGCACCATGAACTAAGAATATACATTTTTTTTTTAATTTTTTTTCAACGTTTATTTATTTTTGGGACAGAGAGAGACAGAGCATGACAGGGGAGGGGCAGAGAGAGAGGGAGACACAGAATCAGAAACAGGCTCCAGGCTCTGAGCCATCAGCCCAGAGCCCGACGCGGGGCTGGAACTCACGGACCGCGAGATCGTGACCTGGCTGAAGTTGGACGCTTAACCGACTACGCCACCCAGGCGCCCCAGGAATATACATTTTTAAAGGGAAAAAGATGGGCCAAAGATTATCAGACTCAATTTATTTTTTGCCTATTTATCCATTAAAATACCATCTACTTTAGATAACACCTTTTTTTCACTGCCCTTCAAACACAACATCGTGGTCTTTGGTTATACTGTTTTCCTAAAAACTGTTCACCTAAACTAAATATTATATAATAAAGCATATTCCATTTTTCCACTAGGTGAATATCTCTTTTCCTTTCTTACTTGCTAAGCCCAACCTGTCACTAATGTGCTGTCGAGTGTAGAGTGGCCTGTTAAAATACAGGACATGCAGTCATATTTGAATTTCATATAAATAAATAACGTTTTTAGCATAAGTTGATCCCAAATGTTGTATTTTTATTTGCTAAATCTAGCAACCCTACTCAAGTCTCAACTTCTCCAGCAATTCATTTGAGTTCCCATGCAAATTGTATTTCCCACATGAGTAGGCATGTGATCATGTTCCTTTGTGTTGTAAAGCATGGGTTCGCCATAATTAAAATCTTATCATTTATGCCTTCACCACAGTTGTATAGAACAAACCTGGTTTTAAATTTTACATTAAAATTAAAAGTTAAGAGAAGAGCTGTGAAAAGAACCATGGTTATTTTCACTATCCATTCTCAAAGAAGAATTAAAATTAAATTATATTTTCCATTGGTAGGAGGCAGATCGCATAACTTAATATGCACGTTGTTAATTCTACCGTGTCTTCAAGTATTTAAAATGTTGATCGCTACCAAAATTATAGCTCGTTTAGGAAGGCATAATGTTATGTAAATTGCCATTTAAACAGCAAGGCTAAATTCTTAAATGTATCAAAAGGTTCCAATTAAGGTCATTAAATGTGGTTGGCCAAGGTGAAAAAGCGACCACAAATACAAATTTTACCCTTGCAAGGGCTTATCAGCAGGATACAGCTGCTGTATCAGCCTGAAGACATATAAGCTTATAGGACTGATTTAATTAGGATCAAATGACCTTCAAAACGTATCAGTTTTAGCAACCAACTTCCAATGCCTTTTGGCCATTTAGTTGTTTTTTGTGTAACAAACTTGGTTTTGTGTTTTACAGGGCTTGTTAGGAAGAACTGGACATCCTGGCCCCATGGGAATAAAGGGTGACAAGGTACAGAGGAAATGCCTCACTTACTCTCTCAACTGGGGCTTGGGGGATGGCAAGGTGAGACCATTCACAGAGAGATCTGTAAAATCAAGCAAAGCCTGAAAGTAGGAATAATGTCAGGGAATAGTTACTCTGGTAGGGGGCTTGAAAGGACATACACACAAAAATTGGTCTGAATACAGGTTCCTAGGGAAATAGAATGAATAGAAAACTGGTGTCATATAGTAAAAGTCCAAGCTGGATTCAGGGTCCTGGCATCTAGCTATGTACGAGGATGGAGTGGGGGAAGCCTTCTGAAGAGGTGCAGGTAAGATGGTTTGTATCAGGAACTCCAGCCACAGGTATCAAGGCTTCAGACAGCTCCCTGAGAAAATCTGGAAGTTCTGTCCTTTGAGAGTCATAGGGGAAATTCACTAAGGAATTAGGACACTTGTTTTCTGGGGAGTCCAGTTGATTGGACAGATGGGTTGCTATGGTCAGAGGAGTCTCAGGCAGAAAGACCACAGGGCTTCATATGTTTACCCGCTTTAGGTCTAAATTGGCTCCACACTGTAAGTCCAGACACAGCTAGCCAACAAGTGAAATAAGATTAGGTACTCAAATGAGGGGAGTAAGAATCAAGAATCCACGTAAGCTACTCAGGTGGCTTCTACACTGAAATGACCAAAATGGGGCATAGTGGCATCAAGAAGCAAAGGAATTAAAAAAAAAAAAATTGAAAGGAGCCATGTGTTTATTTTAGATAGTCTCTGCACATTTTTTTCTGATAGTCTTCCCAAGAAGCTTGCCCAACCCCACCAGCCTTTTTTCTCTGTTCTCTATGGAAATTATTCAGAGATTTGCCTTTTGAAGTTAATGGGAATTCCACACTGAGATGAGCTTTGGGGCACAATCAAGGATGAAAATACGACTTTTAATTGTGCCAGGAAAAAAGAGTCTTTTCAACAGGCACATATTTTTCCTTGTTTGTTGTGCTTTCATAGTTCATGAGAACTATGACATAATTCCCTGGAGGACATTGCTAGCAGTCACCAGCAGATGACATGTCTTAGAGAGCTAGCCACCATCAAAGCAGTTTGGGGAAAGATACAATATACTCGTTGTCACTCATTCTCAGGCAGATACATTGCAATAAAAACTTTACAGTTTATTTTCATTGATAAAGATACAAATAGTTTTTATGACACTTTTTTTTTGTTACTGGAAGAAAGTGGGGAGATTGGAATGAAATCCTTCATCAAATTCATGGATATGAACTGAAATCCCTCAAAATTTGGGGGCATTATAGGCAGGAATTTTACTGTCTCTGGATTCTTTTTTAATTAACCGTTTCTTGCCATTCCCATGACATTAAGGGACTTAAAGATTTTATGAGGCTATTATTCTAAAAGAAAAGCACAGTTACAGGAAGAACTGGTTAAAGGCATCAAAGGGACCATAATATCTTTGCTTAATATGGATCCGTAAGCATTGTATGTTTTATAAAAATAAAAGTGAAATCCATTTTTCAGGTTTCAGCTTGAATTCATTTTTCACAATTCCATTTTTAGTCTTCTTCTCCTGTAAGCAGAATGTCTGAGGCTGTTTAAACTTTAAAGAACATTTTCCTTAAACAATGTTGTACCACAGTCACTTCTGTTCAACGGGATGTGCCTGACTTGGTTGTAAAGTCTAATATTACCTTAGGGAGTGAAAGAAGTTTCTCCTCCCGCAAGACACAACCAGGGTGTGATTTTCTACTTTAGTCAGATTATATGGATGGTCCTCTGGTTCCCCAAAGATGAAGGTGGTAGAAATGAGGCTGAAACTGAGGGGCTGACCCTGGAAGGCATATCCCCAAGCCTGTCCCTGCTTGGAAGTATGCTACTCTGCACCCCGACAAGGACAGAATTTCCCTAGCTACACTTAAAGTCTAGGGCAGGATCACCCAGGCAGCCTAGCTCCATCTAAAAATAAGCTTGATCCCTGGGGCCCACACACTGGCAATCCGAACGGGTATGGGAAAAGGCATTCACCTTTCCTGTGGTCTGGGAATGTATTTTCCCAGGTGAAAGAAAAGGCCAAGCTGAATAAGACTTTGCAAGGCTGAAACAAAATCATATTGATTTTAGAATACAGCTCTCTGAGCAAGCACAATCTGGTTCATAAACTTGGTGTAGAAATGTGTAAACCATTGATTTTTGGTCTCTATATCCCTTGCAGGGCAGTGAGGGACCCCCTGGGAGACCCGGACCACCTGGACCGCCTGTGAGTTACTTCAGGTTTAAAACTTAAATTCATATATGTTAGTAACTCAGAGGTCAGACTACATTTAGATATTCTCAAGGACAAAAGTTGTCTGATACTTATGTGTGTGTGTGTATATACATATATACATATATATCAACTTTTATATATGTATGTGTGTATATATATTATATATATACGTATGTGTGTATATATATGTGTGTATATATATGTATATATATGTGTATATATATGTGTGTGTATACACACACACACACACACACACACACACACACACATAGATATATAGATGATAGCCAATGAAGCTTTGGGGAGACCTGATTTTTCCCCTTTAGTGCAGCCCTAATTTGCAGTGCTCAGATTTGCATACTACGGGCATCCCTACTCTGGACTCTGGAGACCTGAGTGTGTGCCCTGACTCTCCACTTCCTACCTGAGAGACCCTGGGAGAGTCATTTAACCTCAATGAGCCTCATACAGAAAAAAGGGGCTTTAAAAAGAGCTCCCTTCTGGCTATGTGAGTTGGTACAGAATTTGGTGTTATGCTATATGTGTTCATTATCATCCACGATGTCTGAGATGCAGAGAAATTCTATTTATATAGCACATAGCAAATAAAATGTACAAGAGCCATCAATGTTTTCATGCCTGCGATTGAGACAGATGTGCACTTTGTCAGGGAGACTGTGGAGAGGAGAAGTACCACTCTCCGTAGCAAGTCTGCCCTCATGTGGGGCCACGCTTAAATCACAGCAGAGCTTTGGTCCAGGCCAAATGTTCTTTTCCACCCTACCTCACAGGAATATTTTAAGAAACCAAACTCACCTAAGAAGGGACAGAATTCATCTTTCTGAAGGCAAGAAAGATATGTTATTAGGCTGCATGCAGTCACACACTTTATGCACATAAATAAGATTTGCACTCTGTTTTCTTAACTCTGTTCATTTTGTTCACTTGCCTTTTCCCTTAACAAAGAAGCAAGGTACAAAGCATTTGGGGCTCAAATCCTAAAATTCACTCCCTCTCCTGTGGACATAACAATCAAAATTAGCATGAGTTCACAAAAGGGACCTATATTTTACATGGGGTTAGGAAATCTTCTTCCCCCTGAATTCTTCAAAACTATTCACTGTTCAAGATAAGTTACATATTGTCTCTTATGAGAAACCTTCTCTGGAAATCTCAGACAAAAATATCTTTCATCTGACAAGGACTCAGCACACTAAAATACAGTAGACATTCAACAATTGTCAAATGAGTGAGTGAAATAATAAAGGAATAAATGAATGGAACATTTTTCCTTCCATCACTAGTGTGTTGAAGATGTATGCAAATCCCATTCACTGAACACCATTGGCCACCATCACCCAAAAACAATGAAATGATGGCTTCTTCAGTTTTGTAACTGAAATGTGGAAATCACAAAAGGGAAAAATGCAGGTTGTTGATTCTTTGGGAAATTTTTAAAAGAAGGATAAAAGGCCCCAGTTAAATTTTTATATGCAAATTTTGCCTGAATGCCAAAATGTATGAATTTTTAAAATGTATTTATTATTTGAAAGAGGGAGAGAGAGAATCCCAAGCAGGCTCCGAGCTGTGAGTGTGGAGCCCAACTCCGGGCTCGATCTCATGACTGTGAGATCATGACCTGAGCCAAAACCAAGAGCCGGATGCTCAACCGACTGAGCCACCTAGGCGCCCCCAAACTGTATGATTTTTTAGATTCTCAATTTAGTTATCTTTCTGTTAGTTACCAGGGGGCTTTCTATTCACAGGTCAGATTTATTAGGAAGTTCTTATTCCCTTTTGTTCTACAGAATATATTTTTGTAGAAACATCCACAAAGGGTTGTGAGTAACATCATTTCCCCCATTTACTTTAATTTTCTACTTACTATGAAGAGACCGTAGAAAAAAATTACTTTTCAGAAACCAAATTGCTCCCTGTTCACATCTTCATCAGCACTACCGTGTTATAGCCTGCAGGTCACCGGGCTGTAAACAATGAGCATAAATTGGCAATTCAGAAACTGAATTTTAATGAGCAAATAGTATTTTCCTCTGAATGCATTAGCGTCTTATCTGTCAGACCCGAACATTAATCACACCCTCACTGAAAGTCTCTCTGTGCTCCAGGTACAGCTCACATTCCTTTCCATTCCCCACACACCGCCCCCCACCACACACACACATTTTCTTTTGAAAAGCCAACAATAGAAACTTGGTTTTATTATACTTGTAGCATTAAACTCCCTTTCTAAAGTAAAATCGGAGAAATATCATTTGGTAAAAAGATAAAAGATAGACTATTAAGTTAAAAAAGAATAATTCTTTATCTCATCGCTTTCCTAAGGGTGTACCATTCAATGAAGGAAATGGAATGAGCAGTTTATATAAAATCCAGGTATTTACTTTTGTAATTATGTAAAATTATTTTCCAGTGATGAGTTGCTGTAAACTGTTCTCACCGTGTTCTTTCTTTTTTGAAGGGAGGTGTGAATGTTCCCAGTTTTCCGGGCCCCCCTGGCCCCCCTGTGAGTACAGCTGTTCATTACCAAGTATACTTTAGCTGAACAGCCACAATAAGTAAACGAACAACTCCTAAGTTCACTGAAAAAAATACATGTTACAAATATAACCAAAATCTTATGCAGTAGGAAATAAATGATAACCAATTTAATAAATAGAGCAAACATACACAGCCTAAATCACGAAAAACAGCATTCTGCATGGTGGTGTCACTTTCTGGATTGTACATCTAAGAACAAAATCAGTGTCCAAGCAGTCACACTCGTGGGGGTTCCATCAAGTTATGTTTCTTCATCTTATTCTTCAAATCCAAACCATAGCAAAATAAAACCTGCAGATATTTCCTGTGTATAAAACAATTGTATTAAAATGCTCTACATTCTATAATTTTGCTTTTCCATCATTATTTTCAAAGTGACTTCCCATGTTTTTCTTGTAGGGCCCAAAAGGAGACCCTGGCCCAGTGGTATGTATGTTCCCATGCTTTGTGTCATTTAAAAAATAAGTCTTTATTAAAGTTTGAACAAAGAGCATCCGGAAAAGATGGCCGGTCTTCTCAGATGTTCATCAGTTAACATGTTGGAAGCAGGAGGCAGGAAACCAAGGAAATACCAGCAATGTGTTCATTTTTAAGATGCTTTGGTCTTGATGCCACTGCCTTTGGCATTTGTCTCTTTTATTAGGATACTTTCAGAATCGCCCTGTGATGGAGGAAGGCACGAATGCAGTTCCTAATAAATGGAGCACTTTTTTCTGCTAGCATTATTTTGATGGTTAACTCAGTGTTAGGTAGATTGTGGAAGAGAAATACTTACTGGAAAGGAATTCCTTAATATATACCCAGCCTCTCCCTACCCCTCCCCCCAAAAAGAAAGGGACTGTGTGTTTGCTTTGAATGTCTTAGGCAGTTATTCTGTAGGAAATGCAGTATGCTGTCATAAACCTGCTTATTAGGTGTATCAGGAGGTTAACACTCAGCACGGGAAGAAGAGATCATGTCCCCAGCTACCCAGAGGGTAACAGTTGTTCTCAAGCATCCTTCTCAGCCATGGAGCATCATTCTGAAGGTTCTGCCAAATTTATTAGATTCCCTTTATTCCTTGGTAGTTTTTCCTGTCATGTTCTTCTCAAGCATATATCCTTGAATATGTTCTCTCATATTGCACTTGTGTTAACATTTTAACCTTGATTTATACAGTATGCCTGAAAGTCAGATACGCCTGAAACTGAAATAAAGTTTTCAAATTATTTTCCATTGTCATGTGAAAAAAATTAAGTCCCTTTCATTACAATACACTTTAGTAAAACTAGATGAGTAAATTTTAAAGACCACAAGAAGCATACAAGGTAATCTTTGCATATCTAAATATATTTTCAAAGGACATGCATTAAAGCACATATATTTTGTTATTGGCCAATATATATTAAGAGCCAGTTTTACCCCTGAAAGCATAATTTCAATTTAGATAGTACCGGTTTCTGAACCCCAATAATGTAATTTAGAAGTTTCCTTTGTTTTCTTATTCATGTAGCCCCCCTTTTATCTGTTAACAACTTTTATGCTTTCACCAATCATATCCTCCACTCTAACTTCAAATTTCTTTTATCTTGTTGATAAAAGTTTCTTCCTGGTCTTTCCCTCTCATACTGACTCACAGCCCCTCTGAATCATGTAGAGGCACCTAGACTTCACACTGACTTTTCTGGAATATTCTTTCAAGTTTTTCATTAATAATTGCATATCAAGGTCATAACATATTTTTAAAAGTATTATAATAAAGAATAAGTTATAATTCACTTGGATTGGGAAACAGGTAGCAACAAAAATATACACAGATTTGAGTAGACTTTGAAGGAATTAAGCTTCAAATTTCTTAGCTACAACAAAAGATAAAGAATAAAAACTGACTGAAGGATGTTCCTTGCTTTTAGAGATGTGATTTAAGTGGGTGAAGCAAAAAACAGAAATCTGGAATATAATGAAATAAACACTGTGTAAACCCTCAGGTTTATCTTACATATACCCTTGAAATGATTCTTTGGGCCCTCTGTCACCACTACCATGCACCTCCCTTCATTTCACACCAGTTGTCCCCTACAGGGAAATAATACTTTCTTACCATAAAAATAAGCCAGGAATGGTAGAATTATAGGTCAGAGTAGAAAATGAAAAAGTCACTTGGCAGTGGGGGGCGGGGGAGATTTACTCTTCGGCATCCTTCGTTTGCCATGACGGTAAATGTACACCACTGTTTCTAATCTTGTCAGTAAACCTTTATAGAAAAAAATTACCCTTAATTGAATTTATCTTCTGAGGTTCCCCATTTAATTCCTTTGGTATTTAATTTATAAGAAGCTTCAATTAAATATTTAATTATTAAGTACTTTCAAATAAATATTGATTGGGTGACCACCTTCCTCTGTCCTAAGGACTGTTGAGAATGTAAACAAAGAGAATCAAAAAGCTCATTTCCTTTGTCAATAACCCAGGACCTCTTTTACAGAGCTTTATGCAGAATAGAATCTGAACATCTTTTTTTTTTTTTCGTCTGATTGACAGGTTACATATTAGTGGACCTTTAAAAAGATTTCTAAGGCATGAGAAGTATCAAGTCATCTGCCTGTTCATTAAGTATTCTGTAATAAGGACAGTATCATAAATAATAATGGAAGTTGGAGCCTTTGTCATATTTTGAGGCAGAGTAGAATTATGCATGCAAAAATATACTTACAGAGAATGAAAGCTCCTTTTCTATGTGATTATGTTGAAAGCATCCAGTGTCCTAAGAAAATATTTGCAGTTAACATTAATTCATTAACAAGGATGTATCAAACAACTACCTACTTTATCTCTCTTAATTTAAAAGCCTTAATGTTTATTTGCTCAAAGTTAGCAGTGTCCTTCACCTAACTTTCCTTTTTCTTTTTCAATATATGAAATTTATTGTCAAATTGGTTTCCATACAACACCCAGTGCTCATCCCAAAAGTAACTTTTCTAAATATATTCCTTGAGAACCTGCAGTCTCCAGTTGGCCTGGGACCATCCACTAGAATATGTAAAAGATTTGTTTTAATGGAAATGCTTACCTATATTCTCCCAGTGACCCATGAGCTTGAGCTATAACTTTTAGAATCACCGGAGATGCTGCTTCTGGACCACCCTCTGAAGCATTCACAATTCATGTCCTGCTGTGGAGAATACTGAAAGATGGTCAACTTTACTATCAGACCTTCATCTTCCTCTGCTCTTAAAGAGTTTAGCCATATTCTCTGGTCATCTAGCATCCCTGGGTACCTCACAAATAGGCAAACTTCATTAAAGCCCAGCCTTTCCTTTAATTCTTATTGAAATTGGCATTATCACTGACTAGAGGGATTTGTTCTAATTAGATTCTTAATCAGAATAAAAATAATTAATCAGAAATTATATTCATACTTCTCCAGGGACTAGCTTAATCCTCAAACTGTTTACAAACACCAAATGCAAGAATGCAGATGTTTGAAAATAGAGCATACAGATTACTTGCTAAATTGCTAATCCGTGTTTGAGGGGATACTTTTTGGCAAAGAAAAAAATCTTTGTGTTTGAAACCAATGCTAAAAAACTTTATTGGTCATTGCTTCTGAATTTCCTATGTTCATATTTAACAGGGAGAACCTGGTGCAATGGGGTTGCCAGGACTAGAAGGATTTCCAGGTATAAAGGTAAGTACAGGGGTTAAAAATGGCACAGATTCAGCATTCAAAAATGTTTATTGAGCACCTCCTGTTGGACCAGGAACTGTTTTAGGCTTAGATACCTAAGAATACAAAACAGACAAAAATCTCTGCCTTCAAGGAACTTACTTTTTAGGAAGGGGATACAGAAACTAAAATAAACATAAATAAACAATAAATGTTGGTAAGTACTGTGGAAAGAAGGAGAAAGAAGAACCGGTTAAGGGGGCTCACGTGTGCTAAAGGAGAGGGGTCTGTAAATAGGAGTCTGAGAAAGCAAGATCTGAGCAAAGACTTGAAAGCATGAGGGAGAGATAGCCAAGTCCCCTCAACCCTGAAAGAAGAATCTAGTGTATAGCATGGTGATGATAGGTAGTAATACTTTACCATCTACTTGAAATTTGCTAAGTGCTCTTACCACTACGTGAGGTGATAGAGATGTTAACTAGCTTAATTTTGGTGAATATTTTACAGTGTATGAATATATCAAATCATTAAGCTGCATACCATAAATGTATACAATTTTGTGAAACAGTAAATAGCAGGTCTAAATGCCCTGAGACGTGAGCATTGCTGCTACACCAAAGGAGACCAGGGGAATGAGGGAAAGAGAGAGTGGTAGATGAGGTCAGAGAGGTAGGGGTAGAAGTAAGGTGTAGCCCAGCCATGTGGTCACACAAGGCAATACTACTCAAAATGTAGCCAGAGAGGACCAGTGCCAGTCTGCAAATTCTGTTATAGATCCTGTGGCAAGGTAAGTATAGATTGAGAATAAGTATTTAAAAACTTGTCTAGCAATTTAACTTTGCTGTGATATTCAAACATGTTATCAGTAAACTCACCTTGGTTCAAGATGTATTAGAACATAGAGGCACCTGGGTGGCTCAGTCAGTTCAGGGTGATAGGCCTGCAGGTGGAAAGCGAGAGTGGAAGCAGGCAAGCCTATTAGAAGACTATTCCCATAGTACAGGTTGGCTCAGATCAAAGTAGAAATGGTGGAGATAGTGAGGAGTGGCTAGAATCTGGATATACTGGGAAGGTAGAACCAAATAAGAGGAGTCAAGGATGACTCCCAAGTTTTTTGACCTGAGAAACTGGCATGATGGGGAAGTCATCACCTGAAATGAGGAATAGGCAGAGGCTGTGTAGACAGGGTGAGGATGATCAGTATAATTTTGGACATGAGGTCAAATTTGGCAGTATCTACTAGAGAGAAAAATAGAAGTAGTGAGTAGGCAACACAATATGAAGGCATGGAGTTTGAAAAAGGAGTCAGTGGAGCATGCTGGGATATCTATATGCTTGGAACAACCAAGTTTAAAACCAGAAGACTTGATAAGATCACCAGGGGAATGACAGTAGATTTCATAAAAGAGGAAAGGACCAAGGATGAGCCCTGAGGCCTCCAACATAAAGGGATCAGGAAGAAAAGGAAGAATGACCAAGTAAAACTGAGATGAAATGACCAGGAGGTAGGAGGAAAACTAGGTGTCCTGAAAGCCAAGCGAAGATAATGTATCAAGGTAAAGGAAGTGATCACTTGTCTCAAACACTGCAAATAGGTCAAGTATGATGGGGATGGGGTCAAGTAGGATGGCCAAGTATTAACCATTGGATTTATCAATATAGAGGTTTAGCAATAATAATTATTACTTCATTATTTTGGTAGGAGCAACTGTTGGATTTAATAGATTTAAGAGAGAATAAGAAAAAAGAATTAGAGAAAGCAAATACAGTATAAACAATGATCAAGGAGTTTTGCTGTAAAGGAAAGCAAAGAAATGGGCTGGGGGCTGCTAGGGGAAGTAGGTTAAGGTTTTATAAAATGGATTTTAGGAATGGACCATAGAAATATCATAATAGTCATATGCTAAAGAAATAATCCAGTAGAAAGGGTCAGGGGAGTGATGATATAGGAGGAGAGGGGAGAATTTCTGGAATGACATTCTCAAATAGCTAAAATAAAATGGGAACTAATATATAATAAATAGAAGGTTTGGCTTCAGAGAGGAAATGAATAGTTGATCTATGGTAACAGGTGGAAAAAAGAGTGTAGGGATACAGATGCTGATACATTGGAAGAAGAATTGGTTGGGGTCTGTAGAGTTCTTTTCTGATTGATTAAATTTTCTAAGAGATGGAGGAAAAAGTTCATCATCTGAGAGTGAAGTTGAGTGAGAAGAGGTTGGAGATTTAAGGAGAGGGTCTTCTAAGAGAAAAGGAGAGTCCAGGGACCACAGAGTATGATGAGTCGGCAGCCCTAGGCCCTCCACCCTCCCCACTGAGGTTCATGGTCATAAACTGAAGTGAGACTAGTCAGGGAGATCTCATCCAGCATGTCCACTAGGGTAAAGACATAGATTTAAACAAGTTTCCGGTTTTGACAGGTGAGTACTAGAAGCAAGAATGGGGCAAGAGAGTCAGTCGTGTACAAAGGGAGTGATTATAGCAAGTGGCCATAGAATTTAAACTAAATAAATAAGAGAGAGGCCATCTAGTGAGTTGATGGATAATGAAAAATCTGTTCAATGGATTCGCAGTCTTGGTGGCATCAAAAGTTTGGGAGTCCAAGGTACTCAAGAGAGTAGTTAAAACTATGGTGGTCCAATATCATAATTTATGAAATTGACATTATGGAGGGGTTACAGTTATTCTTACTGACAAAGTCTCAAATACAACAATGGAAATAAGAGGCAAGATGGTTAGAGGAGTGGTTCAAAGAACTGCTAGACCTCACTGTTGGGAGAACCATATTATCCAAGAGAAGGCCCCTTAATGTTAACCTTTTCAGATATACACAAGTTTCCATTGAATGAAAAGTTCCAATTTATTCATTTCATGGGTAAAAATCCCATTGCTTAAAAGGAGCAGAGTGAATCTGACAAGAATTATCTGTTCACACTGTTTACCTACTATTCTATTAGTTCTTTTTCTATTTGACGATAGCTATGTTTTATATATTAAAGATATTACTTCTATCTCATATGTTAGGGTTTATATCCTAGTCAATCTGGCCTTTCGTTTTCATGTTTAATCTCATTGTATATGTAAATATAACTTTTATGTAGTCAAATAGCAAATGATTTTCCTTTGTGGTTTCTTGTTTTGCTTTTATGCATTGAGTTCCTTTTATTTTTATTCTCAACCAAAATCAGGTAGTCACTTAGCATTTTCTTCTAGTTTTCTTGTACTTCATATTATTTTATTATTTACTCAATCTATATGGGATTTATATGGAGTATAACATAAGGAGAGGAATTAAACTTTTTTCAAGGAAACTATTCAATTATTAGCACTATTTGTTGAATAATACATCTCCTTTACTAAAATCCTGTTATGGATGTTGGTCTATTTCTGAGGTTATGTAACATTTTTATATCGCATTGATATACTGCTTAATCTTATGCCAATATTCCATTATTTTAATTGTTAAAGCTTTATTATATGTTTAAATATTGGTATTGCTAATCTCCTTATTGTTCTTCTTTTAATTTTTTTCTTTTATCTTTTCATTTATTCATTATCCCAAGTGAACTTTAATATCATCTGATCTAGCTGCAATTTCATAAGAATTGCATTAAATTTATAAATTAGTTTGGGTAGCAATGACACCTTTACAACATTGTCTTGCCCTCCAAGAACAAAACATATCTCTCCATTTAATCAAGTCTTCTTTTATGTCCCCGAGTGAAGTTATGAAGTTTTTTAATGTAGGTTCTGCTCAACAAAAATTGCCATTTTATTATCCCATATATAATCATTAGTACTTTTAGCATCGTCAGCTTTATCTGAAATACCACATTGCCTTTGGAAAAAGAGCTGAGTCACTCCACTGTTCAGAGCAATTCAGGAGATCTTCTAATGGCCTAATGAGAGAACTACAAAATTTCTTGTTCTAAATATTTTTATTCTAACCCTACATCCAATAAGGCATGTGTGGGGAAAACTTTTTAGAAGACATTCAATGTGCTCTCTGTTTTAAATATTGATAATGGATTACTTTTGAATATGTGGAATAAAAATACTGTCTTGACTAATTTTAGCTGTATGTGTGGAGTCCTATTAAAAATAGGTAATAGAAATAACCTAAATGCTTATTTTCATTAAGATTCTTATTTGCTTTAGTTTTATGGAGGGGAACAAGTTTTAACAAATTCAGTTAGCTGCTCATTTTATTTTCCCATCTGATGATATTGATAATGCTTATCAATACCAAAGAAAAGCTTTACCAAATCCAAATGATTATTTGAGCACTAATTTTATAGGTAAAGATTCTATCGATATCATTATAAGTAGCAATTTTTTTTAATCTCAACAGGGAGATCGGGGCCCAGCAGGTCCCCCAGGAATAGCCGGAATATCGGTGAGTCCAGAGTATCTCATGTTATTTTCACAGGGAAGAAGTTCCATCTCCACAGCAAATCTATAGCTAGGGAGCAAAATGGCTGAGGAGCACATGGTACCTCCTACCTAATCTCCTACTGATCTCCTACCTAATCATGATATCTCCTGCCTAATCTCCATTAGGTTCTGGAAACATCCAGTTAAAAAAATAAAACCCCATTCATCCCTGTCCATCCTCAAGAATGCTCCTTTCCTTTTTGCATTTTTCTTATTTTTTGTCTTTTTCTTTTTCCTTCCCAACTCATGTAAACGGTGGGGAAGGCAATGCCCAGTTACTGGTGCCAATATGTTAGTACACAAAACCAAATTTGGGGAGCTTGTTTTGTTTCTGTGTTCTTGTCTCATTTAAGGTTTCTTGGCCCTCAAAAGGCAAAGTTCTTGTGCTCAGGCATGTACTTCAAGTTCTTGGTATTAAGCTACAATCTGCTTGAGTTTTCCCTAGGCCTGGTGTTATTAACAGATCTTTACTGCTGCTAATGTTTCCTTGTAAACTAGCCCTTCCAGCCTCTCAATCATTTTTGTTGCTCTCTGGTGTCAAATGTTTTAATCTCATCAAGGTCTTTTCAAATGAATAGGAAGTACTCCAGGAAAGGTTGAAAGCATTTCTCTGAGCCCTAGGGATCGCTCTGATCTTCATTCATGATGCTCTAATTAAAATTTTGTGGCCATGCTTTATGAATAAGAGCCCACTTACTGTCGCTCAGTGCCCCTGCAGGGTAGGCCCAGGGAAGGAAAGTCAATGCAAACTATGTACTTGAGTCATAAGAACACAGATAAGAAAGGGCCTTACCATCCCCACTTACAACCACTCATTGACACCTACTAAGAACAAATACCACCCAGAACATCCATCACTACCCGCTGGCGCTCACCACCACCCACCACCTCTATCCTTTAAAAGGCCAGTGGCCACTCTGCTTTACTCTATTTAGTGGTTAAGTCTAATAACAAAAACTTAAAACCCATTCATACTCTGCAGAAAATCATCCTTTATAGAGGAGGAATCCCCTTATTTAGCTATTCTAGATCAAAGTAAATATTCGTTAGTATAATTGAAAAGTAACATGAAAATATTTTCTTTAGCAAGCATGTCAGGATTTTTTATACAAGAAAGTATTGTTCCTAAAAGTAAATTCACACCTAATCCCATTCCTTCTCCTGTCCCCTAATCATGACTATTCCTAGCAACATATTTGGAATTCTGTTTCCAGAATTGCCCTGAGCCCCCTACAACCTGCCCCGCTTATATTCATACCCTGTTTTTGTTTACACGTGGTATCATGAAGCTTAGTTCCCACTGTATTCACCCAGGTATGACTAAAAGTTACTTCTGGCTATGACCCTAAATTACATATGTATATAAGGGGAAAAATATTGGCAACCAATGAAAGTATTGAAAAAGTGAGTGACAGGCTCAAAAGGCAATCCAAATGAAGACCTCCAAAGATATTTTTGAAGGATACAGCATGATTGAAATAAGGGGCTTGGCTGTCTAAAGATCCTATACATTTACTTAGAATGCAGTTTTCTTATCTCATAATTAAGAGGATTAACTGACAATTACAGAAATAAAGAAGGCATAGAGATTTACTCATTGCATGTATACAACTGTATAATTAAAAATGCAACTTAATTTTTTTATAGTGGATCTTACTATGATTCAAGAAATAAAATACTCAAAAGATTCTGGAGATAGTGGTGATGGTTACACAACAGTATGGATGTACTGAATTGTACACTTAAAAGTGATTAAGCTGGTAAATTTTATGTTATGTACATTTTACTACAACAAAACAGATTTAAGGGGATTATTCATGTTGCAGCAGAGATGAAACCTGCCTACTCAGACTCATTATGATCACTCTGCTGAGTACCAAGGAGACCCAATCCTGCTCTTCCTAAGAAGAGATCAGTCTATCCCTTTCTAGTATATTCAAGTTCATCCAGAGATTTCTCCTGGGCTTTTTCTCCCGCTTCTTCCCAGGATGACATGTGGGTGTAGAGGAGGAAGTGTCTGTCAGTGCCGGCAGTGAGGGAAAACCTCGACACAGCATGCTCTCCCCCAGGTCCTCTGAGCTCCACCTGACCTTTGGTGTTGCTGCTGCCTGCTATCAAGTTCCTAATCCCTTTGTGTCAGATCTCAAGGCCCAAGCACTCTACCCCTTGTGTTCTATGCCAAGACCATGCTGGACATTAGCCTTCTCAGCTGTAGCACATCCCCAATTCCGGCCCATGGGAGCTTCAGGAGTTCCACAGAGCCTATGGAACCAGGGATGCTCTGTCAGGCCTTGTGTCTGCCTAGCTTCTACCACTCAGCCATATCTGTGCCTGCGACGGGGGCTCCTCCCAGAGTTCTAAACAGCAAGAGGGGAAAAAGGCCCTCCCTCTTTCAGATTCTCTACTGGGGAACCTACTTGTGTTTCTGCAGCCTCAGCCACATACCTACATCCCTTCGTTATTTATTTTTCTATCCATGTTAGGTCTAAGGGATAGGAGGTGGTTCCGTCTCAAAGCCAACATCTTTAAGTTTGGTCTGGGCACTTGGGTACTTCTCACTTCTAGTCTCTGCTGGACCATCTTCTTCCCTTTTTCCTCCCAGTGGTCTCCCTACCTAATGTTTCTCAATTGTTAGTCCTCAAAGCCATGTGTGTTGGAACAAATCAGTCTTGTCCTTTCCCTTTCAACCAAACATGGCTTTTCAAGCTGAATATGTGGTTTTTTTCAGGCTAGCCTACTATGAACTTAAAAATCCTCTTATAAAATGCAAAATCTAGGAAAGATTTCTTTGACTCTCTGTGCCCTCCCAACCACCAAAGTAAAGAAGAGCTGCTAGTCAATTAGGCACAAGATGGATTTTCACTAATGATGATACACTGGTTTAGTATTTTCAAAGATATTATCCTCCCCTCCTACCCCTCTGCCATCCACACATAGGTACATTAGAGAACTGCATTCTAGTCTGTACCTTGGAGCCTCCAGAGTCAAGTATATGTCCCCACGGACTCTGTCCCATTAGGAATGCCATTGTAGTATAAAGAGCCACAGCCTTGGCTGCACATTAAATTCACAGGTGGTGGGGGGCGGGGGCGAGCAGGGGGAGTACATGGCATCGTGCAATAATTTGGCTCCTAATGTTTCTCCTTGATTTGATTTCCCAGGGAAAACCTGGAGCCCCAGGGCCTCCCGGAGTTCCAGGGGAACCGGTGAGTTGCGAGCCACTTACTTAACTTACTTCATGTGGTTTTACAGTTTTTCTGAGCAATTAACATTTGTCTGTGACATGTCTATAGGGTGACAGAGGACCTGTTGGAGATATAGGTTTCCCTGGACCAGAAGGACCCTCAGGAAGGCCAGTAAGTACTTTTTACTATTTAAATTTTGCCATTTTGAGAACTATTCTAAGCACTGCCTCTTTGCCTATCTCCTCAGAAAATCTGACATTTGTTGTGTCTAAGGGAGTGTGACTCTCCCTTTTGGGGGTGTCCTAGCTCTCTCTGAAGTATCTTTATGTATTTAACGATGACGGGAAAAGTGAGATTTTGTTTTGTTTTAAGTGTCAGGAAATTAGATTCATTATTTCTTAAGTCTGATGTTCTCAGAGTTAAAAAAATAAAATGGCCTGTCACGTCCTAAAATATAAAGAAACTGAAGGCTTGCAGATATAACTCCTGGGTGCTAAGCTAAAAATCAATGTAGAAGCTGTTTTCTCAGATACCTTTCTTTATCTGTGGACCTTGTTCTTATACTTTCATAAATCATGCTTCTAAATATAGCATCCTTTAGTGTCCTAAAAGAGCTCTTGGTTACTGATATATATTGATGTAACGTTGTAATGATCATTCTTACTAATTCAGCTCAATTAAACATACTTTCATCTAGTCTCTGCTGTTTGCTAAGGATGTACTGGGCCATGAGGGAGAGGGCATAAAGATGAATGACATCCATCCCACTCTCAAGTTTACTCTTTAGAGGTCACTGCTCCTTTTGCTTGTTTATTTGCCATGGTGTGTGTGGGGAGGGAGTGCTATTAGGAGAAGGTGGGTACTGAAGGTGAACAAGCAGCACAGAGTTCGTGAGGCTGGTTCAGACCTTCTGGGTCTGAGCGTTCCCTGGCCACTATATCCACAGAGAAGGCAATATGAAAATACAGGAAGCATATGCAATTTAGAGTCAGGAAGATATGGGTTTGAATTGTGACTCAAAGGGTTTTGTGAATCACTTAAGTAACATGACATGTGGTAAGCATTTCCAGTGCCTGGCCACAGGAGGCACTCAATAAATAGTTTCAAACCCTGCCTCCCCCTTCACCTCTTATTACCAACTCCCTATCCCAGCCCCTGACCATTCCCTAAATGCTTGCCCAGGGGATTATGCAAACAGCAATTTGTTTATTCAACAACTATTTCTTGAGGACCTACTAAAATGCTAGGCACTCATGGGTTTACATTCTAGTATATTTGTTTATTCAACAACTATTTCTTGAGCACCTACTAAAGGCTAGCAACTCATGGGTTTACATTCTAGTATAGGAACACAGACAACACACAAATAAATACACATGCACACACAATTTCAGGTAGAAAAAGCCCTAAGCAGGGTGAAGCACTGGAGTAGCATTTAAATAGAGCAGTTGAAAAAGGTATGCCATTTAAGCAAAGACCTGCATTAAGTGAGAGATCAAACCTTGGAGTGGTTGTGGGAGACATTGTTTCAAGGAAGGAAGAGCAGACTGTAGGGAGCCGGATGGAAGAAAACAAGAGTCAGGGAGCATGCCATAATCCCCATGGGAAATTATGATGGTGAGAACAGGAAGATGATGAGGAGTAAGGTAGTTTAGGAGGTATATTGAGGGGAGAGTCTGCAAACTCACTGATGGACCAGATGTGGAGTGTGAGGGAGAGACAAGTCAAAGCTGTGGTGTGGGGTCTGAGCAGCCATGTCACAGTGGTACTTTTGATGAAATGGAAAAGACTGGAAATGGGTGGGTTTGGGAGGGAAAACCAAGAATTCTCTGTTGTGGACACATTCAATTTAGAGCACTTGTAGACACCCAAGTGGAAATGTCGAGTAAAGGTAGATATATGCATCTTGAATTAATGGAGAGGTTAGACTGGAGAGATTCATCTGGGTATTTAAACCTGAGACTGGATGAAATGGAGTGACTACAGATCAGAAGGGAAGAGAGTACTTCAAGTGTTAGGAAAAGAACCCAGCAAAAAGACTGAGAAGGTACAGCCAGTGAGATAGGAAGAAAACCAGGTGAATGAGGTTTCCTAGATGTCAAGGGAACTAAGTATTTTAAGACAGAGAAATGATAAACATATAGATCAGTAATGTGAGAGCTGGCAGTTCTCCCCTGGATTTAGAAATGTGGAGGTCCTCAGTAGGAGAGGTGACAGCATGCTAATATCTTGGTAAGAGTGATCTAGTTGAGAGGGGAAGTTTTGATGATACCATATGGGTAGAAATAACTTTGAGTAGAGGGAGAAGACTGGTATTCCACTCAGAAGTGAAAATTGGTTTTTACAAGGAACAGGGACAGTTCTTCTTTCTTAACAGGAGGAGGGAGGCAGGCAGAAGTTGGTGTATAAGTACATGTAGGTTAGTGGATCTTGTGGAGGGAAGGAAGGTGAGGTGGTTCTCTCCTATTTATTTTCTCAGTGGAAGAAGAGTCACGGTCATCAGTTGAGTGTGAGGGTGGTGATGCTAGAGATTTGAAGACACAGCACAATCTGTGAGGGAGTACTTTGGGAGAGAAGGAAAGGGAGTCACATCAGGAAATACAGGATAGCCTGGTAATACAGAGGGCCTACCTGCAATCTGCCATCATACATTTCGATTGGAGCAAGTGGGCAAGGTTATGTGTTTTCTTCAACCAGTCAGCTGCTCCAATGTGGACATGTGTAGACACAAAGCTGGTTATACCCAAGGATGGAGTTCTTCCAGATAAGTGAGGTGAGGGAGGGAAAAGCGAATATGTACAGGTTATTCAAAAAAATCTCTGAAAGCAGTACTCGCCTAGGGAAAGTTAATAACACCTTTATATACAAAGGAGAACACATATGATAGTCTTTGATGAATTACAAGAGACAAAACAAAAACAAAAAAAGACCATAGGGTTATTTCTTTTCTTACACGGTTACCAAAAGCATGAATTACATTTTTACACTAGATTTATCTTCTTTTATTCAAGTGACACAGTTGTTGTCTTTTTCACATCCTCTCCTTAATCCACTTTATTTTTGTTGCTTATGTTTCTGGATGTAATAAATTCTGTGAACCATACACTTCAGGTAACATGTTCTTGTTTAAAGTACTCTAGATAATTCCCAGAATGCCTCAGAAAGGTTGGAGACTTTGGTTGGGTTATCAGCTGCGACAGACTTTAGTGTAATTTACAACAGTGAAAACATATGGTTGTCTGCAGTTCCATCCTCACAGAATTTATTCCAGCACAATAAAACTCCCCCAGGCTTTTCAGAGAAGCATGTCCATGCAATTGCCCGCTGGCTAAGAAATCATTTTCCTCACCTTGATCTCTCTCTTCAAACCAAATCTCAAAACACATCTGCTGTTGGACTCTAGGTATTTGATTTGACCCCAAGTGCTTTTCCTTCTTACATCTTCCAGCCAGTAGTTCTCTCAGTCTTATACATCTCTGAGCAGGGGGCTTTATTTTCACCTCCAGAACTGCCTTGTAAAGTTCGGGAAACTTCCAGTTTACTAAGAAAAAGCCAATATTTAACACTCTGAAAAACCATGGTTACAGATTTCTTACTTTTCTTTCATATTCTCCAACTGAAAAATAACAAATCATTCTCTGGCTGACAGTTTATTTCATAGTAGGATCATGCTCTGGCCATGTTATGAAATTTCCCCAGCAGCAACTGAGACCATTTACTGAGAATGACTCTCTGTGCTGGAAAATTGTTAGAGGGTAACAATAAATACTGCACACGAGCCACTCAACGCCATGGGACACCTTAGTGTTCAGAATGTACCTAATAGAATAAGTAAGGAAAATAACCCTGTGGACTATTTACAGTGAACTAGGCATTTTCTGTTATTTCACCAAGTCCTTAGTTTTAAGGCCATTATTTTATCCTCACTTTATAAGTTAAAAAGATGATGCTTTTAAGGTTAAGTAAATTGCCTGAAGTAAATAGAACTTAGCAGTAACAGACTCAGAATTTGAACTCATGGCTGTCTATCAACATTGTCTTCTGTTTCACCATACCGCCTCACCAAAATATCAGAAATATGGTGATTAAGTCCTTGAAGCTTTACCCTTTAATTGTGTTTAACTATGTCTATTAATGTAGAATTAGAAATATTGATCATCTTTTGTCTTTATAGGGAATAAATGGAAAAGATGGATTACCAGGTGCTCAGGTATGGAAAATACCACTTAAAAGAAGTGTTCTAATGTAAAACTTCATCCACAGTACCTGCCAGAATACTTGACTGAGCAGGCTGAGGAAAAATCTTGACAAGCAGTGATTTTTTAGTGTTGACATTTGTTTTTCAGGGTATCATGGGTAAACCTGGAGATAGAGGCCCCAAAGGAGAACGTGTATGTATATTACTATTCTCATCATTATTTAAGCCTGTCTGCTGCAACTGTCTCATCATTTGAGTTACACAATATGTGTTCAGATTCCTACAAGTGCCCCAATATGAAAAGGCTAGGGTGTATGTGATCCAAGATCTCTTCGAGCCCTAATATAGGCCAATTAAAGGACGCAGAAGCAGGCCACATGGCAGGTACACTCACAAGGATGACCTTTATTCAGAACTAAGTCTAATCTGCTATTCCAGTTTGGAAAGCTTTTATCTTCCTGTGTCGGACACATATTCCTGCTATAACCATCACTCGTTTTCTTTTTAACTAGACTAAGATTTCTCAGCCTTAGCACTGTTGATGTTTGGAGGCAAATAACTCTTTTCTGTAAGTGTCCATCCTGGGCATTGTAGGATGGCAAGCGGTCTCCCTGGATTCTATCCACTAGACATAGTACTGCCACCTTCCCACCAATTGCTACAACCAAAATGTCTCCAGACATCACCAAATGCCTTCTGGGGACCAGAGTTGCCCTAGTTGAGAATGCCTGACCTCATCGAACACTAAGTCAAATAAGGGGGGTGGTGTGAGGAGATAGAGAGATGGGAAGCGGAACTAGTAGAGTTGGAGTCATCCCATTGCCAAGATTACTCAAGAATTTATTCACTGGAATTCCAGTGTGTGTACATGTGTGTTTGTGTACAGGTGTCTAAATTACCCATTTTTACTTATTATTACACACAATCCATGATAACTGAAGGACATATGAAAACAGAGATAATATAAAGGAAAAAAGTCAATCATATCCCACCACATGGAGATAAGCATTCTTGATCTTGGACAAGCACTATTTTGAACATATTTTTATCTCTTATATGTAATATACACATATACCTAATGTATCAATAAAAGTAATATATGTTTTCCCAAAAGTGTGTTCATACTGTTTTGTAAATGACTTTTTTTACCTAACACCTGATAGATAATATATAACGGCCATCTTTCCATCCCAGTAAATATACATGTAACTTTTAGTGAATGTGTGTTATTCCACTGTGTGTACATACGTTATTTCACTTTCCCAGTCTCCTTTTCCTGAATATATAGGTTCTTGCTACTTTCCATAATAATAAACATCACTGCAATGAACATCTTTGTGCCTAAATTATAAAACAGTTTTAATATGTTGAAGACTGACTGTTTTGCACATGATCAGAGTATTAATCAAAGTGTGCTAATGTTTCTCTTACTTATTTATTTTTTAATTTTACTCATCTCAGGTATTTCCCCAAAATGTGAGTGAGTTGATATACTTGTATGCAGATAAGTTTTTGTAACTAAGACAGTAGCATTGAAATTAGATCTGTCCACTTTTTCTTCTTTCTACATCTCTTCATTCCATGATCAGATAGTTTACTGTAATTGTTCATTTGTTTACATTATTTTTTAAATCAAGAGAAATGGAGTGTGGCCTTTGCACAGTAGTCACAAATAAAAGAATAACACAGTGAAATACAGGGCAGACTCAATGTACCACTCCATCATATTTGGTGTGATCATCACCTCCTGGCATTGTGGAACTGAATATTGGAAATATCTGTAACTGAAACACGTGCTATGATACATATATACACCTCTCTCCCTCTTCTCCCCCCTTATCCTCTCATGCACAAACCCATACAGTAGCAGACACCTTACTGGATAAAAGTCAGCATTAAATAAACTTCTTATCACAGTCGGGCACACCTAGTATTATCTTATACCTAATTTACTATGGCACTTTACCCAGTGAATTCTCTTATAGTTCATTTATGTTATTAAGTATATGATCTTAATCACCACCCCGAGCACCTGCTTTGAACCCTTTCAAAGGCTCTCCTTTTTCATCTTACGAGTTTTAAGACACAGCATGCATGCATGTGTGCATGCACATGCACGCAGACACACATTGTAAAACACAAATAAACTAACCCACAGAATCTAATAAAGATTCTAATATTAAAGGTAAAGAAGAAACACAGGAGAAAGCAAAAAAGGAGAAGGAGAAGGAGAAGAAGGAGAGAAGGAGAAGAAGGAGAAGAAGGAGAAGAAGGAGAAGAAGGAGAAGAAGGAGAAGGAGAAGAAGGAGAAGAAAAGCACATGGGAGAGATTCTGAGTGTCCTGAAGTTTTACTTGTTGTAAAATCCCGATGATGAAATCCTCTTGGCCATCTTTTTTTATTATTGCCAAGGAGACCCAGGCCTGAAGTGACAGCTGCTGTTGACTTTCTTTTTTTTTTTTTTTTTAATTTCTTTTAATCTTTATTTATTTTTGAGAGAGAGACAGAGTGCAAGTGGGTCAGGAACAAAGAGAGAGGGAGACAAAGAATCTGAAGCAGGCTCCAGGCTCTGAGCTGTCAGCACAGCTGACATGGGGCTCGAACTCATGAACCATGAATTCATGACCTGAGCTGAAGTCGGATGCTCAAGCGACTGAACCACCCAGGCAACCCACCGCTGTTGACTTTCAAAAGTGTCATCATTCTAGACTGGCAACCAAGTGCAACTAACATTGTCACTAACTTTTTATTGAGTGCTTTCAATGTACAAGCATTGTTCTAAGTACTTGACTTGACTCCATCACCCTGCACTTTATGGGAGAAGAAACTAGGGCACAGAGGGCTTAATTCACTTGTCCAAGGTTCCCCAGCTAGTAAGTGCCAGGATGAATCCAGGATCCTTGCTCTTAACCACAGCTAATGTGTTATTAACTTTTTCCTCAACAGGGTGATCAGGGAATTCCAGGAGACAGAGGCCCACAAGGTGAACAGGGAAAACCAGGCCTTCCAGGCATGAAGGGAGCCATAGGTCCTGTGGGGCCACCAGGAAACAAGGGCTCCACGGGATCTCCCGGGCACCAAGGCCCTCCCGGCAATCCAGGCATCCCAGGTACTCCGGTGAGTAGTGCCAAGAGCTCCAGGAGCTCCTGGCTAGTATCGACCACGTATCCCTTTTACAATGAAAACATGCATAATCCGTTTGTTTGTTTGTTTGTTTGTTTGTTTAGCTATTTTTAAAAAAAAAAATTTTTAATTCAAGTTAGTTAACATATAGTGTAGAATTGGTTTCAGGAGTAGAACCCAGTGATTCAACTCTTACATATAACACCCAGTGCTCGTCCCAGCAAGTGCCCTCCTTAATGCCCATCACCCATTCTCCTCCCCTCCAGCAACCCTCAGTTTGTTCTCTGTATTTAAGGGTCTCTTATGGTTTGCCTCCCTCTCTGTTTTTATCTTATTTTCCTCGTAAAAGAAATAAAATTAATCTAAAGTTGTCGCCACAAGGGTAGCAATAGCTGTCATTTATTTCAGCTTATGTACCAGATCCTCCACTAAGTACTTACTATACATTAACTTAGTAGATCCTCACAGCTAGGAAGATTGGTGCCCTGTCTGTCCCACTTTTACAAATGCAAAAACTGAGTTGACTTGTTCAGGGTCACAGTTATTTCATGGGTTAGACCCAGGTCTGAGTGACTCCAAAGCCATGCTCTTAAATACTATGACAATGTCTCCTTATACTACACAGATAACATAGGTCTGTTTTACATTAAAACTCTATTTGTTGCCTATGAGAACAACAAACCTACCCTGAATGATACTTTAAAGTGGAAGACAGGCCAAGAAGGAGTGTTTGGTTAAGAAAGCCCATGTTATTATTAATATCCTCAGGAGGTGTGGTGGATGGCCATTCACAGAGGAACTTAATCAGAAGACATCCTCGTCAGGGAGAAAGGAGAGTCCTGAAGTGAGGGCAGGGAGTTAAGGACATGCTGTCCTCAAATGATTAGCCAATACCAGGTGGAGGGCCAAATTAGGCATTCCCACAATATTCAGACTCTTTATTTTTATCCATTCTCCCTAAGCTCTACTTGAATAAAGCCTGTATAATGAGTTGTCTGTGCTGTGTCAGTAATTGGTAGTAGATGCATTAATTCAGGTTCATATGTCCCATATACAATGAAAATAAAATATTGACATAGAGCATTTTTGGACCTATTCTGTCCTACAGAAATCATCACTTTATGAGCCCATCACATTGTCTTTAATGTCACACATATACCTCTGGATAATAACCACTAAAAAAAAAAAAAAAAGAAGAAGAAGAGTAATAAAATACTTTGAAATCCTAACCATCATGAAAAATAATAGCTCTCTTTTAAAAATATCAGGATACCACCGTAAAATATTACTATTATAAATGTTAGATTCTTTGCCAAATTCATGGAGCTTCATTTGTTGAGGGGATAAAACCCAACTGACATCATTTACCTACTTCACTTTCTCATGTCCCATATTTTCTATTAAAAAAAGAAAATTGCTCAACACAAATACGCCTACAAAGTGTGAATGACAGAAGAAACTGTACCATAAAATGAGTAAAACTTAGTTTTATTCCATGAATAAAACACTTTAAAAAATAATCCAGCATACTTGGGAGTTCTCTTCCTGTGGAGACACATAGTATCAGTTAGATAGTGACTTTACCAGTTTCCAGGGATTGGTTAGAAGTTAAATTGTGCCTGGGATATTAATGTCATGATAACATTGTTCAAATTCTCTAACTTCAGAAGATGAAGTAATAGGAAATGTCTTTCCTTATCATATGAAACCATGCTTCTCCATTTAATAAGAAATATGTTCAAATCACTGGTTATGATTCCAGGCCACAGCTTTTAAAGCAATTAAGCACTTCAATTCTTTCGAGCATTTGATCAAAACAAAGATATTTATTGCCTATAGTCAGTTGCCAAAAGCATTTTGCTTGATGAACATATCTCCATAGAAGTTTCAAGTATGCACACCAACCCGGTATTTCTTTCTTTACTCACTTGTGCTATGCTCTAACAGACCTTTCCCCCCTTTTTTAGGCTGATGCGGTTTCATTTGAAGAAATAAAGAAATACATTAATCAAGAGGTTCTAAGGATTTTTGAAGGTTAGATTTGCTTAATAAACATTTCTGAATTTTTTACCAATTACTACTTCCCATCCACTGTGGGGGATCCCTTCAGCACGCTCTCAAAGATGGCCGTGCAACACCAATGTGAAGAGGCAACCTGTTAAATGATGGATCACCTCTGTCTGATAGAAAATTCTGCCTTACGCTAAGTTAAATTTGCCTCTCGTAACTTCCTCTCATCATTCCTGGTCTTTTAAACAGCACAGGTAAAGTATCTTCCTCTATTCACATGACAGCCCCTACAGTATTTTTCCATATCCATGGTACCTCTCCTTACTTTTCTATGGTGTAAGTGTAGTTAGCTCCTCCACCATCATCACCCTGGAGAAACACTTAATTTTTAAATGACCGTCATTCACCCAGGAGTATTTTGACCAAGGCAGAGTACAGTGTGTTTTGATCTAGACCCCGGATCAGCAAACTATGGCCCACCAGCCAAATTCACCTGCCACCTGTTTTTGTGTGGCCCACAAGCTGACAATGGTGTTTACTTTTTGGGTGGGGAGGTGGGTAGGGAGTACATTTTTAAACGTTTTTTTTTTTTTTTTTTTTAAATCCAAAGAGTATTTCATGACATGTGATAATGATCTGAAATTCAAATTTGTTTCTATAAATAAAGTTTTATTGGAACACAGTCAGGCTCGTTCTTTCATGAATTTTTTCTGGCTGTTTTCATGCTACAAAAGCAGAATTGACTAGGTGTGATAGGGATTGGATAGCTTGAAATGCCTTAGATATTTGACCCTTTGCAGAGAAAGTTTTCTAACCCTTGATATAGACACTTCAATAATGCTGCCAAAGATAGCATTCCTTTAAAAAAAAAGCCTTAATCAATTTTGAATTTTCAATTAATTAATAACTCTGGATCTTCTTTATACAAACTTTTAAAGTTTAGGTGTTTCTCATTGTATACTGTGTCCATTTTTAAAATCTAAGTTTGTGATTTTGTGTTTCTTCCTATTACGTTTCAAATGGTTTGTGATTACACATTGTCACAAACGGAAGATATCTTTCAGGATGTTGTCTTACTGTAGCGCAGGTTGGCTGAGCCTCATACCTTTGTGTTATCTCCAAATTTTATAAGCATGTCGCCATTCATCTGTAGATAGAAATGTGGAAAGAGTCAAGAGTCAAGGGTCAGGGCTTTCTTAATGCCATTGCATTCCTCCTGTTCACTTGTAAATTCTATTTTATTGTTTTACTGAGCTCTGAATCCATGTTTTTCTAAAATCCACTCTACATTTTCTTTATCTGTTCACAAGATTTCACATGACTTTGTCAAATGACTTGCTAAACTCAAGATCACTCTCCTCAACTGTGAGCTTAATAAAATGAGGAATTCTTGTTTTTAAAAAATGAATCCACATTGGCTCTCATGGTCCCTGCTCCTTTTGCAAAGCATCCTTTCTTTGCTAAACTAAATATATATTACTGAATTTTGCAAAGAATAAGATCACCAAATGCCTCGAGTTTACTATAAGTCTTTCTACTGCAACCATGGAATTAGCTATTCTACAAGAAGCTTTGATTATTTCCAGCAGTAATTAGTATTAGAGACCAAAATCTTGGTACTTGAGTGAACATTATCTTATTTCTGATGAGCACTAGAGATAGAGCAGAGTAACACAGGGACTTTAGCTGCTTCAATGACAAAATAGGGAAAAAATGGATTTTTAAAGGTAATTCATGCTGTTGATTTCAATTTACATTGATCTCTACTAAGCATCTTTACCATGCTCTGACGTGATAGGTCACTAATACTATTGTATGCTGGGTTTTTTTTATTATTTTGAGCTACCAGTTTTCTCTTTATAATTTTAATGTTGCCCTTAAATTTAGAAATCCTTTTTTATTGCTTTTCTTTTTTTGATCCTTGAACCTAGCATCATGAAAAAGTCTCCAAAATTTGCAGTACAAACATTCCCTCTCAACAAGCATTCCTCAAGCATCAACTGTCTGAAAAAGAAAAAGGCATCTTAAGGTTTCCAGGGAAACATTGAAAAATATAGAGGCATAGACAGGACCGGCTAATTTGCAGGACTCAATGCAGAATAAAAATGTAGGTGCCCTTATTCAAAAATGGTTATGAATTATAAAAGAGCCACAGCTGGACACTATTCCAAGTGTAGGTGAGCAAGGGGACCCTGTGTGACTGCACAGATGGCATGTCCTTGTACCCAGCCCTGGACACAGGACCTCTAGGATCTCAGATAGCATCCACACATTTAGTAGACATGATCACGGAAAGAAAATGCAAACAAATACGTATTTGAATTGTGATCTAAAATTCTCCTTTAACTCTTCATTTCCATGGGCTCTAATGTCAATTATGTTTTGTCTCAGGCAGCTTTAATATGGAACTTCAGTTTCCTAAAAGACTTCAGATTTAGTTTAAGATGTGGAAGGTGTTCATTTTGCATGCCCAGTGGACACTGGATAAAGGCATGGCCCCTGGTAGCCTGCCCCATGCATTCAGCAGACCAGACATGCTCCTTCCACCCACAGAAAGTTTCATGCTGCCCACTTTCAGGCCATTGTGGGGTTACTCCTGTGAAGGACTGGCCTTCTGAGGAGAGAGATCAGGAGAATTGCGACACTCTCTCTCTACCTTGGGGCAGGTTGATGTGGCTTGCACTTTCTTCTAAGTCTGTGATCTCCCCCTTTGCTGTCCTGCCCCAACTTCCTGTCAGCATCACTCCCTGCCTTCCAGTAAGCTAAGTAAGAGTGCTGAGTGTCCTCCAAGTCTCCTCTAACTTCTGCCCCATCTCTCCTACCACCTCCCTCAGTCTCTCTCAGCCTGGCTAGGTCCCTCTGAAGTCATACATCTTGGCCTCTAAACCATATTCTTAGGTGGCCCACAAGGAGACTTTTTCCCAAGACTCGTAGACTTTGAGACTCCAAATATCGCTCTTCTCCCTTTATCTCTGTTGGTACCAGTCCAGCACGACTTTCTTCCAAACAAAGTTGTGTCTAAAACCCAGGATTTGGTTATTTAGCACTTTAGTTCATTTGTCCCAAGATTATTCCAGTTCAGTCCATTTAACTTTCCACTTGGAAGTCACTTTTCCATGGCTTCTGAATACCATTTACAAAAAGAAGAAAAAAATACAACTCCATTTTCACAAATCATAGAGCTCCAGGGTCACATTTCTCTCCCTTTCAGAAAGCTTTCTCTATAAAAGCAAAGACTAATCTTCACATGTTACAACAGTTACTGTTAAGCAGCATGCATCTGCCTCCCTCTTAGTGCTTTCACAAGACAGTGGTGTCAGTGGCAGCTAGCGTTTGTCTCTTCCCCATTCACCCCTGCACATCTACAGCCTCAGGGGCAATTCCCTCTCTGCCCAGAAAGTCATAGACTGTCTCTGGGGGCTCAAGGGAGTCCTCCAGAGATCCTGCTCTCCCACTTTATAATCCTGTCAGTAGAGGACCACACTGGAACCTCTAGTGAAGCCTAGACCAAAACCCAAAACTTGGGCTCTCCTCATGGAGCTTTCTATCTCCCTTCAGAGATTCCCAGGTGGCCCCCTCCCACAGACCTCACACTTTGGGCTATTCCCCAGGCCACCAAGCCCTCCTGCAGCCTCCTGATGCCCCAACTTAAACCTACCCATGGTGTTTTCCTACCAACCCCAAGCCCAGGTTTCTGGTGGATCATAACACACAAATATATGCCCAGTCTAAAATCAGATTCAATTCCCTATGGCAAATCCTTTTGCAAATAAGATGACAGCACAGAGTGGAGGAAGATGCTGTGTGTCTCAACTTAGCTTTTTTTTTTTTGGCTTTATGAGGGCTTTGCAGCTACCCACACAAATTAGGATCTTGTCAGATATGAGAAACTTTATTCCTACTATGACACCACCCTGTTATACTTGGGCATTTACATCAACACACAGGAAGAATTTGCCTACCTGTGCAGGAATGTGCACACACATCTGGCCCTCTTGGTTTGTATTTCTACGTCCAAATCCAATATCCAGGAAAGCCCCTTTACCTATGTTTTCTCCATTTTCCAAATATTTATTTCCTATATATGTGTGTGCATAGGTATGAATATGTATTAATCCTGTTCTGTTTCAAGTGTAACATCTTCTCATGCATCTCAACAAGATCCTAATTTATATATGTGTATGTATATACATCCTATAGATATACACATCATCTGATAGATACACATCTTGAAAATATAAATATATCTTTTTAAATATTTTCCACAGCATAGTCTCTATATCTTTCAATTTGCTTCTTTCCACTTCCTTGTTTGGGTCTGTTGTTCAGCTTATAAGATTTCCTTAGTGCCAGTAATCCTTGGTTGTCTGCTTATACAAAAGAGTACATTCTGAAACCCTAATTGAAAGTTATAAGTGAACGGTGGGGCTTGCCAACCATGAGCCTCACTGTAGGATAGCCTAACTGAGCTTTTTAATTGAGAGACCTTCTATTTCATTGTCTTTAAGTCTTTCCTCTTAGCCCAGCTGGATTCCCCAGAGGAAATATTTCCATTTCCTGCCTGGCTGTCAGCATTTGGAGAGCAAAGTAGAAGAATAAGGGTAGGACCTAAGCACTGAGCATATAAATGCTCATTTATTCTTCTTGTTTTCAGTTACCTTCAGCTTTTTCCTAAGTTTGAGAAGGAACAACTACCTAGCTGTATAGAGAAAGGAATTTCTAAGACTACTTCTTAAACAGGCTTTCAGCTAATTCTTATTTTAGTTCTCCCTCCTTTACCACACCTTCAGATGTAACTTGTGTTGCCAATTCTTGAGCCTCTTAAGGATTTTGTGATTTAAAACAGGTTGTTTCTCAGTTTCTAGCATAAAGATTTGGTTTTCTTGAGTCCGCTAAGGCATCTGTCACTCAGCTATCTAGTTCTCGGCCTCCAAAATTTTGTTGTGCTGTCTTCTTTCATATTCTCCCCATTCTTGTGCTTTTACATCTTTAAAAAATGCCTTCCTATTGCTTTACAGGGATTCACGTGCATGTGTTTGTGTTTCATCCACCGTTTTTACCCACAATAACATTTCAATGTGACATGCTTCCAAAAGTAGCAAAGGATTAGGCCAGAAATAAATGTTAGCAGTAACAACCTTTGGGTTATGATGAACCACAAAATGAATATGAATCCACCAGATGATACTGTGGAACTAACAGTTAAAATGAAACTAGAAAGTAATTATTTAAGACATGAAAGGAAATTACTCTCCTGATATTTTTTGCCCCTTAGGAGAAAACTGTATCTAATTTTGGTTTCCACATTTAAGAGAAGTATGGAAAAGCCCTGAAATAGTAAAGCCAAAAAGTGATTTACAAAACAGATTACCAAGTCTATGAGTAAAAGTTATTTAACCTGAAGGCTAAGAGGTAACAATATGATCAAGTAGATGACTGATTTCCCAAGGGAAATACTCATTAACTACTTTCTGTTTTTATAATAGAATTACAAAAGAAAGTAAGTTGAAGCTGTACAATAAAATGGGCAATTAAACATTTGAGTGGGCATCAGAAAAAAACGATGAATTTCTGTTTCAAAATATTTACAGATTCTGTCTGTGAAATAGAAGGTAGACATGGGCCAGATGACGTCTGAATGACCCTTCACTCTCCCCATAATATAGTTTACCAACACATTAATATTAATGTCTGCATTATGTTGATGAGCCCATTCTTTGAGGAAGGCAAGTCATCGGTCTTTGTTAGAGTGACTGCTCTAGGTTTGCATTGGCAGATAGAATATGTGTTTGGTTTACGTAAGCTCCTATCTGAATTCTTCAATTTCCTGCCTCGTTAGAAAGCATACCCAAAAACAGTTTAATTGACCAAAGATCACTGAAAACAGAAGAAAGGCAATTAAGAATACAGGTCTTAACAATTTATTTAGAGGCTCAAAAACATATTATTTTAAATTATAGGGCATTAGGATAAGGTTCAGAAGAAGTAATTATCATTTTGCTAAATGACTATTTCTTAGTGTATCTTAAAGCTAGATAATTCACAGCCAGAAGTAACTATTTAAAAGAATTCTGTTTTACTAAAAATATTAAAAACCACCTAAAGCAAATTACTTGTAAATTCAATTCAGACATTAAAGAGGAAAAAAACTAGTACTGTGAATATTTGTGTTTAGACATTGAAGGTATTCAAGGAGATATGTCTCAAATTAAGAAAAATTGTACTGATGGGGCACCTGGGTAGCTCAGTTGGTTAAGTGTCCAACTTCGGCTCAGGTCATGATCTCATAGTTTTTAATCTAGTTATGTTTATATTCTATATGTTAAATGTGAGATATATAAAACATAAACAAACCAAGCAAATTTAAATAAAGAATCCAATGATAGATTGTATTTATAATGGGCTTTGGATTAATTTGCATTAATGATTTCACTAAAATTAATTTCTACGGTAGTAAAATATTGACTATGGTTTTGAGGAAAAACTGAACTGGACAATGGCCTATGTGGGATTTATAACTAAGAGGTCAATAATAATAAGTGCAATCTTGGAATGATCATTCAAAAACGCAATTCTGAGAAGGAATGTCTTATATTACAGAACAAGTTTTAGTCATAAAATAAAGTTTATCAGCAAATAATCTTTATAGCATATGGGGCTTATAAAACATGAATAGTAGTTGGTATAGGATGAGACTCTCTTTCAGGCTTTCTTTGGGATTCCTGAACAAGAGCACTTAATGCAGAAAGTATAAAATACCCAATACAGGGCTCTGCTTACAGAGGATGTTTAATTAATGTAATTAATGATTTGTCTTGTTTAGGAATTTATTTTAGAGTGAAAATTCTTATTTATATTTTTGCATTTCCATTTTCTTTGAACTTCCTCAGTTTCCAGATCCTTTCAATTTCATGAGTTATTGGTACACTGATGTTCTGTAACAACTCACTTTTATGCAAAGCATTATTGACTTATTAATAAGTGTCTAAGTATAGTATTAATAATTGCATGACACCTGTGCCACCCATAATGATACTTCCATTATAGGAAGTACTCACCTACTTCCTAAGGTGACTGAACTCACCTTATAGAAGCCCCTTTAATCTGTCCTCACTTCCCTCTCTGGATTCTTCCTTTAGGACCTAGATCAGCAGTGTTCACTCACCAAACAGTTCCAGGAAGTTTGGTGAATGAACAAAAGGGCAAATGACAATACGTCCCTTGGGAAGGCAGCATTGCTTTTTGGGGAAGTATTCAATTCATAAAGGTCACATCACTCAACACCTACAAAAGATTGTTATTTTTATTGACATTTCTAAATGTTCTGGATAATTTGTCAACCTCTCATAACTTGTGTGTCTTAGTTTCAGTGTTTTCTTCAGGTTCACAGAAATGTATAGAAACTTTTTGTTGTTTTTACTCTGTCTACAAATGGAATTTAGTGAGACCATGCTCATCTGTACCTTTTTTCCCTTGGCCCAATTAGCATACTCCCTACTAAAATCATGACTGAGGGGCGCCTGGGTGGCGCAGTCGGTTAAGCATCCGACTTCAGCCAGGTCACGATCTCGCAGTCCGTGAGTTCGAGCCCCGCGTCGGGCTCTGGGCTGATGGCTCGGAGCCTGGAGCCTGTTTCTGATTCTGTGTCTCCCTCTCTCACTGCCCCTCCCCCGTTCATGCTCTGTCTCTCTCTGTCCCAAAAATAAATAAACGTTGAAAAAAAAAAAATTTAAAAAAAAAAAAAAAAGTAAAATCATGACTGAATAATGGGACTAACTGGAAATCAAACCAGAAAAAAAAGGATAATATTGAGGGTATATAATAGACATTTTTTTTAAAAGAGGCAAATTTTAGTTGTTGACAAAGTACAATATTTTCCCAGTATAGAAATTAAATAGTGAAATCATAGTGAACATGGAGCCAATGACCATTTTTTTCTGTACAAATCTATTAATAATGCAGTTTTATTCAAGGATATAAAGTGTCACATATCCTATGAATTATCTCTTACTGCATAAGAAAATACCTCAAAACTTCAGTAGCTTAAGACAACTAACATTTATAATCTCATATTTTCTGTGGGTCAGGGACTTGAAGGTTGTTTAATTTTGTGGTTCTGGCTCAGAGTCTATAATGAAGCTCCAGTTAGGATGTCAGCCAGGGCTGCAGTCATCTGAAGGCTTGACTGGGGCCGGAAGATCCACTTCCAAGTTCACTCATGTGGATGTTGGCAGGTGGCCTCAGTTCTTCCCAAGTGGGACTCTCTATGGGACTTTTTAAATGCCCTCACGACAGAGCACCTGGCTTTCCCCAGAGTGAGCAGTCTCACTCTGAGCAATCCAAGAGAGAGAGCAGCCAGGAAACCATGGTGCCTTTTATGACTTAATTTCCCTACTTGCATACTGTCAATTCTGCTTTCCTCTACTCATTTGAAATGGAAAGTAACTCCAGCGCAGACTCAAGAATAGGCAGAGCCTAATTCCATTTGGAAAAGAATGTCAGGAATTCATAAACATATTTTAAATGACCACATACATTTACAACATTGCTGGAAAGTGAGTTAAATTTATTATTAAAACCATCTTTTAATATAAACCTAAAATTCTAGCCACAAGTCATTACCAAAGGTTAATTAGATTCCAAGCTAGTGTTTTGTCCAGTAGACTTGCTACATCTCTGAAGCACTGAAAATTCTCAGACCGTCTGATCGGCACAGGTGGTCTTCATTTATATTCAGACAACTTTGTACAATCCAGTTTGTTTGACCAATCAACAAAACAACTCTCAGCAGTCAGGCCAGTTAGTAAATTAGATGCACTTAAATTGAAAACCAAATAAGATTGTTTTTTGTTGAATTTCATGTAAAAAAATGAAAAATTTTGATGTAAAAATATTTGTATTACATGCTGTATTTTTTTTCTTTCATAAATGAAGAGAGGATGGCTGTGTTCCTATCTCAGCTCAAGCTGCCAGCAGCAATGTTGGCTGCTCAAGCTCACGGGAGGCCTGGTCCACCAGGAAAGGATGGATTACCTGGGCCACCAGGAGACCCTGGACCTCAAGGTAAGTTTTCAGATACAATATTTATTTACCAGCTTTTTAAAGCTCAGTAGTTAGAACATGTTAATCACACTTAAAGCAAAAATATATGTGTCTCTATGTATCTATATAATATATATTATATATATACATTACACAAACATAGGTAATGAATAAATATAGACTATTTTGTTAATATTTGACATTCTAGAAGTCAATTTTTAACTATTACTATGTCAAGCTTAAAACTGACTAATAATTACCTGCTAATATAAATGTATTTTGATAATAATATTTGTTATAAGAATAACACCAACAATGTGGGCTTATATATCATTATTTTGTGGGAATCAGCATTGTTTATGCCTCCCTATTGATGTAAGTTGGACAACAACAAGAATCATTGTAGTATCTTGAAGAAACTGAGGAAAGGGTCTTACGAGATGCTACTGTAAGTAATGATTTAGGTCCAAGTAAAATTTTGAGAAACGTTAGAATCCTTCTTAATATGGTTTCTAAAAATTTTTAAAGCAAAACTTCACTAAATTGGCAAAAAATTATTGTTCCGCTGATGACAGCTTGACTGAAGACATGATTTTGAACATAGCTTGACTAAAGCTCGCAAGGCCATTTTCTATAAATACGGTTAGCAATTGGTAGAGAGGCCAAATCAGCCCTGTTTAGGGGATCCGCAATTCTGATAAGGAAGTTTTAAATCCAGTGAGTACATACCATGAAAGACAAAACCAGGGAAACTCTTCTTCCTGTGTTACCATGGAGGAGCTCAAGTTTGTGTAAAGGAGAAAACAGAGGTGAACATCAAAACTACATAGGAATACATTCCAAAATACTATATATACAGAGAATTCTTTTTCTTTCAGTAGTTCACTGTCCTTCCTACTGCTTCTCTGTAACATGAGTCTGGTTTTCCTTAGGAAGTGCCCAAGTGATTGACAGGCCCCTCCGCCCCTAAAAGAACAATAACTATATCTCTAATCACAGGGTCTGTTAGAGTGTTACCCTTCAGTCACAGCTGACAAGGCTTTTGGTTTACTTAGCACAGTGTAAAACAACAGTAGCATCATTCTAGTTCTCCTAAACTAAACAGAATATTCTACCTTTCCCTTAGATCATAGAGAGTTTTGGCCAATAGTTGGAAGAATATGTATAGAATCAGGTGTGGCCTTCCGTGTGTACATGGTTGTGTGGTGGGTATTTTCTTACCTTTCACTAGTTGGGTCTGTTCTGAAGTCATAGTCTATGAACCTGGAACAAAGAGCTTGAAAGCCCAACTAAAGATGGGTGATGTTTCAAGCCACGTGATGGATAAGAACTGTTAACACCAATAACAGAAAAAATATGGACTGCTGTTTCAAACAGTTGTAGTTTGAGAGGACAAGAACATAGAAAAATCTGAATTATCGAGGAAAATAGTTCAGGAACTGGAGTCACCTATCCACACAAATACCTGTGTCCAGGCTCCCTCCCCACGGGAAGGCCCATCTGGAAGACTCAGTCAGAAGCAATGCAAAGTCAGCCATGTCAGTGAAGCTTTTGGAAAAAGACTTCTATTCACCAATCTACTTACCTTCCCTTTGGCAGAAGATTTCTGTGGGATCTATTTTGCTTAAGAAATCTTCTAGACTACTTCTACTCCTGATAAGGCTTTTGGATGCAATGCTTGAATTGAAAGGACTTCCCCACATGATTTCCAACTTTTTTAAAACCAGCATTTAGTCAAATTGACAAAACTTGTGCTCGTCCCTGAGCACATATACCTAAAATTGACAAAACTTGGTGTCCCACTGTGGAGTTTCTGGTAACAGACAATATCATTGTAACTCAGGTGCCTCCTCAACTTTCATATGATAGCTCCTTTTTAGTATTTGTTAAATTTGCTAGAAAGGCAGCAGAAAAATACAACTTACATAAAATGGGTTCATTTTTAAGGAATATTTGCCTATAGTCATGCTATGCTGATAAAGCCACCAAGAAATCTTGCTGCAAAAAAGAAAACAAGAGGTGCCATTTGATTTTTGGTGTCTCTCCAAGGGTTCATAAGTAATTGAAGGGTTTTTCTCTGGAGAGAAATAGACATGAAGTGTTGAGAAGATGAAGTTCAAAGTTTTGCTGTGCCTGATTTAAAAGTTTTCTCCAAAAGAAAAGAAACAAAATGCATATAAAACTGTTACCCTAGTATCCATTGCAGGCATCAGATGCTGTTGGCTGAATTAGTCCTCTTCGTGACACACGATGATTGAGTTTGAGAAAAGAAGGAAGTGAGAAATGCAGCACAGAAAGGGAAAGAAAGTGTGGGCATCAAGCACAGCACAGCGTGTTCTGCCCACTCATGGATTCCGGTTGATGGTGGCTCTTCTGAAATTTCCAAGGGACTTTTTTTTCAGTATTTTTTTAGGAAAGAAATCCATTTTCACTTAAAATGAAGTGGTCTGGGGGCACCTGTGGTTCAGTTGGTTAAGCATCTGACTCTTGATTTCAGCCCAGGTCATGGTCTCAAGTTTCATGAGATCAAGCTCCACACAGGGCTCTGCACTGACAGTAAGGATCCCATGTAGGATTCTTTCTCTCCTTCTCTCTCTGCCTCTCCCCAGCTCATGTTGTCTTTCTCTCTCTTTCAAAAGTAAATAAACTTTTTTAAAAAAAATAAATCAACTGGTTTGTATTGGAATGTGTATGTAGAATGAGTGCTTTGCCATCTTACTATTTTAAGAGCAAGACAGAAATTTAAAGGGGTCTGCCGAGTTTCCCATGTCTGTCCTGAGAAGTAGGAGACATGCAGAGAGCAATAAGAAGGTTGATGCATATGTTCGACTAGTATGTTAAGTACTCCATCCTAGTTAAAAAAAAAAGGGAGGTAATTCTCCTACCGTGATTCGGAGAATGAAAACTTGTGGATCCTCTTTTGGTGCCCTGGTCTTCTTGCAGTGAAAATAGAAACCACCATGATTCTGAGTTGAGACACTTCATTTGCATTTTCCCTGAATCCCCAAAGAGGGTGATTGTTGACGTCTTTTTAATTCAAAAGCGTTTCCAGACAGATTTATATCTTAACCATCCCGTGGGATTCAGATGATTGCCTCCCCTCTGCGCACTGAGAGAACTTTTCTTGGTGTTCATTCCCACCTCAGATCTGTGGTGTAGGGCCTGACTGCTTGTGCACCAGGGGTGAGCAAGGAAGTGCCACACTAGGATCAGAGAAGCCTGAGTGGCATGATCCAGCTGGGTTTCCATATACAAACAAGAGAGGCGAATATTCCTAACAGATCTTATCCTCCTGGGCAAGTTTTATGAGAAAGAAATTTATTTAAACTTTTTCCAAATCCAACTGATTCTCCACCTCTGTGAAAATTCTGAAGGGCAGATGCTACACTTTAAAGCCCTATTCATTTCAGAAAGAACCCCACCCGGTGAGTAGATGTGGAGTTAGCAGGAGGAAACAGATCCAGCCACTCCATGTGTCTCCCATCCATTTTGAAAAGACACTATTGGGAATGGTTGTTCTCACGTTTGAACTTTTAAAGCTTTGCTGTTATTGGTTTATAATGAAGAAAGCCTTCTGTTACTTGTCAGCCAGTGACCCACAGCATAGTTCATTTGACTGATACAGATTTGACCTTTCAGATTTTGTAGCGGTAAGGGCCTTAGGAAATAGGAGGCGTGTGTGGCAAAATCACTGAGGGGCACTGTAGTCAGTGAGTAGGTTGGGACCGAGGAGGCTGAATAGCTTGTAAGGTGTGCTGCAGGGCCCCACATGAAGAATTGTTCCCCCCGCCAAAATGTTGGAAACACTTCATGGCTCCATTTGTCCAGTACACATACAGATGCACAGCTGGGGTTGACACAGAAATCTCTACTGAAAATACATGAAGTCTATCATCCAAACTACAACAAGCACCAGGTTTCTTGAATGACTACTATATCTAGATGCTGTAGATTAGGACACTTCTTTGTTTTCTTTTCCTACATAAGTTACAATGATATCACACTGTCACCTGCAGTTTTATAGGCCATGAAAATACATATCCATTGACAGAGCTGCCTTTTATTTTTTTCCAAATTTCAAGAGAGGCCTAAAGGGGTAAAAAGCTTAATTCTAGAAAACAGGAAAGCTCTTATGGACTTTATTAGCATTCCTATCTGAAGTTTTGTTGTGAAATAATTATAAAGTAAGACCCTATGGCTTTAAGGCAGCCTTCATAAGAAACTAGCTTGAGACCTTATTAGGAAATATGAGAATAACAGCTCTCATGTGCTTGTACAATTCAACAGCAATAGTAGATAGTTACTAACCTAATGAACTGAGAGCTTTGTACAAATAAATCATTGCATTTGACAGGAGAAATGTAAATGTTACCCTATTATATAAATACGCGAATTACTGTTTCTTGTTTTGTGATACTATATGCCCTGAAATCCACATGGAAAAATAAATTTTTGCATTATATTAAAATATGATAGCTGAATTTGAGTGTGTAGGTTTTAGCAGATATGGTCTCCATTTGGAATTGTGTTACAGTCTTGTTAATACACTTCGTAATTAAAAGTCATAATGTTTTTTTCTTTCTTCCTCATTTCTTTAGCCTGTGGTCTTAAGCACTTACTGAAATAACTTAAGGGTCAACTTTTCAATCTTTCATAATAGACCAGGATGAATATACCTCATGTAACAAATGTTATTTTACTGTAGAAATGTCTAAATAATGGAATTGGAAGAGTGCTTTCAAATGACCCTAACTATAAGCATTCTTCCTTGTTGTTCACACAAATTAAATGAAAGTCACTTATGTAAAAGAAATTCTAGTAATATTTAAAATTTGAATATGTATCAACTTAAAATATCATGCCACATGTTCCAACCACTATTATTTCTCAAATCTAAGATTGTATTGAATATCTATAACAGTTTTCAGGTATAAACGTGTGAAAATTTCCCACTGGATGTATTTCCAATATGCATCTCAAAATATGTTCAAATTACTTACTGTTCAATTACTTACTTACTTCTTTTCCACTGTTTTCACATTTATGATCTTGTGATACCTCCAAAGTCAAAAAATAATGGTGTGGGGATTACATTGCTAATATTATTTCATTTATACTGTATACACTGCATGGTCAATGAAAAATGAAGATGGTAACCCCAAAACTGATGTCTAATTCTCAAATTGTTGGAAATAATTTCTTTTACATACTGCTCATAGAAAACATTAAAATTTCTCCTCTTACTATATTTTGCTGTAATAATACACCTTTACAAAAAGGCACAACTAGGTCAGGACCTACTTTTCCTACTGAGATACTCTCCTTATTATCTTTGTTGTATGTTTGCATGTTTCTGCATGACAGCTTTGTTCATTTGGGACTAAGAGTTGTCTTTAAGTTGTTGTTTAAGTATGGAAAGTTGGAAATGAAACTATTTACCATCATCGTGAAACTCTTATAGCCACAAAACCTTTTCATCAAACAAAGACTTACATGGATGCCGATATACAAAACACGGATAAAAAGTGTTTTATGCCATTTATTTATTTATTTATTTATTTATTTATTTATTTATTTATTTATTTTACAATTTGATCTCTCTTGTTTTAAGTACAGTCGACACAACAATGTTATGTTAGCTTCAGGTGTACAACATAGTGATTCAGCAAGTCTCTGCATTATGCTGTTCTCAGAACAAGTGTAGCTACCATCTGTCACCATATAACACTGTTACGATACCATTGACTATACTCACTAGGCTGTACCTTTTATTCCTGTGACTTACTCTTTCCATTACTGGAAGCCTGTATCTCCCATTCCTGTCCACCCATCGTGCCCATTCTCCCACCCCTCCTACCACTAGCAACCATCTAGAACCTACCTCCAGAACCAGTTTGTTCTCTGCACTTATAGGTCAGATTCCACTTTTGTTTGTTTAGTTATTTATTTGTTTTGTCTCTAATATTCTACATGTAAGTGAAATCATGTGGTATTTGTCTTTCTGCTTTATTAAAGCAGAGATAAGGGCTCCCAGAGGCATAAATTCCTCTGCATTCGTCTAGCTCAGGTGACAACAAGTACAATCAAGAATAAGAATGATTTTATCTTAATATGTATACAGATCTTAGACCTAGTTCATTTTGGTTAAAGAATCTTAAATTGATGAAGTGAGCTTAGATGAATCCCTTAATGTCCTTGCTTTCTAAAGAACTACTGGGACACCTATGTTAAAACACAAGGTTGCTGTTTTAACTTTCCTTAGAAAGCATGTAATGTCGTTACAGTAAGTAATTTGAACAAAGACCTGATTTGTCCTCTCCCGACTTCTGAGATTGCTGGATTTACATATACTCGCACTCTTACTGTCATTTATTAAAATCATGAATTTTTGGGGGCGCCTGGGTGGCGCAGTCGGTTAAGCGTCCGACTTCAGCCAGGTCACGATCTCGCGGTCCGTGAGTTCGAGCCCCGCGTCGGGCTCTGGGCTGATGGCTCAGAGCCTGGAGCCTGTTTCCGATTCTGTGTCTCCCTCTCTCTCTGCCCCTCCCCCGTTCATGCTCTGTCTCTCTCTGTCCCAAAAATAAATAAACTTTGAAAAAAAAATTAAAAAAAAAAAATAAAATAAAATCATGAATTTTTGTTCCTTTCATTCCCTTTAATTCTTGGACTAAGGTCCACATTCTTGTTGTCATATCATCTTGTCCTCATATTAAGCAAACTCTTTCAGTACACTTCTTATATTTAGCCTGTACCTACCCCCCAGTCAGAATTCTTATTGGAAAGGTTCACGCACCTTGTCATAGCTATTTGAAAGATGATATGAATGATTGATTTGAGTTACTTGGGTATCATTTTCAGTGCCAAAAATCTCACCATCCATAGTTTGACTAGCTGGAACTTGTACAGTAGCTGCATATTTCTAAGATCCTTGTTGCCTATTGCACCTAGTCTGTTTGACTTGTAAGCCTAAAATGATTATAATGCAAAACAGATAGCCAATATGCTATTTATGTTAAGTGAAGGAACAACATAAATATTATAGACTAACAACATGATTCTTGCACGCGCTCTGTTGCCATAGAACACTCTTACTTCTTGTGTCTCTCTTTTTATGTATCTCTCATTTAGGCTACCGAGGACAGAAAGGAGAAAGAGGGGAGCCTGGAATTGGGCTTCCAGGGAGCCCGGGTCTTCCTGGGACTTCAGGTAATAGTGATACTATCTTCACAACACAAGCAAGCCTCTAAAAACAGGAACCACACCTTCTCGCCTGTGGCCCATATATGTTGCTACAGGTGAAGTTGAATGACCTGTGTTGGTTGGAGTGAGGGAGGAAGAGCCATAAGTGATCTGCATTCTGATGGGGGTCTTTTATTTCATTAGCTCCGGGTTTGCCAGGCTCACCAGGTGCCCCAGGTCCCCAGGGCCCCCCAGGACCTAGTGGAAGATGTAATCCAGAAGATTGCTTCTATCCTGTGTCTCATGCCCGTCAGCGGACAGGTGGGAAATAAACACACCTGAGGAAGACTTGGCATTGGAGCTATCATAATACTGTCAAACCCTCATGATATATGGGTGGCTTTTTTTATTTGTTTTTGGTAGGCCAGACATTAAAAACAATCGGAATCCTATTCTTATAGTAATTGGGATATCAGCATTTTTAGCTTTTCCCAAATTCATTCCATATGTTTTGCTTCACCACTGCTATGATTTTCATTCAGGATCTTCTATGAAAAACACAAGCAAATCTTGTCATTAGTTCTTCTTCTAGATGAAATTACATCTTATGATTTAGTAGGCTGATGGTGATGTACATTTTCTAGTCTCATCAACTTGTATTTGGCCTTTGATTTCTGAATTTTAAAGTTTCAGACTTAAAGTTTTCTTGGGGCTTACATTTACCATCATTGCTAAAGATTTCAACTTTTTTGACATACTGCATTGCTTCTGCTCAATGTTTTTTGACTACGTTTTGTAGCCAAAGAATACTTGTACCACCTTATATCCATCCTGCTTATGTGGAGAAATAGGTAGGCGATAAGAGCTTCACTTCATAACTCATTTTGGAAGAAACCCAGGAGGCTATTTTATCAGGGAGCTCAAAACCTACCATAGCCAACTACTGAAATGATTTTGTTAATTCTGTATAATGAGCTCAGTTCAAAGCAATCACCACTGGCATGAATACGTACTGCATGAAAAGAGGGGAACAAAGTCCAATTGTACAAGAGTTCCACAAGAAAAGCCCAACACTGCAGTCTCTTCACTGAGTTTCTCATTTGGGAAACAAAAGGCTGTTTTCCCTAAGAGGTGTTTGATGGTGAAGACATCAAGCTGTCTTTGGTACCTTTGAAGCTAAATGGCCTAGCAAGGTCTTTGGGCCCTTGTATCCATTATCGGTTCCAACCGGATCATTCTCAGATTTTAAGACAAGAACTGGCCATCAGAACAAAGGACGGGATTTGTGGCACTTGGGAAAGAAACCCCTTGGCCTAGAGGATGATTGTGTGGTGTCTGCAGATGTGTATTGAGGAGGTGACGCCCAGAAGCTCTTATGGAGAAACTGTTCTCCAGAGGCTGCGGAAAGAGGTACAGGGCGGCAAAGGAAAGCCATGGGACCGGATATGCAAGTAGCACTCAGACCAAAGAGTTAGCAGTAACTTCAGGGGAAACAACAGGCACTGTAAAGACCATGTCCTCTGACAGGGAATGACGGTACAGTGATCACCAACCCAGATACTTACTGAATGCTATTTTTATTGCCTAGTCGTCCATTATTTTGAGAGGCTGAAGACAACTGATTTTCTAAAACATTGGACATGAGGATGTTGCCGAAATCTAAGTAGTGGGTCCCACAGATGCTGTGAGCAGGATACCCAGAGTCCTCCTGCCACAGAAATGAGGCCCCATCTCTTCAAACAGCAGTGCAGATTCCAGTTTGGCTAAAACAGGCTAGAATGGTTGCTTTTACGTATTAATTGAAAAATGAATTTAGAAAGGTGAGCCCACTGAAATTGGAAAAAGCTGTGAACGGGGTTGTGTAGGGAGGCTTTTGTTCAAATGCACCCATGATTTGAACTGGTTTTCGTTATAGATGAACGAACCGCTGGTCAGGCCCTGTCTACATGGCTGTGCGTACATACAGCCTTCTAGCTATTTCGTATCGAATTATGTTGTATATTTAAATCCCAAGTTTGTTTCTTTTATTCTCTGAGGTTATTTTATTTATTTCAAATGCTTTTACCTTTAAATTGATTTTCTTCTTCATTTTCTTTCCTGTGCAATACCTACAATGGTGCTGTGTTTTAGACTTACACAATTGGAATATACATTTGCATTTTCTTAGTAAAATGATACTTTATCCCTCCAAAAAATGTATACAGACCCAAAATCTGGTGCTATGTGTATATCTTGAGCTTTTAATTTGTTGAACTTTAATTTTTTGAATTTTCTAAAAGCTTACAACTCCTCTGCCGCTCCTTAATGTACTTGAATTTGTCATGAAGCTACACATTTTATATGTTTTCAAGGATTATTTTTTCACATTGATTAATAGGTTGTTTATCCTTTTGCCTCTTTGCTAATCCAGAAGTACTTATTTTAGTGTTTTCATGTCTTCATGAACTTTTTTTTGCTGATGGTGATCAATGTATTTTTCTTTGTTTTCTTTGAGTCTAACATATGCGTAAAAAGACTCAGTTCATTTTCTTGTTTTATAAATTCTGTTCATTTTTATTCCACAGAATATGTCATGCATCCTTTCTTACAAATTGTATATTTAGGAACCTTTCTTTTTTTAAGTTCCGTTAATGCTGAGCTGGTTTATTCCTGTTTCAAGAATTTGGATTTATTCAGGTGGTTTAAGGGGTATGGGGAATGTCATGTCATATGATGCATATTACAAAGTAGAGTTCATTGATTCGAGCCCATTTTTTTTATAACTGCTGCATGACTTAATCTACCTTTGGCATAAGTAGAGAAATGGGACTGTGTCCACATGGAACGAGCCCCTCTCACCCTACCGTATCATTTACCTGCCAACGCTTGTTCTTGTCTCACATGATCTGCAACCAAGAGTGACGAGAATGGCTGGGCCCAGCTAATACACCAAATGAAGTGGACATATGGCAATTGCCTAATTCCCTTAATATTAATAAAGTGGATAATTAAGGCCTCAAAGTAGGGTGGGAAATTTTCCCCTAAATAACTTGGTGGTTGCAAACTCTCTTACATCATTATATTCCATTCCAAAGCATTTGTTATTTGTTTACTTTCAGAAGATGTCAGTAGTGTCCACAGCAGGGAAGAAGAATTACCAGATGTCCTGAATTAGCTCTTGTTTAGACTCCAGAGTAATTATAGGTCATGATGACAGTTAGTAATTAAAACTGGGTTTGCTCTATATAAGTATGTTTGGATTCCAGTGTAACATTTTATACCAAGATCAGTTAACACTTTCAGATAGAAATATTTCCATGCAAAGAACAAGATATGATTTTAATTAATATTCATAGCCTTTGGAATCTAAAGAAAAAGGAAGAATGATTCATGAGTGTGTTCATTGTTCCTTCCTATTGAGGACATTAACTATTTTTTACTAACCATAAGAGAAACACAGCCAGTCTTAACCTTTGAAATCTTTCACCATGTGATCACAGTAATTTAATGACTTTAACCCCATATGCTTATTTCTCTATTTCATGATGTTGTTGAAATACAATTTTTGTCATTTATTGTAGAGATTAAGTAATTATCTTAAGATATGTTGTAAAAAATGTCATTTGATGTTTGGATTATAAAATATTTTTTTTATGAATATGTTTTAGGAGTTAAATAAGATTTAGCTTTTCTGCAGTCTTTCTCATCTGTTGAAAACCTGTGATATACCTCCTTTTGTCCACAAGATGGTGTTTAAAGCAGTTTGAATCAGAAGAACTGAACAGACTTGCAGAAATACAAGGCTAGAAACAGTTTAGTGGACAACTGAATCAGACCCTTGCCTTTGCACTTGATTTTTCTTTACTTTTGTAAATAATTTCTTATTAATTTGTGTTTTGTTCATTTGTTTTGTTAATTTATATTCTTCCTCATTTTAAGTATCTTTATGAAGAAGGCACAATAACTTTTGACTCCTTGGCTATTTAGATTTTGTTTCTTAAGTGGATTTATATACCTGGTTAACTTGCAACTTTACTATTTGTAACTTTAGTTTGTATTCTACCCTCATATTTTAGTGATTAACATGAAAACACCTAAATACCCATCCTACTTTTTAGATAGAATACTCTCTTTTGACAGAAGTAAAAAAGCATTTAGCTTATCACGAGAAGTAGACCATTTATAAAATTACACAACGTCTGAATCTCCTTATCATTCAAGGTACTTAACATTTTTTAATTTAACAATTAGAGTTGTATAATGTTTATATTTTTCTAGAAATATATCCCTATTTACAAAAGATAAGGAATGCTATTTTTCAAATTACCATTTTAATTTTCCTAAACACTAGTAATAATACCCTGAGACTGAGAATTTCTAGGTTAAATTATGTGCTCAAGTTTTTTCAGTGAATTCTCAGAATATTTTGAAGATTAGTTCATTGCTTTTGTTCTTAATTTTTTTTTTTCACATTGCCTGTGCTCACCTTCTTAAGACACACAAGTGTTTATTGTTCTCGCTTCCCAATGTTCTTTTTTAGTACTTTAGTGATAAGGGGTATACTCCCTCCCCTTGCCTCTATTATACCTTTTCCTCTCACAGAGACTACCCAGGCTTCTAAGAGGAGGAAATGAGGAAAAGAATTGAATTTGTATCTTTTATGCCTTGGTACTTCTAAGTGACTTAGCCCGTTGAATTCATTTACTAGTTGGCTGGCAGTGGGAGCATTAATTTTTTTTTTTTTAATTACTAACAGACTCAGGAAACAAGACACATGGATGTCTTCAGTTTTACTGTGTGCTGTAGCTGGAGCTATAATCAAACATTTTACTCGACAAAATCATGCTAGACTAACTGGTCAGTTTAAACTGAGTGAAGAACCAGTTGAGCACCGAAAAAACTCACTCAGACAAGCAGACCCAGAACAGCAAAAATTTACCTCATAGATAGGTCAGGTTTATAAAACCAAAGCTAAGTCTAAGAAAATTAAATGGAAAAACTTTCATGTTCAGATAATAGAAGATTGAGTGATACATGGTACAACTCAAGGAGTTAGCTACTTGCTTCACGAATTTGTCAAAAGTGAATTCTAATAAAGTAGGAGATTTCATTACACTTATGGGGTAGTTCAATGAGAATTAAGTTTATCAGACGGGTGTGTGCCATTTGACCATAATAAGCTTATGGGTGTAAAGATGCTAATTAACTTACAATTTTTTTTAATTTTTCATTTTGCTATATTATTTAAAGTATATTTTAGGGATAAATATTTTTCAATGTATTAATTGTATTTAAATTCAGATTGTCTTATGGCATATTTTATAACTATTTATTTTTAAAATACTATTTAGGGTATATTTGTTCCCCATTTTGTTCTCTAGCTTACCTCATCCAACTATTTAAGATTTCATTTGACATATTCAAGTTAAGTGGAATGGCACCAGTTTCATTCCAAATCCCACTTGGATATAATGCTTTGAGGCCTTGATTCCTATATGTTCATGATACCTAATGAGCTTTTCGCTTATCTTAGCAATAAACGATTTGACCCTAAATCAGGGAATTCTAAGGTGCAGTTATTAACATCATTTCTACTCTTCCCCACTTCTTGTGGCTGAAGCTCCATACCTCAGCTCCATTCTGCTAGGTCTCAACCACATGGATGCCCCCAAAAAGCACTTACATACCAAGTGTGAGCCACACAGATGTCCAGGGAACCTGTAATTGAACTATTGCAGGGCTCATGTTTTATACCATGCTAGAAATTATGCTTTTGTTTGTCATAAGAACCAGTGCTTAGCTCACAATAATTAAGTTTATTACCCATCTCCCTGGCAGCTCATAAAAAGCCTGGTCTAATGATTGCGAATAAGAATAATAAGCAGAAACAAGTCAGAGAGCAATCCGTCCTTTGCAGCTTTTGTCCCACAAAGTGATCTTCTCACTAAAATCACTTAAGACTCATTGATATAGAGGGGTCTGAGCAAGATAAGAAATATCACAGTTAACTTTTATGACAAATATAAGCTCTTACATCATTAGTGATAAGGCAATAGGCAATAAGTTAAATACATAGCATGTTTCCTCAACAGAGATTAATCACATCAAAATATGCCAGTGGATTTTTATGTTTGCTTAGACTGGAAAATGATTTACATAGTTCTTAACTATTCTCGCCTTCAGGTCCCCTTATGACGTAATAAATTAACCAGGTGCTCTCTAAGGAATATTCTTAAGTCTTTTGACATACACATTTTCAACCTGGAGGACAAAGACAAATTCAAATAAATGTTGAAAAGAAAGGTAGTTTCTTGAACCCAATTGCCCTCATTTGTTCTCTCTCTCTCTCTAGTTATTTTTAGAAAACTTGAGAGTAAGATGTAAAAGCATGTTAAGGAGAAAGTTAACATGGGTTGCCATTTATTAAGACTAAAAATATGATCAGTGTCCTCTTTCTGATGTCTGGATCTAACAAATATGTTACACTTCCCCTAGTTAATCATTTAAAGAGCATTTGAGCATGTGTATTTATAGTCATACATTACAATGGATAACCAATTTTGATTTAATATTTACTGAATTATATGCATTTAATACTGTCATGTCCCAGATCATAAGCTCACTAAAAAAGATGAAGTACACAATTGAAAAGCATTTGTTTTACTCAGTGAAACAAAAGGACTCGACCTATATTACTGAGCACAAATATTCTTTATTAAAGATATTTAAAACCATTTATGTCCATTGCAAAATTTGTAAACGGCAAAATCACTAGTTTGCTAATTTTTTCTTATTAGTACATTTTCACTCTTTTTGTCAGTACTAACAGAAAAAAAAGCAATTCTCTTGGTATTTGGTATAATTTTATGTATTTTTAGTGATCTTCTCCCTATTGTGGTTTATTTTAAAATTCAGGGATATTATATGTCAGAAACTGTCATAGCCAAAAAATCAAATAATAGAGGTGATCTTCAAAACTAGGGATCTATATTAGCTTATTTCAGGTGGCAAATAAATCAGATCTTACTAATGATGTTTAAGCATAGCAATATTCGTTTAGACAGATTGACATATAAAGTGCCTATAATCGAATCAATCACATAACTCATATGACTACTCATTCATATTCTTCTGCTACTCAGAAGTCACTTATCCCAAACCATGCCAGTGAATTTATGTGCTCAGTCAACCTGGAAAGTGATTTCCATAGTTCTTAACCAACCTGTCAGGTATTGGGGATGAAAATCATATCATAATGCCATAGAAGCACTGACTAGAATTAAATCAGAAATCATTTGCCCTTGAGTAACATGCCAGTTTGCAACCAACCTTAATTATTCACAGACTCTTCTCTCAGTGAGTGCTCTAGGTGACACTTCACCCAACTTTTAAAAATATCTCAAAGAGGCTTGGAAATTTCTATTTTGCTAGAGAGAGCTATTTGGCTTAATTAAATATTTATCAACTCTAACTTTCATAGAAAGAATTTGCTGGATGCTTTTCTTTGCAATTTCTCAGACAAGTATTTACTGCTTCTGTAAACTATTTCACTTAACTGAATTTACAATGGATTGTTCCCACCATTTGGAATGTGCTAGTTTTGCATAATCTATTTGTTAAGTGGTTGTTTCCAGTATCGCTTGTGGTATCTGTGGAGCTTGTTGTACAGCCTTTTATATATCAAGTTTGTAAAACAGTTGAATGATCTGCTCTTTGAAATTTTATTTTTTAAAAATTTTCTTATGAATACAATATTATAGAACTGAGGAACATATTTATTTGGTTACCTAATTTTTCTTTTGTTGTATTTAATTACATCACTCTGGTTAAAATAAAACAATCTTTGTGAAAAGACAAGGCAACTTCTTTGCATTTATTTGATTAGATGTTGCAGTACCTCAAAAGGTTTGCCATTTATATGAAGATGATTTTAAGTAATTATAACAGGTATCTCTATTGCCAAAAATTATTTATTCCACAGGAAGGAAAAACATCCTTCTCAGTGTGTAAATGGCACTGATTTATGTAGCCAAGTTGGAATCATTCTCCTTAAGCAATGCATGCTCAAGGCACAGAACTAGGTGCTGTAAGCAGATTTAAAGAAATCCAAATACAGGAGGGGAACGCCTGGCTGGTTCAGATGGAGGAGCATGCAACTCTTGATCTCGGGGTTGTAAGTTCAAGCCTGATGATGGGTGTAGAAATTACTTAAATAAATACATAAATCTTAAATAAAACATAAATCCAAATACAGATTACATAATGATTGATTTGGCCAAACAAATAGGGCTAATGTTTTTGAATGTATAACAAGTACACGTGAGAAAAATTGGTATCAAAGATCCTGTTAGGGCTTATGCCCCATGACTTGAGAAAATTGAATTCCATAAACTAACTGAAGATATTGACTGTTTCGAGCACTGCGCTATGCCCCGGGGAGAAGTTACTCACATGCACTGTGACATAAAATTAATATAGTAAGTCTGATCAATAGTTTATAGAAATGTCTATAAAACAGCTAGTCAATGTGACCACGCAAATATAGTAATAAAGTGCTTGAGTGGTCAGGCAATACCTATCTTATTGATAAGAATTCGGTGCTTTAGCTGAGCTGTGATTATAAAATGTCTAAGAAAAGTGGTGGAACAGAAGTCATTTTTGCAGCTGTGAAGTTATGAATAGGAGGGAGCTAACAAACCATTGAAATGAAAGCAGTGGTTCCTAACCTAGAAACCAAGTGCTTAAGTGGTCTATGAAGTCTCTGAAATAGTCTACAAACATACTTGCACATATGCACTCGTGTGTTTTTCTGGGATGATGGCCCCATAGCTTTCATTAGAATTTCAAAAAAGGTCCTTGAAGCTCTCCCCCATGCTACACACATACATACAAAGAACTGTGGCAGGGTAATGACCCCTAAGGAACAGGAAGGGCTTAATTTCTCTACAGAAACAAAGCACTAATATTATAAACATGCCTATAGAAATACCAGGAATTTGATATTTTTCATTGTACCTAAATAAGTTCAGTGACTTCTTTTCATTGAACATGATTATAAGAAAACATGCAAGAGCTTAAGAAACCATATTTATTTTTTTGGTACAACCAGAGATGTTACCTCAAACCTTGAAAATAAATAATCTTATCAATAAAACTTACGAATGGCAGGATATTAAAATTCCTTCTTTGCTTTCACATAGAAGAGCTCAAAAATTAATGGGTTTGGGATACAGTACAGTTTAACAAAAATCCAGGCTGCCTACGAAAACCAGCAAGTGATGTACGGAAATTGTTGCATGGGGCAGAGCACATTCTTGCTGCTCCCAAGAGGACACATTGATGGGAATTTTAAGCACCAGTTCTATTGACTGCAGTGAGGTTTCTTCAGAACTAGTCTGCTAATCCTCTGTATAGCTGAAATGATAATCTGAGAACAACATCTAAATGAAAAATGAAAATAACTACTACAACTGAGGTAAACCAAACAGTTGTTTTTGTTTATTGGCACAGTGGCCCATGATAGATCACATACGTATAGCACACTAAAGTTCAAGATCCTGGGAATGGGATTATAAATTTATTTAAAGGGAGGGTTTTAGGTTTTCTGATTTTTTTTGTATCCGATGATTCTGCTGTCTCCTCTCCAAGAAAAAAGAAAGGATTTATTGAATAGCACCATTGTTTTAAATCTGTCAAATAAGACTTATGTAATAACTTTGAAGGTAATGCATTGTTGTCTTTTGCCTCAGCTTCGGTGGTGTTTCCCCTCCAAGCCCCTTTGCCAGGCATTGTTTATGCAGACAGCCACGCAGCACTAAGCTTTTCACTGATCAGGCCCTTTGATAAATGCTCGTTGACCAGCCTGCATGGTGCAGGAGGCTGGCTCACAAAAACCAGGAGGCCCAGGAGGTCCCGGGGGGCCGGGTACACCAGGAATTCCTGCCACCCCAGGGGGGCCTCGCTCGCCATCCCGGCCATTCCTCCCATAGCTGGCAGGACCTGGTTCACCTGAAACACACAAATGATTGCACATGTAAACAGGAGAGCCCCAATGGCTGCAAACTAACAGATGGCACTGGACCCCCCTCCCCTAGCCAGCAGTGTGCACCTAGGAGCTTAATAAGTGCTTTTGGAAATGATGAAGACATGATGTCATGTTAAAATTCTTTCACTGAACTTGGGTTTCTTAGAAATTAAAAGAGGAAGGAGACCTCAGCATCTCTAACCCACGTTTCCAAAGTTCAGTAGAGCTGAACTACCCAGTATGGTAGCATCTAGCCACATAGGTCTACTGAGTGCTGAAATGTGACTAAGTCAAATTGGGATTAACTGTAAGTGTAAAACACACCTGGACGCTTTGAAAACTCAGTGTAAAACTTTAATATGTTTAATTAATAATGTTGACTTATTACATGACATGATATATTTTGCAATGATAATATTTTGGACACAATTGGCTAAATAAACTGTATTATTAAAATTAATCTCACCTGATTCTTATGACTTTGTTAATGTGGCTACTAGCAGATTTAAAATTATGTACACAACTCTCATTGTGGCTCACATTATATTTTTCCAGTGGCATCATCCCTAATAAGTGATCAATCTCCAGACAGTGAGTAGAAGTATATAGGTCAGGGGTTAGAACAGGATTTAGAGGCAGAAAGATAGCCTTAAGTTCTTGCTCTGCCATTTGTGAATGGGGTGACATTAGCAAGTCACTAACCTCTTAGTTTCTTCATCTACAAGACAGGATGATGCTTCCTTAAAACTAAATTCCAATGCCTGAAAGCATCTGATACATAGGGGCTATTATTATGTTAATGAGGATATCACTGATTGATGTCTTTTAGAAGCATGTGCAGGGCACCTACAAAGTTCCCAGATGTTTTCCCATCAGGGGCTAACCCCTACATGAACTTTATCATGGCCTAAGTTCCTCAGGAGCATTTTTTCCCTTTGTCACATTCAAAGGTTGTTTGATCACCCCGTGTGGCATGTTCTCTGAGGCATGGCACCCAATACAGAGGGGAGTTTCTGCTGAATGTTTACCCACCCCATCACATCAGCAGTGCTCTCATACTCTTAGCACAAAGGTGGTGGTAAGAAATCTGCGTAAGACAAATTGTATACACCATGATGATATAGTTCTATAGAGCTCCTCTTACCTCAGCCATTCAGCCAAGATGGTGAGCATGTTCAATTACACATTTGCTTAGGTTAAGGCAGTTTCCTTCTTTCTCAGTGGTTTTAGTTCTCTTTTTCTATTTTAGTGGTCTTATTAATATATGTCTTGTATTGGTCTTATTATAGTGGTCTGGTCTTATTAAGTGTTCTTATTACATATATCTCACATACTTTTAGAAAGAAGGTAGATATCTTATTTTACATATAAGATCTCATTCTTCCTGTGATATTTACAATTAGATCTACACAAAGCAAAATTATAGGACAACACTTTTTATTTTTTTAGATTTTTTTAAGTAATCTTTACAAACAATGTAGGGCCCGAACTTACAACCCTGAAATCAATAGTCATACACTCAACCAACTGAGCCATCCAGGTGCCCCAGGACAAAACATTAAGAGAATAATTATCTTTGATTCTATCCATCTCCAGGCTGTAGATAAACAGAGATGTAAGTAATTTCCCTTAATTTATCCCATAAGCTTCCATTCGACTATATTCAGTTGTAATGAAGCAGATGATTACGTTTCCCTCTAAAGACAAGGCCCCTGAGAACATTTTTCTCTAATCAACAGCACCTATAAATACGGCTTTAGCAGGGCCTGTTCAGGTCTCATGACACAGGTTGCTGTTCAACATTGTTCTTTTAAGCTTTAAAAGGCCAGACAGACGTGCATAAAAAGGGTAATTCTCATACGCCTTATCATGGAGACATACCAGGTCGGCCTTAACAAAATCAAATCAAGATTAAGAGGAGAAAATGCCCAGAGGAGAGGTCACAAACCAAAAGACCACAGGAGGAGCAAAACAGGTAATACAGATCAGGCGGGCAAACATGGGATCGCCCAAAATGAGCCAACCCCTGTTTTTGTAAACAGTCCTGTTAGAACAGGGCCATAGTCATCTGTTTTGTATTGCCTCTGGCTGCTCTTACACTACCAAGGGCAGAGCTGTAGGGCTGCCACAGAGACCACATGGCCCACAAATCCCAAAAATCTGGCCCTTTACAAAAAAAGTTTGCTGACCTTTAAGGTAGTAAAGAAATGGTCCTAGATTAAGAAACACCCTGGTGGGGGGCCTTGGTGGCTCAGTCCTTGGTTTCTGCTCGGTTCATGATCTCACGGTTCGTGGGTTCAAGCCCCGCATGGGCTCTGAGCTGTCAGTGTGGAGCCTGCTTGAGATTCTCTCTCTCTGCCCCTCCCACACACTCTCTCTCTCTCTCAAAATAAATAAACTAAAAAAAAACAAAAACAAAAAAACAACACCCTGCTGTCTTTAGGAGAAGACATAACACAAATGTAATGAAAACTGGTGACCGCTATTCCACATCAGTTTTAGGGAGGAAACAGGGAGGACTGCGGCCTGTTGTGAATGGCAGAACGGTGCCCCCCGCAGTTTGCTCCAGCCAACAGCTGCCCTAAGGGAAGGTGGGCCAGCAGAACCTCTGATCATTGTCAAGGGAAGCTAGAGGCTGAGTTTTTTAATAAACACCTCTCAATTTCTAAATATTAGCAACTAATCCAAATTTTTAACATTTGTAGAGCCAGTCTCCTGCCTAAAATCTTAAATTTAAGGGGATTTATTCTCTACTATTCAACCATATTAGAAAGCAGAAGGAAAGCTTTTTTTAGATTTTCATATTATACTTCCCCATTTCTACACATCGCAGGAGAGGCTTTTTCACTTGCTGCATTTATTCCAGATTCCTGCTAATCCTTTGAAAAAGAGTTGATAAGGCCATCCTGTGTATCCTTGATTTATTTTATGTAAAGCACATCCAGTCCAATTCTCCCTTGGGCAAATACAGCAATTTACCCGTTGAGGCTTTGGATGTCATCTTCGTCATTCTGACCATCATCACCATCAACACTTACACAACGCTCCCGCTTTACCATGGCCCTGAACTGTGCTCGTTATTGATCCCATTTTCCTCTGTGTGAAGTGAGAGTTAAGAAGGCATGGGGCGCCTGGGTGGCTCAGTTGGACTTCGACTCAGGTCCGGTCATGATCTCACAGCTCGTGAGTTCAAGCCCCACTTAGGGCTTTGTGCTGACAGCTCAGAGCCTGGAGCCTACATTCTGTGTCTCCCTCTCTCTCTGCCCCTCCCTCACACTCTGTCTCTCTGTCTCTCTCTCTCTTAAAAATAAACATTAAAAAAAATTTTTTTAAGGCTAAATAACTGTCCATCATCACACAGCTAGAGGGCGTCAGAACTAGAAGCAAGGGCCCTTAACCACTACTCAATCTGAGAGTATTTCCATACCTATTGAGCCGCTAATGCTGCGTGTGCGTGCATGCATAATAGTGCGCGTGCGTGCGCGCGTGCCTGCGTGTGTGGTTTGGGGTTTAATGAGCCTGAATTAACCGGGAAGTAAAAGCGGCACCACAGCCAAGAGTTAGTATTGATTCTTCTGGAGCTCTAACTATCAAAAGAAACTAAAGATATTTTTTCTGAGGTTTTGTCCTGTAAAACTGGCCAGAGGAAAAAAATCAGGCTTCACAAATCATCAGTTTCTGGTGAGTCCTGACGCTGGGTATTTACTCTCCAAGGTTCTTGGTGTTGTTTAGGAGCGTAATTTTGGGGTGATACAATGTCACAGTCCAAATCATTCAAGAAGTCTAGCAGCTACATTAGCGAATATCTATAAACTACCCTTCAGCTCCTCAGAAAACAGATCTGAAGTGTTCTCATTCTGCTTTGTCTGCCTCATGGGTGTGTTAGCTGCACTAACTGGCTAATGATTACATAGTTTTCTGAAATTTCAAGGACCTATAAAAATGTTACTGCCAAACATTTCGTTTTTAAAAATGAATGTCATTCTCTGTGCGAACACTAGAGGGTAGCCATGTTACATTGATGGAGGCCAGTCCCTGCTGGAACATTCTGAAGGATCTACTGCAGGCTGCAAAGTGAAAGTGACTGTGTATAAAGGCCTTTAGGAAGGGGGGGGGGGGAACCCTGCAAGTAATTTTCAGCATTAATTTGGTGACTTATCCACGGGTTATGTAAAATGTGTGTTCCAGGGACTTTCTTACATATCCACCTTACGCTGAGCTTGCATTTGTCGTGTTTGACAAAGCATATATGTTTAAGGAATTGGCATAAAACGGTTTGTTTATAGAAGATCCCCATAGCCAGATAAAACAGCTGCAGTAATGGAAATAGGATAAATGGCTACTGCTAAACAAGCCTAAACCGAGTGTGCCCTTGGTTTGGAGTTTTGGTTTTTTTTTTTTTTTCCACTCAGTGTTCACAAGCAAAGCTCACCTATGTGCAGCTTTACATAAGAAACCTGAATAGCCCAGTTGCCTAGTGTGACCTAGTGTGCCTAGGTAGAAGCCAGCTCTACCCTCCTCTCCTCATCCAAAAAGGGAAAGCATCGCAGCTCACAAGCCACATTCCTGGTGGTCACATACATATGATTCCTTATTTAACTTGTTTCTTTCCCTCATGAGTTTGAATGCACAGAAGAGATCAGGACCTAATATTAACTATTTTCCCTTAAAACCCCCAGAGTGTCGAGGAATTGGTCCCAAGTGGGCAAGTTTGGTGGCAGCAGGCATAGAGAGTTACTCTTAATGAGACAACCCAATCAAGCAATACCACAAAGGCCTCTGGTAAGAAACTGAAGGTGGGCATGGGGGTTGGGGGCATCTAAAGTCCCAGGGATCTCTAATCACCGCTCTGTGAGAGAGGCAGAAAAGAAATCAAGACACTATGTGGTTATGAAACATGGCGAAGTTATATGGCTAGCGTGGCAAAGGCAAGCTAATCCCATTACTAGGCAGCCAGTGCATCGTTTTGTCCAGTACATGAACCTGGACATAGAAGGTATGAATATTTGCCTCTGTGACTAATTAGCTGACAGACCTTTGTCAGAGCAGGTGACCTCTGTAAGTCTGCATTTCCTCAAATAGAAACAGAGGAATAACAAAATAATGACAGCTAAATTTGCAAAATGCTTGCCATATGCCAGGCGCTGTTGTAAGTGTTTCACGTTTAGTAACATGTACACAGATCCTCCTGAGTAACTCTATAGGGTAGATGTGGTTCTCAGCCTTGGGATGCAGCAGAGAACTGAAGCGCTAAGAGGCAGAGTCGCTAAAAATAAGTGAAAGAGCAGTGCATACACCTGGGCGTTTGGCTCCAGAGCCCACCCTTCTTTAATTTTTTTTTTTAACGTTTATTTATTATTTTTGGGACAGAGAGAGACAGAGCATGAACGGGGGAGGGGCAGAGAGAGAGGGAGACACCGAATCGGAAACAGGCTCCAGGCTCGGAGCCATCAGCCCAGAGCCTGACTCAGGGCTCGAACTCCCGGACCGCGAGATCGTGACCTGGCTGAAGTCGGACGCTCAACCGACTGCGCCACCCAGGCGCCCCAGCCCACCCTTCTTAAATACCTGTTCTGCCTACCTCTGGCTGGGAGAAACAAACTGGATGATTTATAGGTACTTTTTAAAGAACCGAGCACCACAGCCAACATGATAGCATGACAGTTACAATAATGACCTATGGTCCATATCAGGCAGTGTACCATTACAACCCCAAAGGGCCGTGTAATAATCAGTGCCAAACAGATACGGAGAGGAGAAAAGAACTAAAACTGTCCATAAAGCATAAAGGAATTCTGATTACTGATAGATAATTAATGTGTTAGTTGTATTTTTTCAAATATATCACATATGTTTGCACCAGGAAGAATGATCAAGTGAACGTTTTCCACTCAGGAGGATTTAAGTCCCCAATCCAACAATAGGGATAACCAAGAAGGTTGCAGGATATCCTGTTCTACAGGTTCTTTCTTTTAGGCTCCAGACAAGTCCCTGCACAGAGTCCTACTGGAAGTTCCTCCAGACCTCCACATACTAGTAATAGTCCTGTTACTATTACGTTTGTGAGAGACCAGAAACCACGTTCCTAATCACATTCCAGGCTCTGCCAGGGAAGTTAAAGGTCCCAGCCTCTCAGCGGACAGTGAACAAGTGCAATAATTTACTGTGAACCAGTACTTTCATTTATGATTTGGAGTCAAACTCACCCAAGGTCAGAAAACTAGTAAGTGACAGAGTCAAGATTTGAACCCAGGATGTCTAAATCGTGGAGCTCCAAACAGGAGCTCCTACTCAGAAGCTCCAAGTTCTAGCTTTAGGGGAAAAATGACCCTAAAAGCTCTTGTTCAGGGACTAATGGATTCAAGAAATTGTTAGCTAAGTATATTCATAGTGTAGACAAGAGAGTGTGAGCTGACCTAAAAACCAAAGCAGCCAGCTGGTGCCTCAGTGACTGGGGCAAACATAAACCCTTCGTGCCTGTGTGCTAGAGCACTTGGAAAACTGCATGCTTTTGAAAGGTAGCCTCAGCTTTTAAAAAATAATCTGAAACCCAGATTTTTCACTAAATAATGTCATATATCCTCTTAATAGAAATGTAACAAAGGCATATACAAAGAAAGACCAGATTTCAGAATGGTACCAGGAAGGAAGGGGCAAGGACTGGCAAAAGGCAGAGGAAAGGGAAAAGGACAGGTTTAGGAGTCTTAAAATAGTGAGCCCACGGAATTTTTTAACAAATTATATTTAAGTTTTAAACCCAAGAACAGCTATAACAAATCAATTTTTTTCACAAGGAGGACAAGATGAGGACCAGTCAGCGGTCAGTGCTGCCAGTGGTGAGCCTGTCCTGCCTTAACCAACCTGCCCACACACCAATGTCTGATGTACTAAAAAGCAAATCACGGAAGCCCCTTTCTGGTAGAGCAGTGGCCCCGGAGCCATTTACATTTACATGTAAATCCTCGCAGTCAGATTCAGCAGCTCTGGGTGGGGTGCTGCATGTGGGCAGAAACGTGTCCCCTCATGACAGCCTGGGACACTATACATACAGAGCTGGTTTTCCCTCAATCTTCCCATTTTAAACTTAAAACATGGCTTATCAACAGATTTTTTGAAAGTAAGAGTCACCAGAAATGATAATATATTTCTGATAAAGGAAAATCTTGCCAAGGGTGCAAGTTGCTGGTCCAAGAACCGTTATGTGGTTTGTCAACAAAATGGGAGAAGGAGAAACTGAGGCAATCCTGTAATATATAGATAATTAAGTACATTGTAATGATATTTTTATCAGCTCTAAACTACCTATTGCTGCCACTGATAAAGGAGGAAAGCACTCAGAAAATTCCATTTCCCTTTCCTCTTGTAAACATCCATCAATGAATACAGACTTTATCATACACTAAAATCTTCTTCTCTTGGTCTCCTGTAGCTTCAACCAGATTTTCTTTCCTTTTCCAATCACGAAAATTTATCAATTTGTGAAAGCATCTTGACAGACTCATGAATCGCAGGGTTAGTAAAGCAGTGAGCTATCTCCAAATGTATTCATATTTAAAAAAATTTTTTTTTAATGAGAAAGCAATTCCCAGGAGCAACGAAATGGGTAATGAGAAAGCAGTGATGTTTTTGGCTGCAATTAGAGCCATGATTGAATATGGAAGCCTCTGTCAGAATTAGAAAATCAGCATTTCTTTTTCTAAATTTCTCTAAACCAAGTTTTCCAAATCCACCGAAGGAGTGTGGGCCACCCTTTTCTGCACAGCCTCTCACCCTGCCTCTCCTCAGCTCCAGGGTCCAGCGCTGGGGGCCTTCCTTAGCCACTGCCTCAGCAGCTATGAGTTTGCTGGGAGGCTCCAGGTCACTCATGCTCTCAAACCCAACTGACTTCCCCTGCTATGCTGCTTCTGTGGTTGGGCTTCTAAGTCATTTCCCAGTGGATGAGTGTGTGGCAGCCTGGACTGTGGGGACAGAGTAGCCAGTGTGCAAAGAGAGAACAGACGCCCAGTGAGAGAATCCAGGCTCTTCACACAGAGGTGACTTTGTTACCTCAGCCAGCACAGCTGTGATATGTGGCTTGTGCATGGCTCTTTGTGACTATAGGAGTTGGAATGTTCAGGTTTATTTTTTTTGGATATGGATTTCTGGAGGGTCTGGATGTTTGAAACAGGAGCTTTTAAAAGAAAATTTCAGTTACTCCCTGTGCAACATGAATAGTTTGAAAACTTAAAAACTTTTTTGTTGCTCTTTTTGGTTAAAAAATAAAACTATCAACTAGGCTAAAAATGGATAGGACCTCATTCATTCAGAATTTTCTAATAAGTGCACTGTGGCTGGACCTTGACACAATTTTTAAAAAAAAAACATCTGTTCAAGAAATTAATATTTTAAGCCCTGACATATGTTTTCTCATGAGGAACACAGACAGGCATGATTTATAGATCATTTAACTCTTCATTAAAGTTGGTCTTGAAAAATCTGTGCTGGCCATTATTGAGAATTACATGATATGCTTAAGTAATCAAAGAGCAATTCTTTAAAATATTTTCCAATTCAGACTGCCCACTTGCTACCAATTCCTCAACCTCATGCTGCCATATAACACACTTACCTGGGAGACCCGTAGCTCCGGGCAAGCCCTTAGGACCTCTTCCTGGAGGGCCACGTTCCCCCCTTTCTCCCAAGTCACCTGCATTTCATTAGAGAAATGTTATGTTTCTGTATGTTTATAAAAAGAAAGTTCCATATTTTTAAACTTTAAGCAAAACCAAAATTGAGTCAATTAATTATATTAAGAGATCCAAGTGGGGGGAAAGCCAATGACCATATTCATAGATGCTGAAAAGACATAGGACAAAATAAAATATGCATTCCTGATACAACATTCAGTAAAATAAGAATCGATGGTTACTTCCCTGACCTGATAAAATATATCTGCCTCAACCCAAAAGCTAGCATCATGCTTACAGGGAAACACGAGAAGCAGTCCCACTACAGACAAAACATTATAGAGATGCGTACTTTATCACTATTAATTGTAATTTGCTTTGAGAGTCAAAAATATCCCTATTTTCAGGTGATATAAGTGTACATCTTAAATCCTTGAAAATCAACTCAAAATCTACTACAAACAATGAGAGAATTCAGTAAAATAGCAAAGCACAAAAGTAATATATGAAAATTAGTAGTTTTTACATTTACAAACAACCAGAAATAAGAGGTAATGAAAAAAGATCCCATTTAAAACAGCAATTAAATTAATAACTAGGAATATATTTAATCAGAAATATGCAAATCCAACAAAAAATTAACATCTCTAAAGGATACAAAAGGACTGACAACTGTTCTTAGGTGGAATGACATCATCACAAAAAGGTATGAGTTCTCCCTAAGCTGAAGTTTCATCATGATCTCAATAAAAAGATATTTTTAACCAGAAAAGAGGATTCTGAAGTTTGTACAGAAAAACACATAAGCCAGAGTAGCCACAAAACTCCAAAAAGAAAAGCAACATGAAGGGAATTAATCCTACCACATATTATGCCAATTAAAATGGTGTGGTACTGGTACTTGAATAGATAGACCAGTGAAACAGCCCCCAAACAGGCTCCAATACATATAAGAATTTGTTTTGTAATAAATGTGCCATCTTAAGGTGGGAAATAGTCAAACAAGTCAATAAGTGGTTTTGGAAAAAGTGGGTAGCCAACTGGAAAAAAAACTAAAGTCGAATCTGTTCCTCACAACGTGATCTAGGATAAGTTACAAATGGATCAAATATTTAAATGTAATTTAAGAACCAGAAGAAAATAAGGAGAATTATTTTATAACCTCAGATTTGAGTTGGCTTTACTGTCATGATTCAGAATATGAAGGGTTCCTAAAAACAATAAAAAAAGGTCAACAACAATAAAAAATGATAATATATAAGCAAGGAAGTCATTAAAAGGAAAAAAATAGCTCTGAAATATATGGAAAATTATCTGACATCACTCTCACAACAAAATAAATGGAAATTAAAAATAACAAGAAAGCTACTTTGAACTATAAGATCAGCACAAATTCCAAAGTTTAATTAAACATATACTAGCAAGTCTGTGGAAAAATACATTATTACTTGTTGCTAATAAGACTGTGAATTGAGGCAGTTTCTTGGAATATCTATCAATATTACAAATGGTAGTACCATTTTACCTAGCAATTCCACTTCTAGGAATTTATCTTAGAAGTACAGAGGTTATGTTGTATTTGTACAAAAACGAAATACACAGTGATAGTCACTGCAGCCTTGCTATCATGGTAGAAGATTAGAAACTAACTGTCCATGAAATGGTTAAATACACTATGGTACTTCCATAGAATGGCATACTATGCAGCTATGAAGAAGAATCAGGAAGCTCTTTGAAATGATCTCAAGACATAATTGTTCAATGAAAAAAATCAAGGTTCAGATCACTACCAAAGGATAATATGACTTGCCTCTAAAAAGATGTAGGGAAGTATATTATCATATATTGCACCTTATCACTGATAAGGATATGTAGGAAACTAATAAAAGGGATTACCCAATGGGAAGAATAAAGGAAACTAAGCAGATGGGAGACAGGGGTAGGAGAAAAACTCTTCACTAAATATCTTTTAATATAGTTTTAAATTCTCAAACAATATAAATTTAGTGTCACCAAAAATAAATTAATGAATTTTCAAAATTTAAAGTGTGCTGTCACAAGTGCCTACATTTCATTTGTGATTATTATTTATAGGGAAAATGCTTTGGACTGCAACCAACCATGTGTATTTGCAAGACAGTTGATTGAATTTGGGGATTCAGCAGCCAGAAAACCAAGTTTCATTAATTATCCTGGCCCCTGCAGAGAAACCTAGAAACTTGGCCTCATTAACAAAGTGCCCCAATACCTTAGTCAACCGGTCCTGACTTTTCCTGCTCCCCATAGAAGGCATTATTCTACTATATCACTGGTACAGTATTATATTATTATTCTACTACTCGCTCAGAAGAGGCAGTGGCATTTTGCAGTAAATTCTATATATAATCATTTTTCCAAACATTTGTGTCAGCTCAGCTTCATTCAATATTGTGTCCCATTTATAATAATTTAAAAAACAAAAGCATGCATACCAAAATAGTAAAAAAAAAATCTAATTATGAAGTGAATGTTTAGTCACCATACTTTGATTTTAGCTGTGAATGTCCTTGTATGAGTATTTTTATCATGAATCAACTGTATTTCAAAAACAATTTAAATTTATATAAATACCGTATAGGGATCTAGAGCTCAAGTTTAACTCACATTCACGTAAGCTCTTTTTTTATACTCATCATCAACATGGCCTTACTATATTAGGAAGATATGATAATTAGCATTTTAAAAACTAAGAACTTAAGCGCTCTTGTTAACTTAGCAATTTAAATGTCATATCACTCTAATTCTGGTGGCTTGCAGTGAGAAAAGAGCCAATAAATGTGCCACATTTTCTGAAGATGTGAGATGAAGATTATAAATTAAAATGTAACTTCCACACAGATAGTGAAAGTTAAACACATTCTAGAGCGAAGCCACATCAACTTTAAAATGTCGCTTGCAAGGACTAAGACTGCGGTCTTCATCCTGATGCTGCCTTGCGGTTATTGGTCATAGAAAAACAATTTTTAGAGATGGGCTCTGAGACAGAGCCACACTGTGAGCTGCTGCTACTCCACGGCAAACCGTGTTGCAGCCCGGCTGTGTTACCCCTGGGGTTAATCCACTTCTTCAAACCCCGATCATGTCTCCTTTCGAGATGTATGAAAACCAGCTCAGGGAACTAAAGGTCTACCTTTAATAGCTAGCCTACTCTGTGGAAAAATATATATAAAGAGCTTGTAAAATAAGCTTTACATAAGGTAAGAAGGGAAACATGCACGGTAACAAGAAAAACAGCTCACTGTGAATAGAGCGGCTAACGTGGAAGAAATTCTCATTGCTCCAGAGCTGCTATTTATTTCATTTATTTGAAAGCCATAACTGATGCTCCAACTCCATGTGAACAGATTAATACTGAAAAAAGTTCTAGTCACAGTTATGACGTGTACTTTCTCAAGCCTTCATTTACATATTGACACATCTGTTTGACTCACTAAAATATCTAAAAACATGTATATGGCCTTACTCCACAGGACTTAAAATTAATCCAAACCGGGAACATTTAAAAGTAGTATTGACAACATGGAAGATTAATTAACACTAAGCAAAGTGAACATAACGCCAATTAGAAGTCTCCATGTTTCTGCTTGAGTATGTATAAAATGTACATGCAGAAGGGGCCTTGGTCTTAACATGTTAGTGTAGTATCGCATAAAACATGCCAATGAAAACCCAAAAAATATGAACATGATTTAAGATTTGAGTATGATTTCAGGCATATTTCTACTAGCTCCCACTGAAAATGTTTCACTGTGTTTTGCAGAGTACTTTTTTAGGGAAAAATGCTTTTATTAAAGGCTTAGCCTGAACTGCTAAAAGCTTTAGTAAAATTTATTTGTTCATTATTTATGTAGTAATATCCTTGGAAAAAGACTCTCAAAGTAATATGGCAGAGCAAGTCTCACTGTCCCTTCTTTATTAGTCATGGAAAGAAGGCAGCAGGTGACACTGAAATACATCTCTTCTCTAATTAGCTGAACATTTAAATTTCAAATGGCGAAGTATTTGTTCTCAGGGAAAAACTGATCTGTAACCTTTGGCCAGTGGAACACTATATGTTTTTAATTAAATATTAGTGTTATACTGGATGTGCTAGGACAAGAAAGGTCAAGTCCGGTTACCTGGAATCATACATTTCCAAATTCATGATAGCACTGCTGGATAAAATCTGAGGATAGTACTCCTTTCTTCCCATACCCCAAATTTCAAGAAAACTGACAGAAGATGCTGCTTTAAAGGAACCCAGTGACAATACAGGGATGAAAGGAGGGTGGGGAGAGAAAGTCCTTTAGAAAAAAAAAAAGACTGTATCACTTCTAGAGTATAAACTATGTTGTAAATACTGAAGAAAAATTAGGGGGAAGTCCTTTATATGATCAGACTACGCTTAATGAATAAACTTAGTGCTAGAGACATTTTCCAGGTTCCAAATATACAAATATATTTTTCTTCCCTTCAAAATAAAGTTTATCTGCTAGAGCCAACTCAGCCCAACCCAGCCATAATTCAGTGCTGCTAAGACCTTCCCAGAGAGCTTCCTGAACGTTTCACCTTTGTTTCCTGTGGCTCCCAGCCCTCGCTGTACATTAAAATCACATGGGGAATATTTTTAAATCCTGCGGCTCAAACCTATTAAATCAGAATCTCTGAGAATGGGACCCAGCTGTGGGCAGTTTTTAAAGCTCCTCAGGTAATTCCGCTGTGCACCCCGGGCTGAGAAACACAACTTCAGGCAGACTCTACTAGCATAGTAAGTAAACAGACATTCTTATTTCTTAGAAAATTAGATGGAACTTGAGGGGAGTTCTCTTACTAATTCAAAATTAAGTTCTACCCCACATACAGACTTCCTTTTGGCCAAAGAGAATAGGACTGTGATTTCTACAGCCCCTACAAGGTGTTTCCAGTAGGAAAATGGGTGACTGCACTACACCAGTGCACGTAGCAGCACAGGAATGAATCATCTGGAGGCTTGTTAGAACGCAGGCTGCTGGACCCCACCTCCAGAGTCTCTGATTGGATCAGTGGGGTTGGGGTGGGCTAGAGAGCTTGTATTGCAAAGGGGGTCCCTGGTGGTGCCGATGCTTCAGGGAGCACTCTTGCAGAACCACTGCTCTAAAGGAAACTTACAGGAAAGGCTGAGGAGTCATCTGTGGGCTCTGGTGCAGCTGAACCAACTAAGTTGGTTCAACAATCCACCGGAGGCAGCAGAGTTCCTTGGAAATTATTAACAGAGTGAATGTGGCCTACCCACAGAGTACCCACTCATGAGTTCCTCAACCAACAGCTAAAAGCAGGATAAAGATGAATGACTATGTGATTCTTTCAAAGAAAATATTCAGTTCTCTTTAAGAAGAGCTCCGAGCTCTCTCCATATTTCATTTTGTCCAGCCCCTTGAAAGCTTGGAAATTGTGCCAGCCTTACAAGAGGTTCCAATTAGGGCTCATTTTTTCACATACAGCAGTGCACATGCCAAAAAAAAAACAAATCAAATATAATTAACAAAATTGTTCCAGCTGAAAGTGTAGTTAGCCAAATGCATCAGCAGTTCATTTATAGATCCAAAAAGGCAGCTTGCTTGCCCTCTGACCATTCACACCATAATATTTATCCCTAATTGGAACACCACCGTTGAAAGAAAAACAAGTCTGTCTCTGATTTCTGATGCCATGCCTTTCTGAAGCTTCCGAGAGAACCGTCAGTCACTCACCATAAGACAGAAATTCCTGATTTTATTCAGCTCTCTCTGTAAATTATCCAGGGCACACACCCACACAAGCTGACATACTTACTCACCTCAACCAGCAAACACCATCTGAGGCAACCAGTCCTTCTGCAGGTCCTGCTGAATACCTAACACACTCTCACAATCCTATATTTCTGCAAAATACTGATTTTAAAGGCTTAACTTGCTTTTAAATAAAAGGGGGAAGAAACAAACTTGTTCACCTTCCCTTAAATGTTAAAGAAGGGGAAAAAGTTAGATTATACCTCAGAGCTGGAAAAAATCCATCAGAACTAAATATCCAGTGTCACTTTTTAAAAGAAGAGGGAGGGAGCTTCAGTTCATGATGTAATTTGTCTTATGTCCAAACAAATTTCGTTAGTTTAAGTAACGGATACAAACATTCTAAGGCTGGTTGCCATCTCAGAAGAACTCTACAAGGATTTTAGAGTCTCAAAACAAAAATTAAAAAAGCTGGTTGATCCTTTACAAGATCCTGTAAAATTTATTTTGGACTATGACTGAAGTACTAAAAATCAAGGGACCTTAATTCTAGTTTTTGGTCTACTGTTGTCATACAGCAAGGTCAAGAGGATGTCATATAATAGTTTTCTGATCTTGGAAAGGTGTGTGAATACATCTGAAAAAGGACAGTGTATGTTCTTTTGTTCCACCTGGGCAAATGACTTACCTTTAGGCCCCCTCAAACCAAGAGCACCAGGGGGGCCTTTAATGCCTGGGAGGCCACGAAGTCCCATCTGGCCTGGGAAACCATTCTCTCCAGGAGGTCCTGGGGGACCAGGGGGTCCAGGCCTCCCAGGGAGGCCAGAGGCTCCTGAGTCCGGTCGCTTGAGACTAGCAGCCATCTCAGCAAGATGCTCTAAAAGATAATAAACAAAACAGCCCATAGAAGTCAGAAGCATGAAAGTGACTCAAATGATAAAAGGGGTATTTCAAGTGTCTTTTTTTCTAAATGTGTCCCCAGAGCTTCAAAATTGGTGGCGAGAAGTGAATAAAGTTGGATCATTTTTGCATGGACTTTCTGCCAAGAGGCTTCACTGGTGCTGTTTTATTCAGCTCTCCCTGGATATATTTGGTCTTGCTGTTTTGAGACAGGGGAGGAGGGGGGTGAGAAAAAAAAAAAAACAAAAACACAGCAAGTCTTTCTGATGGGTATTGTGCTAAAAGGAAGAGTATGTCACCTGAGTCCTGGCTGGTTATCTGAAAAGCCAGGACGGGAAGAAAATGAGTTTCTTAACATAGGTAGAAGTGGATATCCAGAAGCTTTTGAAAAGGCAAGGACATTGTCCAGAATTAGCATTGAGACAGTAGTTGAGACCTAGCCCCACAGTTTTAGTTTGAAGATACTGAGTAAGCTAAAATATCCTGAGCATTCACAACTTCTTTTAGATTCCCCTCTCAAAAGTTTTTTCATGCTTGGAATAGACAACAGACACTAAAAATAGCTTGCTTCCTGGGAATGTTCATAGTCTGTCTTAAAAATTAATAACTGTGGGCTTTTTCAGGAACCATTAAATAGATTAAGAATCATCCACTAAAATGATGAAGAATAAGAAATCTTTCCAATGAAAATACTCTATGGGAAATATGCCAGTATAATGTTTTCTTTAAGGTGTGAAGGAGATTATGATTTGGAAACAAATTCCTAACCAACAATTTAAAATTGTTTAAATGTGAACATTCTAGTTTGCCTTATGTAAAACTTAACATAAAATTATAATTTTCTTGAGATATAACATATAAAATTGAAATATTCTTTTAAGATTAAGTGTCTGCAATGAAGAGACTTATATTGGTTTTCAAATATAGAGTGACAATTTCATTCTGGGAAAGCTCTACAAGTCTACCAGACAAATTAGGCTATCTCATGAGCATACAAAAGAAGAGTATCGCGACAGAATTGGTTCCAACCAGAATAAGTTAATTATTTGTTAGAAGGCCTCCATGTTATAGGATCTCCCAAGTTTCTTTGTCCCCAGTTTCCTTTGCTATGTGACTTTAGAACTAGACCATTTCTGAAAGAGCTATGACAGACAACTGCTGTAGCCGTAGATGAATTTAGACAAAGGTTAGCAAAGTAAAAATATATCACCATTTTAGTAAAATACTAGTTATTAATTTTCTACCTATGTTATACATGAGTAGAGATAATGTCCTTATGCTTCTTATGGGCATGAAGACTGTCAATTATTTCACATATAAGCTACACAAAGAGCCAAGGTCAGTGCCTTATACACTAAGTAGTAGGATGTTAAGGAGGGGGAAGGATACCTGAGAATTTGTGTTCCAAAGGGGGAAAAAAAAGTGTGTGTGTGTGTGTGTGTGTGTGTAACCTTTTTTTTTTTTTCAGGCTATAAGGTTTTGTGTGGCAACAAACTGGATAAAACAATATTAACATTATTCAAGATCTCCCACCTTTAAAGCAAACAAAAGTCAAGACATTATGATTTATTTACCTTGCATGACTCTCATGCAAACCTGCTTTATGTGCTGATCTGTTGGTGCTCTACCCTGGGACAGAAAAAAAAGACGGTTTGTAAACAGAACCATAAAGAAGACATTGTTAAATGGTAACCTGACAGACTCGGCAAGTGACCAGGTGGCAGGATTTACAAGAGAACCCACCCACACTGCTGAGGAGCTCAAGTCTGGGCCAGCCTGGCTCCCCACCCCCCTTCTGGTGCTGTGAGACTAAGTCTCCAACGGGAAACCCTGGGGACTGTCCGCCACTCACTGGAGGGCCCTGGATGCCAGGCAGGCCGGTGGCACCCTGCTCTCCCTGCACGCCTCGCGGTCCAGGTGGTCCTCGCGGTCCTTCCACTCCGGGAAGCCCCCGACTGCCTTCAGGCCCCCTCAAGCCAGGGTCCCCAGGGTTACCCACCTAGAACACAATGGCACGTTAAAAAACCAGGGCTATCCACAAGTAATGTTCTGCTTCGTGTTAATACAAGACTTACATGAAATTTGGGGTTTGCTTACATTTTATCTCCCAAGAGGTATTTGCTCAGAGGTTACAAATATGCTGCTCTGAGAATTCCAGTCTCTAAGAATTCCAGTCAAGTAAAGCTTTTCAAAATCTTTCTTTTTGGTAGAGTTACTATTTCAAAATACTCATTGAAATAATATATTTAAAACCACATTTTTTTATACTTTAAGCCACTTCCTAAGAACAAGTTAGTTTTTAACAAGACTTATTCAATTTTTGGTCACAAAAAGGCCACTGACTTCCTACAAGACAGGTTACTTTGTATGTCAGCAATACAGAAAGCATAAAATAAACATATTTCCAAGAACGTAAATTATTTAGCTTTATAACATTCTGGAGAATTTAAAGAAGCCAAATGTATCCAGGAATTCTAAAATACTAACATTAACTAAATACATTTAAAATGCTGCACCTAACACGATACATTTAAAATGCTGGAACAAAAAAAAAATGAGTCCATAATTTATTGAAGTATTGAGGAAGCTAAAAATCTAAATACTAAAGAAGTTGAAAAATAAACTATTTCCTTAGCACAAAAGCATATAACAGTTTTTTTTTTCTGAAAGCAGACCACTAAAAGCATTTTTTAAAGTTCCCATCTACAAGAACTGCTTTAAAAGAGACTAAATTAATTCACTTTCTGTTAAGTTCCCTGTGGTAGAGTTTATGGCATAGTAGTTAGTTACAATGTGCCATTGTTTACAGAATAAGAATGAGAAGATAAAAGGACAGGAGGCATTAAGGAATGCTAGTGCTCACTATAAAGTTCATAAAGCAACTTAACCCTGCTTCCTCTTCATATGCAACATTCACCTAGAAAGAGCCAACTTTTTTAAACCTTCAAACGTTGTAAGGAAGGGAGAAGGTGGTGAGGCAGGGCTTTCACTAGACACATCTGAATATAGCTCAGCAAGTGTGCCTTTTCCAATCTTTCTTTATGAAAAAATGATACTCATCTAAGTCAACCTGTCAGAATTGCTTCTATGATGAAATTATGGCTTAAAGACTTCCTGAAAGGCAGTGTCAGCAGAGAGAACTAAGGATGTGCTGTGGAGGGTTGGGAATTGTCAAATGACTACAGTGCAAAATTTTAACAGCTTCTAAAACTGCCCAGAGGAGAAGCCAAAGTGAGTCTGGAAGTGCACTAAAGAACTGGCAGGAAACAAAGGAAACCAACTCAGAGTCCATCATCTTGTTGACTATGTCCGAAATACTTCTGGAACAAGAGACAGGACATTTTGATGAAGAGATCAAGGGCCAACATGGCTAAGGCATCACAAGGGTCCTGGGTCTTTGGAAAGAATCCTTCAATTGAATAGTGGTATGCCAAAGTAGAAACTGGTGTACAGACTTCACCTACTTATCAGGTTGTCTATGCTGACATCACTGAGGAAGGTGAAGTGTGTCTGCTCATAATTATTTCCCTATTCTGGGACAACACACTTCAGCTGCATCAGTATTACATGGGTGGTGTCAGACAAGAGGGGTAGGAAGGGAGGTGATAAATCAAGAGTTAACTCCCAAATTTAAATGAGACTCATTTTGATCACTGCATTGTTCACTCACTTTTTCCTTTTATAACCAGAATTCTTACCATTGAACATTACTGATTATTTCTAAAGAGGGAAGTAGGATTTCTGTTTTTTTTTTTATTAACTTGTTTTATTTTTTATTTTTTAAAATTTACATCCAAATTAGTTAGCATATAGTGAAACAATGATTTCAGGAGTAGATACCTTAGTGCCCCTTACCCATTTAGCCCATCCCCCCTCCCACAACCCCTCCAGTAACCCTCCGTTTGTTCTTCATATTTATGAGTCTCTTCTGTTTTGTCCCCCTCCATGTTTTTATGTTATTTTTGTTTCCCTTCCCTTATGTTCATCTGTTTTGTCTCTTAAAGTCCTCATATGAGTGAAGTCATATGATTTTTGTCTTTCTCTGACTAATTTCACTTAGCATAATACCCTCCAGTTCCATCCACGTAGTTGCAAATGGCAAGATTTCATTCTTTTTGATTGCACAGTAATACTCCATTATATATAAAAGCTTTTACCACATCTTCTTTATCCATTCATCCATCAATGGACATTTGGGCTGTTTCCATACTTTGGCTATTGTTGATGGTGCTGCTATAAACATGGGGGTGCATGTGTCCCTTCGAAACAGCACACCTGTATCCCGTGGATAAATGCCTAGTAGTGCAATTGCTGGGTCGTAGGGTAGTTCTATTTTTAGTTTTTTGAGAAACCTCCATACTGTTTTCCAGAGTGGCTGCACCAGCTTGCATTCCCATGAAGTAGGATTTCTATTACGAAGTCCTACCAAGGTTTACTCTATGTTTTTGTCAATCGTAAGATATTTCTGTCAAAGATTCTTAGGCATAAAGATGTTACTTGAAGCTTGAGACTATCAATGGTGTTTAGAGGAAGTATGTAAACAGGTGACCTAATACTTTTTAATTCACGTGTATGTAAAGAGCCCAGAGCTGGCACTGTAACCAAGTCTGAGAGGGAGGGTCCTCTGGGGGAAAGTCTGGCTCAGGATGGGGCTAACTGCTTAGGCAGGAAGTAGGTGTTCTAAGGAAAGAGGAAGAGTGTTTCAGGCTAGGAGAACAGCACAAGGCATTACACAGCCTGCCAAGCAAAAAGCACTGCAAACAGATGAACTTCCAGAGAGGTAAAGGTGAGGTTGGCAAGGCAGAGTCCACTTCATCCAAGACTTGTATATTTTGCTCAATGTCTGATTTTATTCTACCAAATGTTATTCCTGAAGGGTTTATGCAGAGGAGGGATTAATAGTGGGCTTTATATTTTTATCTAGATGACACTGGCTGCTATGAGGATAATGTGTTGTACGGGACAGAGAACAGTGGAGATTCCAGAAACAGGAGGGACAAAAAGATAAACCAGAAGCTGGTGGTGGCGGCATTTGAGGTTAGAGTCTGAGCTTCATCTTTTCTCCTTATACTCTTTTAAATTTCTTTGTATTAGATGTGCATTCCTTTCAAACTAGCAAATCACCCCAGGTTTGCTGGTTTCTGTAACTGGTTCTACTAGTCTTGTTGTAATAATTGGTTCTATTATTGGTTCTATAATTCTGAATACATATAATATCTAAGGACATCAGTTTAGTTTCTGTAAAATGATGAATGAGATGATCATTTTCTAGCTTTAATAATTGTTATATTTTCTTATGCATTATGACTTTGTTACTTCCCCAACTAGAACACACAGGAGATTGATAAAATTACTGAAATATTTGCAATCGTAAGACTGCCAATGAAATTTATTTATACTCTTGTCACCCCAAAGGACAAGTCAGTCCTTTTAAAATGACCCATTTGGGGCGCCTGGGTGGCTCAGTCGGTTGAACGTCCAACTTCGGCTCAGGTCATGATCTCGTGGTTCACGGGTTGGAGACCCACATCGGGCTCTGTGCTGACAGCTCAGAGCCTGGAGCCTGCTTCAGATTCTGTGTCTCCCTGTCTCTCTGCCCCTCCACTGCTCATGCTCTGTCTCTCCTCTCTCTCTCTTTCAAAAGTAAATAAACATGAAAAAAATGACCCATTTGTGAAAGAAATTACCATGTATTCTCATTGAGCCACTTATGAAAAAAAGTTCCTTCAGAGTAGTGAGTTCAAAAGGTAGATCCATTTACATTGTTGTGAGGTATTTTTTTTTCCTTTGGATGAATCCATTACTCAAAGAATAAATTTAGACATTAATTTCCTTGAAGGTAAGTCCTTTAAGAATTGAATTTTATAGAGTGATTTCATAAAGCAGAGTATTGCATTTTCTGTAGTTTTATTGATATTTTTATTTTTTATACCATTATTGTTCATTGTACTTACAGATCCCTTTGGCCCAGGTAATCCTATATCTCCCTAAATCAATAAAAAAAATTGTATTAGAACAATGCATTCACATTTGATAGTCTACTAAAAACATTTCAAAGGTTATTGTGCTGCTGAAATCTACAGAAAACTATGAACAGATGGACCCTGGCACTGCAGAAAAACATTAGATTCAAAATTTGGATTCTAGTACCAGTTCCACTACTTAACTTTGTGACCCTCTGTGAGCTTTATAACCTCCTAGCCTTTGGCTAACCTGTTAAATAACAGGGTTGAATCAGAGCTTTACAAGGCTCCAACTAGATCTAAAATGCTAGGTGTGAGAATTAAAACGTGTAAGTCAAAAGATATCAAACTAGCATGCTATTTCAAAACACAGTAGACATTTAAACCTGATGACTTCATTTTTGAAATTCTAACAGTGTTTTAAAACTTATCCCCAAAAGTCTATCAAACCAAATATGAATGGTTTTATGCTTAAAAAATAAAATTTGGAAATCTCCCACCCCTAATTCTAGATGTGAATTCAGCTCAAGTTTTAGCGCATCAGTTCATCTCCACTACAAAACAGAATGACTTAAAACATCCTCTTAGCCCATAAAATGAAAAATTTTAACAGAAAATAAAATTAAAATAATCCTTTTTCAAATTTACTTAATAGAGAGCTTTGCCTAATTTAGAAGCTACATTTATATTAGTTCTAAATCCTGATAATCTGAATAAAACATTACTAGAATTTTTTCCTGCACTAAGTGCTCTCTGGAACTATTTTATGAGAAATCTGTTACCACTCCAAAGGACCAAACATAAGTTTTCACATTAGGTCATGTTAGATTGTGTCAAAACCATAGAGATGAGCCAGCAGATCTAGCAGTTCTTGCAATAAAGATAATTTTTTCTCATTCTTACTGCCTTTCTGGAGATTTAGCAGCAGCATCCTCTGGAGATGGAGGTCACTTCTTTGGAAGGTTTTAGACTACAGAGAATACCTACAGTCACACTTGTGAGCCACGGCTTTGTAACCCTAATAAAATTAATTTTGTTTCCATGATAGGCACTATTCACAGAATTTCTATAGTCCTATAAGAATCACTTGGAATGTCTAGGTGTAAAGCCACAAGAAAATTCACCACCTATAAGAGAATACTTTATTCTCCAAAGGCTTAAGGCCAGGTCTATCAGTTTTGGGGTGTTTCCCCTGTGCTTTACTTGATCTTGGCTGCAGTCTTGGGAAGTCATTAGTTTATGTAAGAAACATTGTAGCCACTATAGAAGTCAGCAAGTGACAGTAGCAAAGAAAAAATATGTTTCTAATACAATTAGAAATCAGTACAGCTCATCATTAACCAGAACAAAATGTCTTACAAGTTCACCCCTTTCTCCTGCTTCTCCTTCTTCACCAGAGGAACCCTAAAAATTAAGATTAAAAGTCACATTTTTGAATTCTCAGTCCCTTGCCTCAGTTTTAACCAGTCAACATGGATAAGCATTCCGAAGTGCCCACAGTGCCCCCTGGATCATGCAGAAATACAAAATGCTCCCAATGGCTTCTCAATCTGTCAGTGGCTAGTCTAAATCAGAAGAGAGCCTAGAGAAAAGATAGAAGGCGAGGTTGAGTTTCTTCTAAACTTAAGGATTAATGATTGTATCCAGCAATTTTAAAATTAGGTATTCCTTGGGGCACCTGGGTGGCTCAGTCGGTAAGTGTCTGACTCTTGGTTTCAGCTCAGGTCTTGTCTTGATCTCATGATTTCATGAGTTCAAGCCCCACATCAGGCTCTGTGCTGACAACATGGAGCCTGCCTGGGATTCTCTCTCCCTAGCTCTCTACCCCTCCCCCACACACTGTCTCTATCTCTCTCAATATAAATAAACTTTAAAAAATAAATTAGTAAATAAAATTAGGTATTCCTTGAAAAAAAGGCTTTCACTGTAGAAAAAGGAACCCACAAAAAGGATTAATTATAATTCATGTTCATAATTTATTTGTTAAAGTCTTGATACAGAAGAACTCAAAATATGATGATGTGGCTATAGAAGGCTCTATCAGTTACAAGTAAACCAATCCTGTGAATCAGAGCCAGGACACTCTTTTCATAGGAAGGACAATGTGTGGTCTTGGAGGCAGAACCATCATCAGCTCCAGCTTATTGAAGTAGTAGATAAGGTTACAGACAAAACTAAATTCTAGCTTTCACACACTATGAATGAAGCACATTGAGCAAAACTGCTAGCCTCCATCTTTTTATTCACACCATAAACCAGCCAGTGCCCCCTGCTGGTGAGGTACATTAATATGCATTACTCACTGCATCTCATATTCTTCTGATTGGACCCACCTGTTCACCCTTTGGACCAGGTTCACCAACTGCTCCCTGTATTGAATAAAATATAATACTTTTTCAGTATTTGGAGATAATTCAACTACATAATTTCAAATGAACCAACTTCCCATATCAGGCTAGCAGACAAGGACACATATGAATGATGTGACAGACGAGGTCTTGCTCCTCTCCTCACAACCTAACAACTGTCAGGTGAGACCTGGAGAAACTGACAGTTGTCCAAAAGCTGAAAACTTGGGGTGTTCTCTGTTCATGCCCACATAAACCTGACTGGTAGGAATGTAAATTTAAAACTAAACAGAAGTATGATTACAACTGAAATTTTTACTTTTCTCAACTTTCATTTTTTCCTTCTGAGAAATTATTATCTTAGACTTCTTTTGCTTCTTGATCCCAACTCTCAATAATTTAGGATGCCTTTCTTGATCACTGTCTATGATCATTGCTATAAAAATCTCCACTGCACCAAACACACAGCTTGGTTTCTCATAGTAAAAATCAAAACATAAGGAACTTTTTGGAGGGCTGGCTTACCCTGTCACCTTTCATTCCAGGAAGTCCAGGGGGGCCAGGCAAGCCAGGGAGGCCAGGACTACCCAGAGAACCCTGAAAAACAAACACAGAATCTCCCAAATCAGTGTTACTGCAACACCGCAAGCATGCAAGGCAGACACAACCTCGGGTGTGTTGACTCCTGTCTAAAATAAATGTGCTGTGGTTGGTATAGCTCTGCTCCTCAAATCTGCCTCTCTCCCACAGTCTAAGGAAGAAATAGGCGAGTCCCTCCACCCGCTCTGTCCCACCTCTGAGGTCCTCAGTTCCCGGGTTTGCGCCCCCCCCCCCCAACAGTGGGCTCTTTCAGTGGAGCCCGTGCAATGGTAGTGCTTCTCTGGCTGTGTAAACAAGCCTACTCAGAGAAGTCAAAGGCAGCATTCACATACTTCTCTTCAATTTCAAGAACAACCAGAGGCCAAATGTAGCACTTCGTGTCTCTCCTCGTTTCAAAATGTATGCTACAATCCACACTGATTCAAACACCCTCTGGGGGTATCCTAGATATAATGTGAAATTCCGCATTTACATTTTCACACATTCACAGCACAGTAGAAATCAAGCAAGGATGATTAAATCACTCTTCGCACATTGTTTTTCTCTCCTTGCTTATTTTTATAAGTTGACCATGTTTTGTATGAAGCGTATAAACTGCTGGAGACTGGAAATACTACTCACCAGTTTACCTGGTGGTCCTGGGGGTCCCACTGGTCCTATTTCACCTCTGCTGCCCTGGAAAAACACAAACATGACTGTCAACTGGACAGTTTGCCAGAATTCAAATGCTTAATTACTATGTCAATAAAATAACATTCTGCTTAGGTTTTTGTTTAAATATAAAAGTCATCAAAGTATTCTCCCCAAGGTCAACATTGTTACATAAAATGCCCACAGCCTCCCCACTATTCATCCTTCAGTGAATGTGTTAACTGTTCATTGTGATTACAAACCATTAGATAAAAATGATGTCTGATACATCCATGTGAAATGACAATTAGTAATTTTCTGCATCTAAGTCACACTATAACTTATATTATGGCTATTTGTGTATATGTTTTATCCTCTCATTTAGATTATGTGCCCTTGAGGTATAGGTATATTAATTTTGAATTCCGCAGAATGCCTAAACACAGAGTAAATTTCAGGTCTACGGTACATTGTAATGCAGCGTCTGGTAAAAGATCTTGAACCGCAAAAGAGTGAAAAAAGAGAAACGGGACAGGGATGTTTATCTTTAAGTTACTAATGCAACTTCAAAAAGAGATAATAGAAATTTACAAAGTTTCTGACATACAAAATTCTTTGTTCTACACATTCTTGTTCTAAACATATCTTAAAAGATTAAATAAACTTTGGAAAGTACAATTTATAATGAAAATGCACCAAAACCAACATTTCATTTTCTGAGCCAACTTCAATTTTTTATTTGAAACTCTAAGCCTTTTGAGAAAAGGAGACATGAATTCTTCAATTTCTTTCCCCAAGAACCTCATACAGTTTTATGCAGTCTGATAAACGTTTATTTTGAACACATATTCAACTAAACTGAACACAAGGCTATTGGGTAAATAATCACATTTCCTGGGCAGTATAAATAAAAATGAAAGTAGTCTTTTGACTTCATTTTACTTTAAAATGACACAAAAACTTCATATTAATTTTTGATATTTATATATTTTTTAATGTTTATTTATTTTTGAGAGAGAGAAAGTGCAAGCAGGGGAGGGGCAGGGGGGGTGCAGAGGATGACAGTAGAAAGCCACATTCAGGGCTCAAACTCACCAACCGGGAGATCATGACCTGAGCCAAAGTTGGATGCTTAACCAACTGAGCCACCCAGATGCCCCTTTGATATATATAAATGCTTCTGCTAAGATGATCCGGATCTGGCCCTGCCTACAATGTTTTATCATTTGAACTTAGAGTAATCTATCATCATTCTGAATTTCCAGTTTTTTTTTAAAGGATTAAGAAATGTTTGCTAAATTACAGGTCTCTAGCTTGGAGCTCGATGATGTGTGTGGCAGTGAACAAATGAATTACAGGTGATTTAAATGAAAAGCTCTTAAATACTTTATAAAAAATGTTTAAGCAGCTTGTCTAGTATAAGATTTGTATATTTTACATTAGCCACTTAACCTTATAAGCTTGGTAAGAGGCGCGGGGCAGATGTCGTGCGGGATGAACTGGAAGATGTGAGCCGTGGCCGGCGGCAGAGCCTGGGTGGCGCCAGTGGTTGGTAGCGTCAAACTTCAGCCAGTCCCGCGATCTCCAGCGATCCGTGATTCCGACAGCGTCCAGGCTCTGGAGGCTGATGGCTGCCGAGCCTGGAGCCTGTTCGATTCTGTGTCTCCGTCTCTCTCTGCCTCCCCGTTCATGCTCTGCTCTCTCTGTCCCAAAAATAAAAGCGTGGAAAAAAAGAATTAACCGCCAGCCACTGGTGATTCTGCAATAAAATGCATGTATGGAAGTATGAATATATGAAATATAAATATAAATATAAATATAAATATAAATATAAATATAAATATAAATATAAAAGACTGGATTCCATCCTGTTAATTTAGCCCAGCACTTGAAAGTTCAAGACAGATTTTCTTCAGTATGTCTGTTCTGCTGGCATTTTCAATAATTTCTGAACTGCATCATGATTAAGATCCTAAATGCCATTGGGCTAACATGACTTTAATTCACAGAATAATTAATAATCATCAGTGGGAAAACTAATTAATGATATCAGAAGAGGAAAGCAGTTCTTGACACAAACTCAAGTATTCATTTCTAAATAAGTGAACCATTATGCCAAAATAAAGATGATTGATGTACTTTTTTTCTCTTTCACAAACCAAAGGGCTAAGTTAAAATAGAGGATTGTATAACTTTTCATTTCTTTCTTGTAGGGATTATTTTTCCAGTCAAAGACAAAGATTTTTCTCTGCTGGTATCTTATTTTTTCTGTCTTTCAGGAGCTCTTATTAGTCAATTCGTAAGTGTTTTCCAGCTGCTGGCAGGACCTTGGCAACACATATGAATGGCTCAGAACCCCAGTGTAGACAGTCTGTTCTGCTGAACTTCTACACCCACGAGCCCAGCACACCCAGAGGACTAGAGTAGGACTAGAGGATCAGTAAAATTACAAGCATTTTTCAGCATGTGTTACTCATTTTTATTTCTCTTCCACCCTTTAAATTCTTGGCCATATTATTTTATTTTTTTCAGAGATTAATTTTATTTATTTTATTTTGAGAGAAAGAGAGCATGAACACTTAACTGAGCCACACAGGTTGTTGGCCATTTGAAACATAGGTATTTCTATAGAAATCATCTCAAGTTTGACAAAGGTGATGTTTATTTTCACAACAATGACCAAGCAGTTACAAATAGAGTGTTAGGACAAGATTTTCTGATGGCCATTCTTAGGATTTCTATGTATTCTAAAAACATTTTCTAAGTTCTAGAATTTCACCTGTGAGTAAGATGAACATGAGTATTCAAGATATAAATAGTAATCTTTAAAAACATAGATTAAACACATGTTGTAGGGAGCAATTAACCATGACCTTGGAACCACAGGTGTGCTAAATACATGTAAACCTCCTGTTTTTCAAAAGCTGTGGTGATTACTATATTCTCAGATAAGGTCAAGGGAGACTGGTAGGAATATGGCTTTTCTGCTCAGTGGCTAATATTTACAAACCCTGTGACAACAAGAGTTCTGATTTGTAACAAAAAAAAATTGTAAGGGACCAGAAAAAAAGGCAGAACCCTACCATTAAAAAAAAATGAGGAACATTAAAAGGCTTTATTTTTCTCTTGGATGCTCAGTGCCACCATATATATCTCCAATATGTTCAGACACATCTGCCAACTCCTCCCTATTTAAGAAGCCAATCAATGCTTTAAAAAAGATGCAGACCCTCTACCAGTGATTCCCAACTATAGCTGTGCATTAGAATCCCCCAAAGAGTGTTTTAGAAATATAGTTCCCTTGGGGTGCCTGGGTGGCTTAGTCGGTCGAGTGTCTGACTCTTGATTTCGGCTCAGTTCATGATCTAACAATTCATGGGATTGAGCCCTGCATCAGGCTCTGCACTGATAGCATAGAGCCTGCTTGGGATTCTCTCTCTCCCTCTCTCTGTCTCTCTCTCTCTCTCTCTCTCTCTCCATCTCTCTCTGCCCCTCCCCCATGCTCACATACACGCTCTCTCTCTTTCTCTCTTAAACTAAATAAACACTAAAAGAACTATATTTCACCAGACATCTTCCACCACTCCATCTCCCTGCTCCTCCTTCTGCTTCCCTCCTCCTTGCTCCCATATATTCTTATTTTGTAGTTCTGAGGTAAGACCCAGGAATCTGTGTGGATTCATGTCATATTTGTCTTCACCAGCTTTACGTAAACTTTTGTTAAATGCTCATTATGAAAATTCCATAAACACCAAAATTTTAAATTTGCTAAATATGCCTTGGACCATTAGAATCTGGCAAGCTAACTTCAAATGAAAACCATCCTGCAGAGCCTTGACTAGAGCTGGCAAGGTACTGGAGATGAGGCCACAGGCACTGAGCCCCACTGCCAGTCCTGGCCCTGCTGTGCATTGGCCAACTCCAGGCCCGTAACTTCACCTCTCTGTGCCTCAGTTTCCTTACCTATGAAGTGGGGATAAAAGCGGTACCTATCTCATAGGGTTTTTGAGAGGATTGAATAGATACATAAAGCACTTAGAACAGTGTCTGGCTCATAGAAAGCACTGTAAACATTGGTTACTGTTTTTATCCAAGATTTTACCCAAGGCCTAAAGAAATCAGTCAAAATTATGTTTTTTAATCAAACGTTTAATTAAATTGTTCTTTGCGTTTCAAATCTCCCATTTCTTTGAGTGTAAAAATTGCTCTTGGAAAAAAAAAAAAAAGTCTGCAATCTTCGTTTCTCTAGTTTCTATCAAGACCATTAACCACCGAGAAGGTACCTTCTTTATAAATAAATACTGAGAGCTGTTTTGTAAAACTAATTTCAATAAATACAGACAAATTATTCCACTTGGAACTCTCCCTTTTAAAATAGAGCTACGAGACTTTTAAAATATCATGGAAAAATCTATTTCATTATACTGATGTTATCATACTTATTTTGCAAAAAAAAAAATTTTGGATTTTATTCCATTGTCCTCTAGATTGTGATGGTGGTTGCATTTGCCTGATTACCGAAAATGCTAACTAGATGAAGAATGAACATTATTCTTAGTACTATGCTAATTTTGGAAGTGAGAAATTATAAATCATTATACTTAGTCTGGAGTATATACTTAAGTGCCTCTCTCTGGGAAAAAGGATGCTGATTAACCCAGAAGATCAATTATGATTTCTACAGATTGTTGCTTTTACAAAACCATTTTCATATTAATATTAGAAGATGATATTAGTCCTAGTGCAATGGTAATTTTTAGGTTTGCCACAAAGATATTTTAAAAATCTATTCAACTTTACAGCATTGTATAGTTTTATTTCTCTCTGGTGTAGGTTTAAATACTCTTGCACACATGGAGGCAGATTAAAATCTATAACCACCACAGCTGCTTCACAAATTATTGACAGGGATAATATTCCATGGCCTGGGTGGCACAGGAAGGCAGTTTCGACCATTCGACAACGTACCATATGGGGACCTCTGTGCCCAGAGCTGTTGACGATAGGTGGGGGTAGAACTTCAAGAGAAATGAGAGAGGCTTCTGTACTCCAGGAGTGTATAATCTTCAGAAAACTGGAAGCAGATCAGCATGGCGCTCGCTCATCCCAGTCAGAATCATGAGAGCAGAGCAAACACAACTCTCTCAACAAAAGCCCTGGCAAGTTCTGGGAATCCTGAAAGATGGAAATGGACCAGGAGCCACTGGATCCGAGGCCCCAGCCATAAGCCTGCTGTAAACCAGGAGTCACCCAGATCCAAGTGAAAAGCAGTAGAGTGTGACTGAGAAAGCCAGAAGCACGATCCAAGTGGTAAAGATATGTGCTCATATGTCATCACTGGCGGTGACAAAAAAACCTCCCATATATCTTGCTGTGGCATTGGCTAAAGCTGTTAGAACAATGGTCTGGAAAGGGGAACACCACTTAATTTCAAAGACATGCTCCAATTAGCCTGGTCCATTAGTAGGACACATTAGAAATAGGTTTTCATTCCTTCTACTCAGCTTTTCAATTTGACATTTTCAGGAAAAACTGCTAAAACTTGTGAGGAATAGTTGAAAATGTGTGAACCTTTATCTATGAAACTAAATTTAATGATGTAAAATGAAAGAATAAATGTATCCTTCACTAAGTAGATTTGATGTTAAAACTCTGCTCCAGAACTCTAATACTTAGAACCTCTTGTGACACTTTTCTATAAAATTTATAGTAGGTGAGAAGTCAGTTATTACCAACATAAGCAGCATAGCAAGATTTATTATACCTCCAATTCAGTTCATTTTAAGAAATATTTATTAAGCACCACCTTGCGACAGGCCCTGAGTAAAGAGATGTAGGGACCACAAAGGCGGATCACAGGTGTCCCTGCATCCCCGCTGTTTCCACAGCAAGGGGCAAAAAGGGAGGCACACCATAAGAGACTCTTAAATGCAGAGAACAAACTGAGGGTTGCTGGAAGGCAGGTGGGTGGGGGAGGGCAAAATAGGTGATGGGTATTAGGGAGGACACTTGTTGGGATGAGCACTGGGTTCATATGTAAGTGATGAATCACTAAATTCTATTCCTGAAACCATTATTACACTATATGTTAACTAACTTGGATTTAAATAAAATCTAAAACAATAAATAAAATTAATTAATTTAAAAAAGTTTTCAGGGGCCCAGGGTTGTAGGGTTCAGAATAAGGAGAGAGCACTTCTATCTGGAGGATGGGACATAATCAGAGATGGTTTCATTGTACAATTAACATTTTAATCACATCTAAGAAGACACATGGGACATTGAGAAGAAAGCCATCTAAGTGCAGAGCATAAGAAAAGAAGGGCAGGCTGAGAAGTACAGAGACTATTTGGAAATTAGCATGGAGTCCAGCTTGACTTGAACACAGGCTGGCTCTGAGTAAGGCAGAAGTGGAACATAAAACTAGAGGGTAAACCAACAGTTTAAGATTTGGTACTTTCTTTAATTGCCAGTGGAGATCCATGGAAGATTTGTAAATAAAGAAGAGAAGTGATGACAGAAGGCATACTTCAAAAAGACCAGGATGGCAGTCTGCACAGCTGGGGTCACAGCCAGTCCCCAGGCCTCTGAAATGGTGTCTGATACTTTTGTGTGTCACCATGGCCATGGGAACACTACTGGAGTTCTAGGGTAAGGTCCTGGAGAACACAGAATTATCCCAACCAAGATGCCAGGAGTACCTTGTTGGGAAACACTGGTAGAGGAAGGATAGACAAGCTGGGGAGGCAAATCAGGAGACAACGGATAATCCAAGCAGCAGCTAATGATCTGAGCCAGGACAGTGGAAGTCGGCTTAGAAAAGAAGAGTCAAATGTAAGAGACCTTCAAAAGGAGGTGGTAGAATCAGCGGGTCCTACTAGAGATAGGAATCATGACCGAAGAAAAACACCAAAGCTTTGAGCTTCAATGAGAACCTAGACATTTACAGAAACGCAAAAATCAAAACCTGAATCAGGTTGAAACATAGGCAGAACAGATATAGGCATAACAGATCTGCCTGCCCTCACATAAAAGAAGTAAACACTCCCACCCCATTTCCTTCCGCAGTTCTGCCTCTGGTTCTCGATATATCCCATGGCACTTAACTGATGATGGGCCAAGCCCTCTCTACTGTGTCACATTTTGTGCTTCAGTGTGTGGTCCTCACACACAGCAGGTGCTCCTTCACCTTTACTGTTTTCTGCTCTACAAAGTGAACACTAGACTTAATAGCCAACATTCTCAAAGTTTCGGTGCCCCTTTCCCACACTGTTAAATCTTTCTGGACCAGTCACGGAGAATCTTCATTGTTTTAGGAATGTGATCTAGCTACAAACTCATTGCTTTGGCAGTCAATTTAAGGAAAGTATTTTAATTAGAAATTTGCAGGCTTCAAGCAAGAGAGAAGAAAAGGATAAGTGAGCAGCGAGGGAGCAAGGAGCATAATGAGGGGCAATAGCTAGTTTCTTTGGCTGCAGAGAAACTTTTGGAAACCACCTGGTAGAGGTCAGTTGACAAACATCCATGAGAAATGGAAAAATTCCCCTCTCATGTCACAAGACACCTGGAATATTTCACTTCCCTCAAACATGAAAATCCTCATTCAGCATGCTCATGAAATGCTTTAAAAGAAGTAACAACAATATTTAGAAATAATTCTGTGTTCTCACTTGGAATTCTTTTTGATACTCAGCAGATTTTGAAAACAAGAACTTTATACTGAAGGCCAGAGAGAATTTTTTAAAGTTCACATTAACGTTTAATTTCCTAATCAGTTTCTCTCTAAGGGTTAAAGGGAAAATCTACGTTGCTATATTTGATGCAAAATAGGCACATTTACAAACTCACACTAAAAAATGTCTGGCAGTTTCTCAAAAACCTAAACATAGTTCTCACATGACCTAGAAATTCTACTTCTAGGTATTGTACTCAAGAGAAAAACATGTGACCACACAAAAACTCATAGAAAAATTTTCATAGTAGCATCATTCATAATGGCCAAAAAACAGAAATAACCCAAATGTCCATCAGTGGATGAAAGAATGAATGAAATTTGGTATATCCATGCAACTGAAATTATTCACCAATAAAAAGGAATGAAGTACGGATACATGCTACAGCATAGCTAAGACTTGAAACATGTTGAAAGAAGCCAATCACTGAAAAACCCACATAATTATATGATACCATTTATATGATATTTTCAGAACAGGTAAATGTACAGAGACAGAAAGTGGATTCGTGGTTGAGTAGGGCTGAGAAGATTAGGAGGAAGTGTTGAGTGACTGCAAGTGGACACAGAGTTTCTTTTTTGGATGACGAAAATGTTGAAAATGGACTGGGGTAATGGTTGCATAATTCCACAGATATGCTAAAAATCAATAAATTGTATACTTTAAATGGGTGGATTATATAGTACATGAATTATGTCTCAGTACCATTGTTCTTTAACCACACTAAAATATTTCCCTCAACATGAGATGAGAGCAAAAAGGGTCATCATGCTTTTTAAACATATTTTAAACATTTTTAAAGTTTTATTTCCACTTTCTGAATTTAAAAAAAGCATGTGTATACATAAATAGCATTCCCATTCCATTGTCTCTCTCGGCTAGGACATGCTCAAACACCAGAAGGCATTCATGGATAAATGAACAAATGATTGGAAGAACACCCAGCAAAACCCTGAGAAGGCACCTTGGAAGGTTCTACAGAAAAGGAGTACTCACAGGAAGCCCTCGGGGTCCTCGGGGTCCCACTTCTCCTGGAGGCCCCTGTTGGCCCTATTATGAGGAAGGCAAGGAAAGAAAAAGTTAACACTCCCTAATTCTTTGCTCACTGATTGCAACAGGTTATAATATAAGGAAAGGTAACTCATGGCATCTTACCGGTTTGCCTGAATTCCCCAATTGACCAGGCTTCCCTGGAGCACCTGTGTTACCCTAAAGGTAAAGAGCAACATTCAGAGTAATTCAGACAGCAAGTAAGCATATCATCAACCTGTCTAGGCCAGACCAGGCATTTCTGACACCTAAATAGCATTAATTTCCCAATTTCACATTGCGAATTTGGGAAGATGTAGAATCTCTTTCTTAGTGGATACATTAAAAAGTTTTTCAGATTCAGGATAATGTTCTGTTATTCCCACAAGTATAGTAAAGGTGTCAAAAAGTCCAAAAGTGAAGGTCAAATGTCAAAAAAATGAAGGTCATTAGCCAGACAAGAATATGAGAAAAGTTTTCTTTCTTCACAATATTAATTATATGTGTCTTTCCTTTACCACTTCTGTCTCCAATACCTTTCTTTGAGCCCTTTTACCTGACACTGACACTATTAAAATTAAAAAGAATCCTGTGAACATGAGGAGTAAGAGGATGTGCTGTTGAGAAAAACCCTGCCAGCAAGCTCCAGGGAAAGCACATGTCTGGGATGTCATCTGCACCATCAGTCTCTCACAGTCTACTTATTAGGGAACATCTCTGCTCTTTAAAGATGCTGTGGACCCCTATAATTAGAGAGCTGTAGCCATATAACCTGGTAGTGACCAAATTCTACATTATTCACATTTTATCTATTTTATTCAAAGCTATGTCTTCTCCCTTTAATTTTTCTTTCACCTGTTGTTTTTAATTGTGACATAATTTCTATGGCTTAGTAACAATTTCCTTATTTTAAGTGCTAAAGAACAGTAACACTTTCTCTGTTTTCTACTGGCAAAGGATGACACTTTCAGGAAGGAAGTCTAATCAGCAACACTTTGTCAAAGTATTCTGTTTGCAGCTAGGAAAGAGAATAGCATTTGAAGCCATAAAGCCTTTTTCATTTCTCCTTAGAGTCAAAAATAAAAGTCAGGCTGGAAATACTAAAAATGATAAATAAAACACACTAACGAAAGAATAAAGAAATAGAGAAAAGTACTAATTAAAAAGGTTTAATCTTTTACCTTTTCACCAGCAACACCCTTTGCTCCAGGGATCCCAGGTACACCCTGAAAGAGCGCATACAGAACACGGGTTGAATCACTTCACCTGAGAATCTGCAGGTGCCGTGCTCACTTCATGCCGAGGGGCCAAGGGGATCGTGACAGCAGCAAAGCTTTAATGTGAGGGAGCTTCTCCCTAGTTCCCAAATTCTGAACAGTTTAGAAGGAATTGCTTCACTGTATCTGGCTTGTTAAATCTGAACACCCTTAGGCAAATCCTGCCTCTAAACTAAAGTTATTTTTCAAGCATGAATTTCCAAATTATAATCCAGTACTATTTGCAGGTCAATGGGAGCTTCTACTACCAGCATGATTTGAGGTACAGAGTAACAAAACAGGGACCTACCTACTGAATCGCTAACGCTTAAGTAGGAAAAAAAATGGCAGGAGAATGCTGGCTCTAACTAAAATTTGGTACTATTGGGAGTCCTAATGTTCTCTCACTGGTTATTTTGAAATGTCAGACAGATATCATAATAAATTGTGGCCAGTCCTCAAATCACCAAGTATCCCTTTGTAACCTTGAAACATGTGTCTCCAAGAATACATCTGTATAATCCACATTAGCCTCCAGCCACATCAATGCAGGGAAACACCAATTTGAATAATTCAAAATACCACACATCAAAACAAAATGGTATCTTATATCTCACATTGTCCTATGAACATACTCTCAACCCTCTTATGGCTCAACTCTGCTAACAAGAACTTCAAAACTAGTTAAAAGTAGGAGGAAGTATATGACCCTGGCCCATAGCTCAGGGTTAGTGAAATAAGACAAATTGAGTGAACTAAAGATAGAAGATAAAATTGAAGCTTAGTATAGTTATTAGAGAAATAGCTAGTTATTCAGAAAAAAGTAGAAAATGTAAAACTGTAAAAATATAAAATTAAAGTATCATATATGTTCCCCAGAACTTATCAAATTATTTCTCCCTAAAATTCATATTTTCAAAATATGTACCCAAACGAATAAACATTTAAAGACTCAAATACTTACAGGTAACCCTTGCAATCCTGCATCACCAGGAGGCCCAGGTTTCCCTGGTTCACCCTGAAAAAAGAAGTTTGTATGCATCATTGGACTTGTATGAACTGCTTAATTTCTTTCAAGAAAGGAAAGGACACAGACCTTCTAAGTAGAAGGATAATCTCTACATCTGACCTTACATGCACTTTTATAATATGATCCAGTTCAGGGAGGGGGGAGGAGGACGATGGACTTAGGACATAAATTTAATCAAAATACACAGTTTCTTTCAGCGACTTTCATTAACAGGGCAATTTTACTGAGTTCCTAAAACCAAGTAAAGAAACATACTATTCTAATAGTATTTTCAGTTGACACTTGATTTAAAAATTAAAAGGAGGAGAAAAGCCAAAGCCAGCTAAATACATTTCCCAGTAATGTAGTAATGGAAATGCTGTGCTTGGTTGGCCAGGGCCACACAGCTACCTTTGTTCCAGGCATTCCAGGTATCCCATCACGGCCATCCACACCTGGCAAGCCCTACAGACACACAAAGAAACAGACTGTCTCTCAGAAATAGTCACAGCCTTCTTCCCTTCATTATTTTCTAAAGTTTTATTAGAAGTTAATAATCACTTTGAAAAATGTGCTTGATAACTGTGGCTCAGGACATACCGTGTCTCCTTTGGACCCAGGGACACCAGGAATTCCTCTAGAACCTTGAGGTCCCTGCAGGGCAGAAAGGCAAGGATAGACAAGACATGCTCATTTATCACAATACTTAGGACACATCAAAGAGGTAAGCAGAATCAGAGGACACCAAAAAGCACCATGTTTACAGTGATTAACACTAATTTGAACTCACTCTATCTCCCTTGGGACCTGTTTCTCCTGGAGGTCCTCGCTGTCCTTGATCACCCTGTATGAAAACAAAATGTTGTTAATACAAGCAGAAGTCACTTATTGATAGACTTTTGAAATTATAAAACTCCATCCATATTACCTTACTACTGCTCTTTCAACCTTTGCTCTGACTTGGATGCCTAGCTCAAGAAATCTTTTTTATTTTTTATAATTTTTTTAATGTTTCTTTGAGAAAGAGACAGTGTGAGCCAGGGAGGGATGGGGGTGGAGGGGGGGATACAGAGTCTAAAACAGGCTCCAGGCTCTGAGCTGTCAGCACACAGCCTGATGCGAGGTTCAAACTCACGTACCATGAGATCATGACCTGAGCCGAAGTCGGACACTTAACCAACTGAGCCACTCAGGCGCCCCTCGAGAAATCTTTTTATAAAATTACATTGTCTTAAAAATTTATATTGCCATGGGGATAACTGAGACTTACGTGTCTTTTGATTTCATTTTAAATGCATAAAGCTTCTGTGTTCTTTGGATGTATAGGTATAATAAAATTAAGATCCATGCTGCAGATAACTTTGACATCAGTAACTATGTCTACATATCAGCTAAATGCATTGACTATCTTGCTGAGTTGAGGTTTGGATCAGTTGCCAATCTTGTCTCCATATTATTTCATTCTCCAGGCAATGATAGGGGTTCCTGTCAAAATTATCTGGCTAATGTTGATTTATGGTATAGGCGGTAATAGAGGACGTGTCTTCCTAAAATACAGCTTTTGTTGAATTGCATAACCACTCTACAATCTCAAATGGCTTCCTATTGCTACTATATCAGTTCAAACTGCTAAGATTGGCATTAAAAGCACTCCATAATATGATCCTACCTCATCTATTCAATTTGATCTTCTCAGTAGAAACTTCCAATGCCAGACAGTAACAGCCCCTATGACAACACATACCCCCATCACCACCAACAGTGTTCTTTCTCACCTGTACTCTGCTGCCCATCCCCCCCAGAGTGGCTTTCCAGGTCAACCTGCCTCTAAGATCCTCTTGCATGGATTACCTCCACCACATATTCTAGTGCTTGATCTTATAATGTACAACATAGTTACATTCTGTCTTTCCCACTGGGCCATAGGAGTTTGATAGTTGGAGATTCTATTTTAATTATACCTTCTCTACTTTTTCTGTGATCAAAGTGGTTATTAATAGACGGCTTTGTATTTATTTCTAGAAAAGGTGTGAGGGAGCCCGTAATAATGACACATGTGCATGTGACAGTCAAAATATAGAATAATGAGGTCAGAAATCATAGAAAAGGAAAAGAATTATCCAAGCAACTGAAATATAGTAACAGATGGTTACTGTGACTCTAAGCATCCTGGCAACCAACACAAAAGGAAAACACAACAAATGTAAAAACTCAACATTTTGACTTCACCTATAAGAAAAACAAAAATCCATACCAAGTCAAAAGAACATTCTCTTTGTCCAAGAAAGTGATGCTCATCATGATTAAAATTTGTTTAAATAAATATAAAAACTATTGCCCATTTTACTACTTTAATTATTCACATGTGGAAGACATGCGTGCACATGCACACACACACAGAGCAAATAATCTTTCCTGATCATTGCTAAAGAATCTGTCATTGGTCTTGTAAAAGGAAAACTACTTACAGGTGCACCAGGGAGACCTTGAGGCCCAGGTTCTCCATCTAAGCCCCGAGCACCCTACAAAAAAAAAAAAAAAAAGACAAAGAAATGAAATTAAGATCAGCCATTTAAATGTTTATGTATTTATTTTGAGATAGAGAGAGAGAGAGAGCAGGGGGAGAGAGAGAATCCCAAGTAGGCTCCACACTGTCAATGCAGGGCTCAATCCCCCTAACTATGAGATCATGACCTGAGCTGAAAATCAAGTCAGACACTTAGCGGACTGAGCCACCCAGGCACCTCAAGATTACTCATTTATGTTAAAGGGCACATCAGTCTTTCTACAGAACTTTAATAGCCAGATAAAAAAGGAGGTTTTGTGTTTGCAACATATACTGTATTCATCAGTGAACTCCAGGGATTTTTTTTTTAATGTTTATTTATTTTTGAGAGAGAGACAGAAACAGAGTGCCAGCGGGGAGGGGCAGAGAGAGAGGGTGACAGAGAATCCAAAGCAGGCTCCAGGCTCTGAGTTGTCAGCACAGAGCCCAATGCAGGGCTTGAAGCCACAGACTGTGAGATCATGACCTCGCGTGACTGCTTAATCAACTGAGCCACCCAGGCACCCGTGGTGAGTGTTTAATCAGACACCTCAGATATGAAAACACTTAGTTTGCATCTTCTCATCCCACCCAAAGTACTTATGGCCAGTCTTTGATACCACTTTGGATATTTTAAGTTAACACTGTATCCATTCTTGATTGATGACATGAACTGAAAACACTGGTACCTGTTTAGAGAACTTGACAAACCTATTGAAGAGGTTTGGTACTCACCCTGCAGGCCTCTCAGGATTCTGATGGGAATTTGTTAGCGGTGAAGACCAAGGAGCCACCCAAAGAATAGCTGGCATGGACTCTGCTGCTGCTGCAGCTGTGGGTGGGATTCTCTGACACTGGATTTCCACCAAGATCCAGAATCAGAAGTCCAGCCATGCGGTTTAGAAGAACGAATTTTAATAAGGATTTGAGTATGCCCTCTTCCATCCTGGATGGACATTAGGTTCAGTTTATATGAAATAATTCATTTACTTCCTTCACAACAAACACCCTACCAAGTGACGGTGGCATAAAAACTACACAGCTTTGGAAATGTAATTGTCTTGAAATCAATTCTGACTTGGTTATATTGTACGTGTCGCCTTCTTATTTAATTATAAGAATCAAACTGTGATTTTAAAACAAAAAAGGGGGGGCGGTTAGTGCTTTCTGCATAGGCTACATGATAAAATACAACCCTCTTTAAATCTTTTTCTCATCTGCTAAGTGAATGAGAAGGCAGAAGGGCCACTGGAGTCCACAGGCCATCTCCTAATGAAAAGGGTTGAGGTAAGGAGATGATAAAATAAATAGAAAACAGTCCAAAGAGTATTGCATGGATGTCAGCCCAAGAAAACCAGGTGGACAGCGTCTGTAGTATTAAGAGTCAGAAAACCTTTGATAGAAGGTTCAGAAAAGAGAGAATCAAATAAAGGACACAACCGAAGCAGAGGCACCACAGAGCCTTGAAATTCTTTGATCCCTAAAAACTAGAACAGAGCAGAAAGCAGTCTACGTTCACCAGGGAAGGAGAGATTTGGAAGACCCGAAAAAGACCTTGAATTCATCATTCACCCTGCGTGGTGAGAGCGGAGCCCGGCCTTTGCATTATAGAAATGGCTGTGATGCACTCACTCTCTCTCTTATTGCTGTTCAGCACAAGCTGAGACCCAAAATGCTGTTACTAGGCAACCACACCAGGGGTCTGAGTTCATGAGAAGAGCTTGCTTTTTTTTTTTTTTTTTTTTTTTTTTTTTTTTATGGAAAGCAATTTGACAGAACTCAGAGGAAATGAGAAATTTTGAAAAATGCCAAGTAAAAAACATGCCTCAAATAAAGAGCATATCAAGAACAGTAATTGGTTTCAAAGTGTGGGGTCACATATTTTAGATGATTTAAACCCAGAAAAAGCGAAGGCCTAGGTATCAGCAACTTCAAAACAAATGGGATGTATTACTTAATAACAGAAGAGAGACACACAGAATGTTACTTAAGGTAACATGAATATAGAAATATGAAATATGTTTTTTAAAATACAGTGTTTTTAGAAAAGAAATATTCTAGAGGAAATGGAAGAGTAAAACAGGCAGAATGAGAATACCCAAAAGGGACAGCAAGGCTGAAAAAAAAAGAGTCACAAAATAATTCCTTCAATTTCCAAAAATATGCATTTCTTTTAAAAAATTTAGTTTTATTTTTTTGAGCACCTACAATCTGCAAGTTAGTCCCACTTAGCGGTTAATAAAAGTCCTGTGCTTCTGTGTGAAATGACACAAATTAGCTCTAGAGGTTCTAAAGAGAAAGAGGTGAGGGTCAGAAGTGGTGGTAGGCAAAGTGCTTTTCTTTTTCCAAGCCCACAAAGTGGCTTTTCTAATATACTCTGTAAGTAGTAACCATTTTCTGAAAATCTGATAGAGAAGGTAGACACACCCCTACACACACTCACATACACACACAGTGAGAAAGACATTTCTGAACACAGCATGAATGTTCAAGTTTCCATTGTTTTCATTCACGATACTCAGCCAAGCCCTCCCTAGCCCCATCCTCCACCAGTAGGAGCATGTCTTCCAGGTAGGTCTGGCATCCCTCTGATGTCACCATCTCCCCCCTGAGCCCTCCCAGTTCCCTGATCAAGAGTAACCACTCCTTCATCTTCACTCCCTCAAACCACTTGCCCTCAAATTTATGGGTCTCTTGTATACACTGTAGTCAGCTATCTACTCACTCGTTTCTCCCAATAAATAACAAATTTGAAGTCCTTATTACTTGTTGAATCTCCCCAGCATCTCGCAGTGCCTTGCTATGGAAATGGTAGGAGAATCTGGTCTTTGCAACTGGGCTAAGGACAGATTCGAAAACTCCAGCCACAAGTATAGGATTCCTGTTGAAGGCAGAGCTCAGCAATCCACCTAGCAGAGAGCCACAGATGGCCCCAGTGTCCTTAGGGATATCCTGCCTTCTCTTACCTCTCCCTTCCTTCCATTCCTTCCTTGTCTTTGCTTTGATTTCCAGGTATTGTGTCAGTGCGATCAGTATTAACTATTGATAATGATAAAGAGATAAAATGTAACAGCCCTGCTTACTTCTATTTACTCGAGATAATTTAAAATATATAATACATAAGTATCATATGTACTCTTTTCTATCATCTATGTTTATAACAGAAATGTGAAAACCTAACTAAACATCCACAAAGCAAATAAAAAATAAAAAATGATGTTGCTTGGGTGCCTGGGTGGCTCAGTCGGTCAAGCGTCAGACTTCAGCTCAGGTCATGACCTTGTGGTTTGAGGGTTCGAGCCCTGCATCAGGCTCTGTGCTGACAGCTCAGAGCCTGGAGCCTGCTTCAGACTCTGTGTCTCCCTCTTTCTCTGCCCTTCCCCCGGTTTCTCTCTCTCTCTCTCAAAAATAAACCTTAAAAAAATTTTTTTAATGTTGCTAAAAATAAGATATTTTTAAGTGGCAAAAAGCTCAAATATTTACACATTTGATTATCATATCATCATCATCATCATCATCATCATCATCATCATCTTACTTTTTCCCCTTTGGCCCCAACTATGCCAGTGATGCCTCTTAATCCTTGAGCTCCCTGGAAATATAAAAACAACAGTGAATTGCTTTAGTTGAAGCACACACTTGTTTGTTTCTCTCATCACAAAAGCTGATCCAAAAGGATGTTAACATAACCAAAGGTAACAAGAAACAGTGACATTATATAAACAAATATTTCTAGTTTAGAGAGAAAATCCAAGGAGAATTATTCTGATGGCAAAAGAATTTTAAAATTCTGAAGACATATGCATACCTGGAGTTGGAGCAATTACTGATGACAAAAAAGAAACATCACTGCATAAGAGAACTACAATCATGTATTAGATTTATCTTTTAACTCAGGTAGAGAATACACTGCCATTTCTACCTCCTTAATGGTTTGTAAGTTGGTTACATGTAAGATGGTTGTGATTTTAAACTTTGGAATAATTTTTCCCCACCAGTGTATGCTATCAAAGGCAATTAGGTTTCTAGACTAGCCCACAAAAGCTTATGACCTGTAAATGGAGCTAAAGTCTTTACTAACCACTAGGGGTCACTATTTGTTATACCATCTCCATGATAGAGGCACTCTATCTTGGGGCAGTAAGAATCCATCTCACTTCATCCCAGGCAAAGGAGTGGGTAATTCTAAAAGTAAGGATATGAGTGTGATTTCCAGAATCTTTTCTAATACTAAAATGCCACCATTCTCAATTCTCTGGTCACAGCAGCAGGGCCCCAGGAGTGGATCCTGTAAAGAGTGGGCCTGGGTGTTCTCTTGGGAGAAGCAGGAGATAGATGCTCCTTCAGGAAAGTGGAAAAGCCACTTCTGAGCAATTTGCTAACTGTCCACTATAACTGGCGTACAATAAGGTAGCTCCAGGCCAGTCATTCTCTTGTGTTCTCACTTAGAGAAAACGGGGCACTTCAGTGGCCAACCCTTCATCCAGACAAGTGACAAATTCTATGCAAACTAGTTAGGAATGACCTGCTAGAACATGTAAGATGTAATATGTAACATGATGCAGCTTAGAATAACCACTTGGGATATAAACCACTTGAGATGTGGCCATTTCAGATTAAAACTGCTCTTTCTGAAGGTAGTTCTGCAAAATGAATTCCAAAAATATTTGAGCCAATGGCAGTGACATCAGAATGCCATGTATTGTCTCCCAAGGTGATGACTTTGAAGGGCAGAGCTCATGTATACATGTTCCAAAGAGCATATTTTTAAAAAATCTGTTCATTACTTTATAGATGTACATTTAAAAAGTGAAAATCTGTGAGTTTTACAGAAACATTTTGGCAAACCCACTCCCAAACACCAGAAGGTCAGCAAGTGCTAACAATATCACCCATGCTTGAGCCATGCAGCACCCAACAGATATCCTTAATCCATGAAAATACTTTTAAATGCTGCTTGCAAAATCCTGTTCTGAGGATTTGGGGGAATGGCTTTAAAAATAACTCCAATTCCCCACCAAATTTTCATCAGATCAAAAACAAAAAACAAAAAACATATGTCTCTTACACTACTTATTTCCATCTTCCTCCTGTAAAATAAAGTCCATCTCCTTCTTGTCTCCTATCAAAGGTTCAGGGAAGACAAGCTTCTGGAGTAAGCCCCTTGTACTCCTCCAGGTTTCCTTAAAGTTCTTATGTGGCTTAAAAGCAGAGGCCATTTCTTACAAATGTGCAGACTTCCTTCCTTTAGCTGGAATTTCCTTAAGTTCTGGGTAAGCACTAATCGGCACAACTCCCTGAACTCTTTCATAAATGGCCAGTTGTTTGGGGAATAGCAGAGCAGGGCAAGGAAGGGTGGTGGCCCCATGTTTGTCCTCCCTAACTCTTTCGTTTCTGAGAATAGGACCTGAGTCTGTGCTTTACATAGTAAAGACCGTGGCTAGCTGCAATTCAATCAATATTCAGAAATTATTATTTCCATAATTGTTACTACTCATCCTGACAAGAAAAATAGTGTAACAAGTCTACTTTCATATACAAAAGTAATGTAAATTTTGATGTCCCAAACACTTTAAATTGACATATGTCAATGCCCCAGATTACTTCACTGTGCATTTAATTGCAGCAATCTGCCAAAGCACAAGGGACCAACTTTTTATTTTAAAAAAACATGATTACAAGGAATTAAGAATGTTCTAATTATAATGATTACATGCTGGCATAAGGTACATCAAATCCAGTCGATGACCTACCTGCTACAGATTCAGCGTACCTGAATTTTTCCGTATCATATGATAGCACCATAGAACATGAAACACATATATCATCCTCTTGTGTTCAATATTTGCTTTCAGATAGCCTAGCCCTGAAATCTAGTAAATAAATGTATGTAATTATAGGTACATTTTGTTTTGTTAAAATGGTGCTTGAATGTATAATGGGGATCCTTTCCTATTTCAAAAAAATGGTAAATTCCCAGTGCTGGCTTGGTGGAAAAATACAGAATACCATGTTCATATAATACTATTAATTCAAATGCTAAACATGAAATATTCCAAAAGTCATGAAAAAAGAATATTTGCATATCCTAAATATTTTTAAACAATACTTTACTGGAGGTCCTTGAGCTCCGACTTCTCCCTGTTCCCCCTGGTCACCTTCTTCACCCTAAGAAACAACAGAAAGCACTCCAAATGTTATTGCAGCAAATGAGCATAGATAGATATAGGCTCGTTGTAACTCAGCACATTTTAAATTCATTTGGCATCCCCTGAGTTATGCTACTGTACTTTCTTAAATTAGTTTACATGAATAATCCATATTAATTGTGTAACATTCAGAAAATACAGAGAACTATACAAATAAAGTCACCCAAATCCCACTTTTCAACTATAAATACCTGTAACATCTTAGATGCTTCTCTAAAAAAGGGTGGGGGTGGGAGAGGAAATGACGGAGAGAGAATATGCATACATTCATGTTCCAAGTGTGTATTGTGTGTATGGGGGTGTATTTTTAGGAAAATATGATCATGCTATGCAAACTTTTCCATAAACTACAACATTATTTAATTGCGATTTTCTTTTTTTTTTTTAATTTATTTATTTTGAGAGAGAGAGCAGTGGAGGGGCAGAGAGAAAGGGAGAGAGAGAAAATCTGAAACAGGCTCCGTGCTGTCAGCACAAAGCCCAACGTGGGGCTCGAACTCACGAACTGTGAGATCATGACCTGAGCCAAAATCAAGAGTCAGACACTTAACTGACTAAGCCATCCAGGCACCCCCAAATTGTGATTTTCATTTTAAACTTTTCTTATTATAATTTTGCTGCCATATACAATTTTTTAAAGTATTTAAATCACTCTTTCTTTTCATGGCTTCTACCTTTGATGTCACCCATTGAAAAGCTTTCTCCACCCCAAAAATACATAAATATTCATCTGTATTTTTCCTCTAGTTGTTTCATAGTTTAATTTCTTACATAGAAATCTTTAATTGGTTTAATGTAAAATGTAAGATAGAAATCTGTCATTTTATTTTTTCCTGGTAATTGGCCGCTCTCTCTAATATCATTTATTGAAGGATATCTCCGCACAGATATCTCTCCCCACAAGCTGGAAAATTCTTCCTTAACATACTAAATTGTTAAATACACTTGTTTTTTCTGATCTGTTTTTTCTACTTTTCTGATCTGTTGTATGATGTTGCCAATACCACAACATTTTAATTATTGCAATTTCATGATACATTTTAATCTCAAACAGAATTCCTTTACCTTTATTTTTCATCGATAGTTACTCTTTTTCAGTTTTTCCTACATGCTTACTCTTTCAGATGAACTTTAGAATTATTCAGAAGATCTTCACAAAAATACTACCTGCTTTGTATTAGGGCTGCATTAAATTAAGAAATTAATATGGAAAGAATTAGAATCTTTACAATATTGAGCCTTTCTATCTTAGAACTGAGTGTATCTATTTAATCAAATCTTTTTCTTTCAATCAATAAAGTTTTGTTCTTTTCTTCATGTTAGTCTTGAATATTTAAGTTTGTTCTAAGGTATCTTGACTATTTGGTAGCAATTGCCAATGGAATCTTCTTCCATTTTGTTTTCTAATTATTATTTTGACTTTTTGATACTAACCTTATAACCTCTGATATACTTTAAAATGTTAGTATATTCTGAAGAGAAATTCAACTGCTGTTTCTTATAGAAAGATTACTTTATTGACTCTGAGAAAAAATTTACTTTTCCCTCTGACAAAGGTTTTATTTTTTACAATAAGTATACTGCCCTACATTTCCTGTAGTAATGGATATCTCTAATTGTAAAATTAATCATGAGAAAAATTTTACATTTTTAATATTATGTACATAATATTAGATAAAAATCAATTTCTGTTGTTTCTTTATTACATGTTTCAGTTCACCCATGTTCTTGCTCTACAGACCATACCTTAAAGAGATTTTCACACACACATATACACACAGAAATATAGCAAATTGAATAGCAATATTAATATAGAAACTTTGGACATATAATACAAAGAACTAAGTTATGCCTAGATCATTTATACTTGATTTCTGAAAGAATTATGAGGGTATTACATAGTGGTTTTAGTCTCATAGTTATATTCAGATTATATTCCATAAGAATATATAATTGATGGCAGAGAGGCTGTCCCAATGGGAAAGCCAGTGAATTAGCTATTGGAGTGGGTAATCAACACATGCATACAATTAAATGCTACTTATATTTCCCTACCTATCAAAACAACAGTGACTCATATGTGCACAGTAAGTTTCCATTAGCAAGGTTTGGGATATTTTCCCACAGATTCCTGATAAACCTTGGACTAATACAATTGATTTAAATATTTCACCAGCAGATGAATAGCACACAACTAATCAATAACCCTGACATTAAATGACAAATTTAGGAACAGCAATTTATTATCATTTTACAGAAAGATTTTTGACTATTCATTTCTATATTTATCAACAAATTTTAAAATTTTTATTAACTAATTTGTAAATTCAAGGCAGAGTTGTGAATCCACTTTAAGTTTACAGTTCAGTGCATCTATTACCCTTTCAAGGTTCATTCTTTAATGAGCTATTGTCTTCCTATCTTTATATGTAAGTTTTTAAAGACACCCACTGAGAGATGTAAGTGACAAAACAAGTGAAATAAAGGAGTTTTCAACACCTACCAATAAAATTTTGGCCAGTTATTTCCCACACCAAAACAGTTTTCAGGTTCCCCGTTGAAAACCAAGCCATATTTGAGAGTCTGGATAACTGACTTGTATAGGATTCCACAAAGAAAAGGGGCCACCAAAAGAAGGAAGAAGGTATGGATGGCATCAAAAATAACAGAAGTCTACTATATCTGCTTTACTACATGTATTGTTACCTCATGAAAACCTTTTGGTGCACTGTAATATTCTTACACGCCTTTTCTTTGGTGGTTAGATAGTATTCTATTATATGGACATGCCATACTTAATTTAGCCAGTCTCCGTGGTTGGACATATTTTTTTTTCATTTCTATGCCCCTGGCACTTAGAATAAACCCTGGCACACAGCAGGAACTTAATAAATAATTGTTGGATTTTTTTAGTTGTGAATTTTAAGATTTAATGGAGGAATGAGCAGGCAGAAAAATTTCTGAAGTACTCAGTTTTTTCTTGCTCCAATTTGACATTAACCAGCTGTTACATTCCAGATAAATAAAATGCCTTAATTACTCAGTGCCTAAGCAATAAAAGACTTTAAAAATAAATGACCAAACTGTAATAAGGAACAGAAAATGGGCTTACTTATCCTGATTATCTGAGGTTGCTCAACAGACTGATTTTAGCTAAAGAGTTCAAGGATATTAATGCCTGATGATATTAATAAATTGCCTCTCCAGCTCCTCCAAAGAAAAAGACTAATTTTCTGCCTCCACCCCATTAAGGTGTAGAAGGACATAGTCTACAAAGTCTAGAAAACCCGCATGAATAAGAACAGTTTGACTTTGTAAAACATTACACAGTTAACAGGGACAAAACTTTTATTAAGCAGAAAGTCAAATTCTTAGACACTTAAAGGCAATTGACATTAGTGGATTAAAAAAAAGCAAGTAAGTCACCTTACTTTAAATTTCTATGTTGGTTTTTCTGCAGGGCATGCGAGCCCCAATGTAGGCTGTGCTGTGGATGCCATGTTTCTATCCAGACAATAACAGAAGTCCTATCACTAACTCCCATATTACTCAACATCTAAATTCTATTGAAATGAAGTCAGAAACAAATTATTTCAGAACTTAAGATGAGAAGCCATGAGCTATCAACTTCCTGTTTGCTCGTGTCAGCAACACTCATCATAAAATTTTACACATGTCATAAAATTTTGTTTACTGGAGTGGGAAAAGTAGCTGAATAATGTTTGACTATCAAAAGCATCAAGGAAAAAAGCTGAGTGTGATTGATTTCAAAAGAAAAGCAAGGGGTAGCAACACAGGAAAGAATGAAATGTATGGTGAGTTACTGTTTTTTACAATTGAACAACATTAGAATATTATACTTAGAATATTAATGCATCTACTGAAAACTTGTCAATCATCATTTGAAAAGGAAGGATAAAATATGCTTTATTATTCCCTATAATTTCTTGTAATAAAAGTAATCACTTCCTCCTAATCACAACTTACCCACTATATATTCATTTTCCTTACCTTGTGACCTTGTCTTCCAGGTTCACCAATTTCTCCTTTAGCCCCTTTATGACCCTAAAAATGCATAATTAACTAATTAATTAATTAATTTAAAAATAACTGTATTGGGTTTGTTACGGAAACTGGTCAGAAGGCTCATAAAGTGATCTTGCTTCCCTAAATCTGTGTCAGTTTCTGCTACACAGAAAAAGGTTACGTCACAAGGAAAATGACTACCTTAAATGACCTTAATACTGCCATGTGTATTACATGACTGTTGTAGATGATAAATATAAGTTTTAGTTAATAGAAAAACACTGTTCTAGAATAGCAAAAGCTTTATTCTCTGGTTCAGCAACATGATATATTGCTGGCCATTCCCTAGATCCCTCTATCCTAAACATCCTTTCATAGTTGGGGTAAGAGCATTAAGTCTTCTCCAACATCAGTAACTTTTTTCCCAAAGATGACCCAGCTCAGCTGGCTATCTCCTGCTCTCTCGATGCTGCTCTGAAAACCCTTCTGCCTCCTCCGTACCTTCATGGGGGTGGAAGGGATCTCCCCAGATGCACAACTTCCACCTCTTCTTGTACACAATTTTAGATGCAAAGGGAAAGCTATTAAGGGCAGTCAGTGAAAGCTGCAGAGCATGAGAAGAAAATCTCCTATCTCTTCCTGTCTGGCCACCTGTTCTAAGCATATGTGTGCTTTTGGTGGTAACATGAGGCAAATGGGAAATGAACATTCCAAAATTAAGTACATCAGAGCTTTCACTCTCAAAGCCACTCTCATTCCAAGAGTGTAGGTCTTCGTGAAAAATAAGACACCAGTCCAGGACCAAATCTTTTGCAGTTGTGGGAACCCATTAAAACTAACCTTAGAGAAAAGGATGACTGGAAAAGCACTGCCCTGGGGCCTTTCAGATCATAGCACAACTCCATTGGTCTGGAATTTTCAAAATAATTTCAGACTCATAGACTAGAGAAAATCCCACCTAACCCCAACATTTAATATTTTTTTATTTTTATGGTAAATTTTGAAGTAACTATGATATAGAGTGAGAGAAAACATTTTTGGGAAGTCTTTTTTCTTGCCTATTATGCACAGTATTCCCTATATTTTCTTAACCAAAATAGTTTCAAATACATTATGTGTGCAATTACCCCCAATCTTCCTCAATAGGAAGCAAACTTCTCTACATTCATTTGGTGTTATAGAGTCTCTCAAGCCAATACATTGTATGGGTATTTCCTCCCCGAACAACAAAAGCACTGTGTGATCAAACATCCATGTCTCCATAGGACTACCTGCCAGGGGCACCAGCCGCAGTTCCTAGGACTGAAGAAGGACCATAGACTAAGCCGCAGAACAAACGAACACAGACTTGCCTAATCCATCAGAATGTGGTCTTTCACCAGGAAGGCCAGTGCTTACAGGAAAGGCTCTATTTTTTCTATGGATAATACTCTTGAATATAAAATACTGAAATTGTTCTCTTACCCTCATGCCTGGTAAGCCTGGATATCCTGAGCGACCTGGTGGACAGGAATTGGGACACTGCCAAAGGGAGAGAGAGATAGATAAGGAGAGCATAAATTAGAGCCTCCCTTTATGACAAAATGGTATTTTTTTAGGGATTCTAGCTACAGAATCCCAATATAATTATATTCATTAAATAACTCTGACTACCCCTTTTTTCAATATTTCATTTTTAAAATCAGAAATATTCCTAGCTCACAGAAAAGTACAGAGTATTCACCATCCAGATTTAATAAATGTTAATAGTTTGCCATATTTATTTCAGATTTAATTTATTAAAGAAATAAAATGTTTCCAGACAATCTAGTGTACCACAACCTGATCCTTTTCCCCTTCCCCTCTATTAGAATAGCTGTAACTTGAGGTCCACATACCCTTGTCAAATTGGCTAACATTGCACTTAGTACAGTTTACCAACATCATCTGAATATCACTCTGTAAGTACAAGTCTCAAAGGAACTGTTTGGCTTCTATCTTCTAAGATTGAGGGGTACTCTGTTGAAAGCCATAAAGTAAAGAGATTATGGAAAAACAAAATCATTTCTATAATGAAAACCAGTTACAATGTGAGTGTATCCAAACTACCAGTCCACTAGTTCTATGGATTGTTCCACCATCCAAGTAAAGTAAAACAGAAATACAACATATTCCAGCAAGGTAATTTTAAGGAGAGTTGACCTGAAGATTACATGGTCTTTGACTTAATCTGTATTTCATTCAAAGGTAAACATCTTACCAATGGATCTCCATCATGAAAACCAATTGTTCCCTAAAGTAAAGAAAATACTAAAGTTAAGAATATAGTTAAATATGTAATTCAAACCTACTAATAATTGAAAGTTCATTGAACAAAAATACAATAAATATATTTGTTCAATAAAATATAAGGAACAAAGAGCTGCATATAATATGCTAATATTCTAAAAATTTTGACTTGTAGGGCATGTTCATTTTGGAGACCCCTAAATTTCAGTATATTATCTCTTTCAGGGGACTGAAGGGATATAAAATGAAAGAATAGAAAATATGGGGTACTCCAAATATAAATTTAAAATATGAATTAACTCCTACTTAAACTCCTATTTTTTAAATTGCTTACTGTATAAATCCTTTGTAAAAACTAGTTCATTTGAAAATGTTCCTTTTATACATCCAAGTTTTGAGCATTTGAGAAATCACAAAAGTCAAAGGACTTCAAATATATGAGTAAGCCATTCCCTGAGAAAACCTCCTTTTAAATTATTGTTATTCCTCTACTTTTCTGTCCTAAGAAGACCCATGTTCTGAATGGGGGAAAAAAACTGGTAGCCATTTTGGAATTTTAGGATGATGACTCAATTAACAAGTACTTCCATTTTTGGTTCTTGGGTTTATTTAATTCCAACTCTCAGACACAAGAAAATTCAAGCTGCAAATAACTTACACTGGGTCCTGGGGGGCCAGGGGGGCCAGGTGGTCCTCTTTTCCCAGGGTCACCCTAAGTTATTGAAAATTGTGACACAGTGGTTATACACATGTCAAAACGCAGTGCATAAAACTGGTAAGGCATGAGAGAATATTACTAGAAACCCCTACAGAGCTCAGTCTTGCATAGACCTGCCACTAAAATCGATGGGTGGCCCATAATCCAATTAGCTCCACAAAACTAGAAGAATAAAGGAGGTACAGTCTCACCAAAGTAATAAAACAAGGCAGAAGGAAGTTTGGGGGGAAAAGCAAAGCCAATTCTTTCCTACAGCATGATTACTGTATTCTGGAAACAAACTGGAAACACCACCTATGTTTTTAGTTGATTTATAGAGGAACTGAAACAGCCAGTACTTCTAGTACCATCCAGATAATGGTGGCAAAAGAAGGTTTGCAGCCAGCCTGAAGCTATGGAATGGCAGGTTAATCTCTGCAATGCCAGATTCTCCCAGGGTACTGTTTACCCACAAGCTGTTACTTGGCCTATCACCATACTGTCTTGCAAATGGCACAGGACATAAATAATCTTACAATTATTTTAACTTTATAACCATTTCATATTCATTTGTTCAGTAAATAATTTTATCAAATAGTAAGACGTATGGAGAAGCAAGAAAAAATATATAATACATGGCTCCTACTCTCAATGCATTTACAATTATCTATCCTCCACATAATGTCACTACTTCAACATTTTTGAAATATTGTATAGTAACATCAAGAATTTATTACCAACAATTTCTTCTATAAAGTTCAGCTCTTTATTGCCTAATGTTAAGTTCTGTTGGTTCAATTATAATTTAATGATCCTAACAGAATTACACTTGGCAATAATTTTCAGCTATTCATTTTATGCAGAGAGCCTAATACAAAAGACACTGGACCTTAATTCTGGCTGAGAGTCTATAAAATGGAGGTGACATCTCCTGATTTGATCACTAATTCTGGAAGTTGGGAAGAAAAGTTTAGCTGACAGCCTTGGAAAAAAAAATTAAAATCACTCTACAAAAATGAGGTAGCATTATTATCCATGGTTCCCATCAATATTATGAACTGGAATGAAATTCATCTGCCATTTTTTGGATTTGCAGGGGAAAATATACAGTTAGGGTAATTTGCCTTCTGAGTAACGTCTTCTATTAAATCAGTAAACGTCGGGGCGCCTGGGTGGCGCAGTCGGTTAAGCTTCCGACTTCAGCCAGGTCACGATCTCGCGGTCTGTGAGTTCGAGCCCCGCGTCAGGCTCTGGGCTGATGGCTCGGAGCCTGGAGCCTGTTTCCGATTCTGTGCCTCCCTTTCTCTCTGCCCCTCCCCCGTTCATGCTCTGTCTCTCTCTGTCCCAAAAATAAATAAACGTTGAAAAAAAAAAAAATTAAAAAAAAAATCAGTAAATGTCTATCAAAATGCAGTGTGTACTCACAACTGGTCCAACACGGCCAAGCTCTCCAGGGAGTCCTGCTGCCCCAGGAGGACCCTGTATGTATATACACAATAGAATATTTTTCAGCCATAAAAAAGAGTAAGATCTTGTCACTTGCAACAATACAGATGGACCTGGTAAGTAGTATTATGCTAAGTAAAATAACTCAGACATAGAAAAACAAATACCATATGATTTCACTTATATGTAGAATCTAAAAAACAAAACAAAGAAACAAACAACAACAACAAAATAAACTCTTAAATACAGAGAACAACTAGTGGTTGCCAAAGGGAAGGTGGATGTGGGGCAGGAGGGAGGTGATGAAATAGATCAAGGGGATTAAGAAGTATAAACTTCCAGTTATAAATAAATAAGTCACAGATGAAAAGTACGGCATAGAGAACACAGTCAATAAGTCAATAAGATGGTAATAACATTGTTTGGTGACAGAAGATGAGCACACTTACTGTGGTGAGCTCTGAGTTGTCTACAGAATTGTTGAATCATTACATTGTACAACTGAAACTAATATAACACTGTATGTTAATTATACTTCAATTTTTTTAAAAAAGGGTAATTCTAAATAAGTAAAGGGATGTGGTGACTTATGGATGTTTTTTACAATCTATCATAAATGATATCAAATATGATAAACAACTGATTTAGAATTATATCTGTGCTAGCTTTGGTTTCCAATAACATAATAACTCATTTGACTAAATTTTAATTACTTAAAAAGGAACAGAAATTTCTAAAATCAATAAAATTTTTTGTTTAGCAGGATAGAAGTGCTGTCACAGTAGCCACCGAAGATCATGTATGTAGGACACTATAAATACCACTGGGTACTGTCAGTTGGAGAGTAAGCTTGGGAGCTGAGAAATAGGCCATTGTTATAGACTATGTAGAAACACACCCAGAGATGATACTTACAGGGGGTCCAGGAATACCACGGCCCTAAAAGATTAAAATAAAAATTGTTATGGTATGTGATTTAAACTTAGTATAAATACAGACAGACATAATTCAGTTCAAAAACAAAGTATAAACTTTGTCACTAAATAACATGATGCTCATTCTAAAGAAATGACTGGATAAAGAAAAGCAAACATGGCTCTACTCCTAAGGAAGAAGTTTGTTTCAGCACCTCAAATATTCCTTTGATGTCTAAGCTAACCAATAATATTTTTTCCAAACGTTCTCGTAAGAAATCAAAGTAAAGTAGTCATCCACACTTGCCCTCAGGAGAATTTAGCATCACTCACAAAGAAGCACATCAGTTTAAATCTAAGTTTAAAGATTTTTTTTCATCATGTTTTATAAGAAATCTACCTTAAAAGCAATACAGTGTAGTGCTTTATAATTTATAATGTGATGTTTGGAAATTCCCAAACATTCAGCACAGAAAGAGGGGGTGGGGGCAGGTGGAGGCGGGAGGAAAGGACCAGAAACCACGTTCTTTTGACAGGTGGACTATGTTTCTAGACAAATCCAGTAGATAGTGAAAATAAAATGGTGTCACTCTTGAAATGACTTATGACAGGATCCTAATTTGATATCCTAAATCTGAGAGCTAGTTATTTCATCTCCCTCTCCTTTGTACTTTATTTCTCTTTAGCAACACTGAACTGCATATAATCAAGGACTGACCCCACATCTTATTCATCCTCCTAGACTCATTTCCTACCACAGGGACTAGTATATGCTAAACCTTAACTATATGCTTGTTGAACTTCATAAAACTTAACATCAGCTGTCTAGAATCCCTTTTTCTCTATCTTTGCTTTCCAGGTTCAATATTCCCCAATTGGGAATCCTTATTACTCCTTTCTCTCCTACATTGGCTGGAATAACTTCTATCCACAGCTATCTCTAATACCATATTCATGTTAGCTTTTCATTCTAGACTTTTCTAAAACATCCCTATATGAACCATTTAGTAGAATCAATGTACACCCTATGATAATGATATTATTATTTCTAATTATTTAGGCAGCCAAAACAAACAAGAATTTCACATGAGCAGTATGTTTTAATAATAAGCGGGGCTTTTCCAAGGCATTTCAAGGCATTTGAAGAATTACTCCTATTTGAACATTTTAATATGTAAATCAATTTGGGAAATAAGTGTCATGCTTGAAAATACCAAAGTAATCAATAAATTGTTTCATTATCATAGATCTAGATGTTTGACAAATTTCAAATGTCACTAATTTTTTTTTAAAGGCATCTCTATAAGATGTTGAGCTCTGAGTAAAAAAAAAAAAAAACGGGAGAAAGGCCAGCAAAGCTATTCACTTCTGAAAGTCGGTTTATAATGGAAAAGTTGACAGACAGTGAAATATGGCCATGAAAACAGTGCAAATAGAAAACAAAGATGAGAGATACAGATTAATGATAAGAACAAAAGAGGAACAAAGAGTAAAATGGAAAGGAAAAGCAGCCTAAGAACCAAACCCTCTAACAGATAAAGAAATAACACAAATTGTGAGATTGGGCAATGCAGGAAAAGACTAGCCAGAGGATTAGGCTGGTAATTATATCTGATGGTTGACATTTCATTAGAGATACAACCAGTTGTGAAGAAAGTGGTGTGATATTATGGTCTAAATACTGCATATTTAGATTTGCTGTTATTATGCAAGAAATGTTTTCTATCAAGGGAAGTAAAGGGGGAGTTGTCTATTGGGAAAAACTACCTGCAAATAGACACATGTATTTATAGTGTGCGTTCAAATTTCTCTAAAATTTTTCTACTCATAGAATGCTTACCATAGCAGAAAAGTCATGAATTCCTTTGTGATGCATATTATGTCAAAAACTGCATTTAAAAATTTCACAATGACATACTACGTGGCAATGAGAAAGAATGAAATACGGCCCTTTGTAGCAACGTGGATGGAACTAGAGAGTGTGATGCTAAGTGAAATAAGCCATACAGAGAAAGACAGATACCATATGTTTTCACTCTTATGTGGATCCTGAGAAACTTAACAGAAACCCATGGGGGAGGGGAAGGAAAAAACAGAAAAAAAAGAGGTTAGAGTGGGAGAGAGAGCCAAAGCATAAGAGACTCTTAAAAACTGAGAACAAACTGAGGGTTGATGGGGGGTGGGAGGGAGAGGAGGGTAGGTGATGGGCATTGAAGAGGGCATCTTTTGGGATGAGCACTGGGTGTTGTATGGAAAGTAATTTGACAATAAATTTCACACAATAAAAAAAATTTCACAATGACAGAAAAGGTAGGAGATTTTCAATTCTGTCACTTTATAATTACTTACAGGAAATCCACGAGATCCCGGAACACCAGGTTCTCCCTAAAAATAAAAATAACTTCATTGTACTTAGCCCCCTGTATCATGGATATGTAAATATGTAAATTACATGAATTTTGAAATCATTAAAATACCCCATCTTGGTGTTTTTTCATTTAACTTAATTCAACTAAAACATGATTTTAGTTGAACAAGTGTATTTCCACTGTTTCATAACTAATCTTTCAGTTGATTTGCAAACACTACAATAAAATTATACTTCAGCATCTAATACCAGCAATTAATAACAGGTGGCTAACTTACTTTTTGTCCTCTTGGTCCCACAGAGCCAGGGGATCCATCAGGTCCTGTTAACCCCTAACAAAGCAAGATGATGTTAGAACTATTATAGCATCCTTAGGCAAATCCCTAAGTGCATAATTGCATTTTGTTTATTAATTATGTACAGAATGGTAACTTTTGTATGATGCAAATATTTACAAAGAAATACCTTCCCGTACTCTCATTCAAAGGTAATGTTTAACATTAAATCTGACTGTTAATTTCTGTTGATAAATTTTATCATGCTCCTAGCTTCCTTCTAATTGCATTGTTTATCATTGGGTCCAATAATTTAGTATTTTTTGTCTCCACTTTGGAAAAATGCAATATAACAATTATAGCGTTCTAATAGCTAAGTCTAATGGGACCACAGATCTTGGCTCTGTCAGTTACCCTACTTATGCACCTCCTTCACTTCATTTATAAAATAAAAATATTATATGTCTCTATAACTCTCTAATGGTGTCTTGAGAGTTAATAAAATGTTTCTTCAATAGGAATTAAACATAAACTCATTATTGCCTTATAGCTATCTAAAGTCCTCCAGTCATCTTCCAGCAATGACAGTTGCTTATTGAAGAACATTAACCTTTAAAATAAAATGTTTGAGAGCATGCTTGTTTCTACATTATTTTCCTTAGTAATAATAGGTATAATTAAGTATATATTTTCATGTGTGTCACTTGGTATATAGAATTTAAGCCAATTACAGTAAAACACGTTTTATATCTGTCATATTTAATACTAAAGCAGTTACTAAAGCATATCCTCTAAACATTCTCATTTTCCCTACCAGTACTTTTCTTACCATCACCCTCAATATAAAATACATTATAAAGTATAATAATACTACATGTATACCTGAATTTCCATATTTAGTGAGGATGCATCTTTTAAATTTTTTCTTTACTCTTTGACACTTTTAGATGTCATTTATAATGTAATCTTGAAATATACCTTGCCAAAGATAAATATGTGTATGTGTATGTGTGTGTGTGTACATATATATATATATATATATATATATATGGATGGATGGAGATATGGAGATATACATATATACACATATGTGCATGCATACATAAACATCTTACAAAACTATTACCAAGATTTTGAAAAAGGTTCAAGTGGTATTAATCAAGGGAGGAGTTCCTTGCAAATATGAAAGCCCAACTTAAAAACGGATCACCAAAATGCATATTTAATCGCTCATAGTTTATATAAATATCACTAAAATGTTTTCATTTCATAAATATCACTAAAATGCTTGAAAACTAGTTCATTGGCCACCATTTTTACATTTCTGTACATTAATCCATTTTCCTCATAACTCCAAAGAGTGAATCAAAAGAAGTAAAAAAAAAGTTGAAAATGCTAATTACAGGAAGTTTACCAAAGAACATTATTAAACACACATAAAACAATTTTTCACCAACTTTGACTTTCAATCACCTTAGTCTAAATACAACACTGTAATCTGGGAACAAGCCCCAGCATCTTAGTTGCTGAGCACCTGTAGTAATGGAATGTTGGCTATTGTATTTCAGCAAACCAACCATACAGACAGGAGCGCTCTCTGGAGGCACATATGACACAGACTTTACATACCTCAGAGCATATGTGACTAACAGAACCTCTAACTACCACTTCCTGTGAATGCCCTCCAAAATCAACCCTGGTCAATTCCCACACATGCAACCAACTAACAATCTTCAATCTGTGACTGGAATAACTGACAAGATTGGTGGACAATAGCTATTATATATGGTAGAATTTCAACTGCATAAAAATAAAGCAGAACCAAGTAAATTATTGGACAACATGAAGGATGCTTCCAGGTTACCATTTATTTAAAGTATCTTCTATATGACATGATAAAATATGTCTATCACTAGGAAGGTCTCTGAATTAAATTGGAAATACGTTTTGGTGTCAGATGCTACAGTGAACTCTGTTATGAAACAGCTATGTAGAAAAGCATAAGCTCCATAAGGACAAGGACTATATGTCCATTATAATAATCCTGGAACATTTCCCCTGGCATCTAACACATACTCGATACATGAGTACTTAATGTTTAATTTAGATTAGCATCTTAGGTGGAAGGATATTACACTTATCCCTCTATATCATCTTTATTTTGGGTTCAAACCCCAACTTTGCCACTTATTAATTGTACAACCATGACAAGTTGCTCAACTGTATAGTGCCTCAGTTTCCTGATCTGCAAAATAGGCATAATATTAATATCTATCTGATATGATAATTTTGAAAATAAAATGATATAAGCAAAATGCTTAAAATAGTACCTGGCGGGGTGTGCCCTGAATAAATGTTAGCTATTTATTATCATCATTATTATATGCTCAGCACTGCTATAGATGTTGTAAAGAGTTTACATGAAGTATAAGACACATTCCCTGCCCTCTGGGAGCTTAAAACCTGATTCACAAAGGGTTCTGCAAACAAATGAACACACAAAATTCTAGATATTATCCTAGAATAACCTGGGCTCTGTATTTCACGGCTTCCTCACATTTCTGTGATCAAACTGATCTTTGATGTCAGACTATTTCCACTTACACTGACCTTTCAGAATAATTCCTTAATAACTCACTATTCTAATCATGTAACATCTGTCAGGGATAGTAGTTGAATACATCCAGAGGATGTTCTAACCTCTTTCCTATAAAAAGTGACATAGGGGTGCCTGGGTGGCTCAGTCAGTTAAGCATCCGACTTCGGCTCAGGTCATGATCTCACAGTTCGTGGGTTCGAGCCCCGCATCAGGCTCTGTGCTGACAGCTCAGAGCCTGGAGCCTGTTTCATATTCTGTGTCTCCCTCTCTCTCTCTCTGACCCACCCCTGTTCATGCTCTGTCTCTGTCTCAAAAATCAATAAAC